ACTTCCCCGGGAGACAGGCGTGGCCGCATCCGTCCATGGGGCAGCATCCCCCGCTGTACTTAGCAGTGGGGTCGGAAGGCATGACGGAGTGCCAGGTCTGGATGCACGATGCGTGACCGCCGTGGGCGCACCCGGGACAGTAGAACCACTCGGAGAGGGAGAGCATCTCGGGGTGCGCGGCTGCCTCCTCGATGGGGTCGTGGGCAGCGAGCTCGGGCTCGCGATGGCCGCAGACAGCGCAGGGAGCCATGACGGACTTGCATCTCTCGCAGGTCCATACACTGGCGGAGCTGTCGAGGGGGTCGATCTCACGTGGGCGGCCGCATGAGGAGCACGCGAGGCTGACCTTGACGGAGTCCTGGCCGGGGGCGAAGATTGCTGTGTAGCTTTCGCCCCAATATGGGAGACCCTCGGGCCAACCCTGGATGCAGAGGTTTCGAAGCAGAGCGGCCTCGACGAAGAGGCCCATCCCCATCAAGCGGGAGTGGTGCTGACGAAGTATAGCTCTGGCATGGGGAGTCTCGATGATGGAGTCCGGGACAAGGGGCTTGAGAAGTAGGATTATAGCCGACGCGTTGAGAGCGGTCGACTTGGATTCGAAATTGAGGGCTCGGGTGATGAGGGCATACGGGTCCAGAGCAGGCACTGAGGACGACGGCTTTGAGGTAGATGCAAGCAGGGGATGAGGATATGGCGGATCGTCGTCCCAGGGGATGTAGTCGCTTTCAAGAATATGTGATCGAGGGTCATACTGGTAGTCCCAAGACGGCCTCCTCGAAAGAGCAGGATTACGTGCTTCAGGTCTGGGTGAGGGGAATTTAATGTCACCATCCACCGATTGACTATAATTCTCTGAATCTTGAGAGGGGAAAGATGTCTGCGATGGGTACGTGTCGTCATCAGTCGCGACTGTTGTCTGAGATATCATAAAGACTTCCTCTGGCGAGTCAGTCTTGTATTGCTTTCGTGGCTGGTCCTTTTCGGGAGAATCTCGTCGCAGATGATCGCCTCGAATTCGGCTACCATACTCAACGCTGCTTCCATCGCTAGTTTTAGTTTTCATGGACTCTGAGTGTGATAAATTGGATTTCGCAAGCCCACCAGCGGGCCCCGAGTTCCGCCTGGAGAGCTGGCCTGTTTCGGATATCGAAAACAGCTGCCCATAACTCTCATCCGAGTTTTGTCTCGAAATCTTGGACCTCGGCCTGGATTGCTCCTTTGCTTTTCGGGCAATCCAATCCTGGCTCGTCTTGGGTGAAGGGACATCAATTGCGTGCGCTAAGGCCTCCGTATCATAGAAATCATACCCCTCTGTGTGTGAAACCTCGCTTTCTTCGCTGGTCAAAGATATAGGGACAGAATCCAGACGGCGCCGCGGGGTGCTTGAGCGGCGCATGTATTCTTCATGTGCGGCTGGGCCAATCGTGAATGAATCTGGCTCGACGATGGGAGTCAATCGCTTTCCGTATTGGAAATTTTGGCCATTGCTGTCCGCCCCTTGGTGGTCAACCGGCCTTGCTATTGGTGTCGGGACATTGGATGTGCTCTCTTGAATCTCATCCGAGAGGAGAGAGCGTCCCAACAAGCGGCTATCAGCACCCCCATTGGTCACGGCTGATGGGCGCCTGGGCGTCGCGTCACCAGATCTCCTTCCTTTTGACACCCTATGGACCTCCAGCTTCAACTTCTGAAATTGTGAGAGTCGGAGTTCCATATGGTACTGTGCACGGCGCTTGAGGAGCAGAGACACGGCAAAAGCAAGAACTCTCCACGTCTGCGCAAGTCTGAACAGACTGGCAGCCTCGGCAGCTTCAGCATACCTCTCCATAATATTGGCCACTCTATCAACCATGGGCTTGCCATCCTCCTTGTAAGGAAGCTCTTTCTCCAGCGTCTCAAGATATATACTGGCGAGATATTGGTAACTCGAGGCCGTTTTGGCCGCTGGTAGATGGCCAGAGGCCATGGCCTGTTGAGACTTGAAAGTGCCCGTAGTCTTGATTGCCTGCTCGAGTCCGAGGACAAGTTTCGTGTCCTCCATACTCGACGGTGGCGTGGTGCTCAGCGAGTTCGTGGTTCTAGCTATCGACCGTCTCTTCCGTGCTCCCCGCCGTGGGCTGATGAAGCTTCCCAGAACATCCTCTTCAGAGTCGCTTCGACTCACACTTAGCATTGGCATTCGGGGGCTCGAGTCGAACGAGCTACGTGGTATCACATCGGAAGCATTCAGCACCGATGAGCGTCGGGGCCTGTGCTGCTGAGCGCGCTCGTCCAGAAACATCAAGACATCCCCCTTGGAAGAAAACGCTATTGCAGAAGTAGGTCGGCGGTCCAAGGTCCGGGGCGCATGTGCGACGTCACATTGGTTGAATAACCCATCCTGCCCAACCGTCCAGAGCATATCCTGATCCTGCCAGGCCAGTGCGGCCGGCGAGCTGTCAAAGCGCTCAATCTCTTTATACGGCAGCGTTGGCCGAGCGAGGTCCCAGATGTGAACGACAGACGTCCCATATCGTCGTGTGCTGTTCTCGTCATAAGCGACTGCAACCTGGGCTGCTCTCCGGCTCCGTGCTGTAGCCGACCATAATCCGGGTCTCCATGCCACGGCGGAAACAGGAGCCGGCGTGGAAATCGTCCATTTCGGCTTCTGCCTTCGGTCGGCGGTACTCCCCATGTCCCACACGTGCAGCTTGCAATCCGAGCCAGAAGTGATTAGGTGAATGCCGTCTGGGTGCCACGAGATACCCGTACAAGCCTTCTCGTGGGCGTTGATCCTCAGCAGCGGCCGCGATGGCGACCTCACATCCCACTTGATCACCACACCACTATCAGTGCAACAGGCCATCTCATGTCCAACCCTCGGCGACCACTTGACCTGCCTGATAGAATCGATACAGCGTAGAGCCGCAAACCGCTGGCGAAAGGTCAAAACACCAGACCGCGTGTGGATCGCATTGGCGGTATCAAAGACTCGCGCCAGGCCGTCCTGACTGCCTGACAGCAGCCAGCTGTTCAGATGAGGGTTCACATCCAGGGTATTGACCTGGCGCGAGTCCTCCTGCATGTGGATGTACTCGAGCGGCTCCGAGGAGCCGCCGGCCCCGATGCGCGCCACATCGTAGGCGAAGATGCGCCCGTTGGCGCACGCCGTGAAGATGGTGGAGCTCCCGTGCCACTTGACGTCGCGGATGTTGAGCTGGTCGGGCGTCGCGTTGGCCTTGACGCCCGTGGCGGGCTGCGCGGTGATGGCGGCGCGCAGGTCGACGCCGTCGCCGAAGCGGAAGCCGAAGTTGGTCGGGTGGTCCTCGTGGACGATGGTCTTGAGGATGTGAGGCCCGCCGAGGGCGACGGCGCGCCGGTCGGGCGAGACGTCGAGGCACGAGATGGGGACGCCGGCGACATAGACGGAGTCCTGCGACTTGGAGGGGCGGAAGGTCGCGGGGATGGAGCTGTGGTTGCCGACGAGGGAGGAGTGCTCGCCGGACGAGGTGTCGGGCGCCGACTTGCCAAGCAGCTTGCGCATGATCTTGGAGTCGCGGTTATACATTGTTTCCGGGAGACGGCAGGGCCCAGGGCGCCATTTGGGGCAAGCTCAGATGGCCATGGACCGGATGCTGGGGAAGAGTCTTGGTGAAGGTGGGATGGATCTCGACGGAGCTCTGGAAGCTAAGGTAGAGGCTCCCTTGGCTGCTGGCCTAATCGCTATCGCCAGCTGGCCCGCTGTAGGAGGAGCAGCGGGAGCCTGGAGCCTGGAGCTGGAGGCATTGACCCCCACCACCACAACACCCCAGCACAACCCCCACAGATGCCCACCAGCAGCATCATTCAGCTTTGTGCTGCGCAGTCACGTGTGCATGCGTAACACCGCTGCTGTTAATGCTGCCAGCTTCGGGATGCGACCCTGGTTTTCTTGATCGGCTGCTCTTTTTGATAATGATTGCCATTGTGTTGACTCACTGTGCATGGCAGAGGCAGCCCTATCGTCTCAAACATCTCCATCACTCGTGCACGGCCCAAGAATGCAGCCTTTCGTCCAAATGCTTGCACCGCGAACGGCTGTAGTTCATGCAGGTCCCCAATTCCATACTTGCCCTATACATCATCTGACGTCAGAAGACGTCCCTGAACTTTCACACTGTCTGGGTCAAACCTCCCACTATCCTAGACATCAAATCGGCCCTCCAAGCCCCAACGGTCGTCTAAGCCAGCCACTTGCGTGATCAACGGTTCATGTTTCAGTCATGTTAGTCAAGCCCTGGACCCCTGAATGCGCAGTAGACTCAAAATGATATCAATTTCTTGGTGTCGTCTGTATTGACAAAATAATACAATTCCATATGCCCATGCTCTATAGGGGAGAAAGGAAAGAAACAGAAATAATAATCCAAAAGGGATGATCCCTAGAATAACGCCTGTATGAAATGCTAGTTCCCGTCCGCTCAATGACTTGCCCCATGCAAGAATTATCTAGAATGCAGTAAAAACCTCTCGCTATTTCGAAGCCTACAGCTCATCTCGCTGGAGACTGGGCCATTCGAATGACCAATCCCGATCGGGTACAGGGAGTCCGATCCAGAATCGGACGAACCTTTTGGTTTCGGAGGAGAAGATATGATAACTGCGATTACTAGTCAGCTTCATTTCGAGGCAAGGTAAGAAGAGAAAGGCATTCTCAAAGATAGGTAAGAGAATGGGGGGATAACTGACAATGCCGCAGGCGCTCTGTACCAGCTTCCTGTGATCAGTGCGACCGCGTCCCAGACCAATCCAAACTCGTGCTTGAATTGTTCTGTGATGGTCTGAGGCCGGAAGGGCTCTTTCTTCTCTTCCTTTTCCGGAGGTGTGGACTCGCTACCCATAGTTTTCTCCTCCTTCATTTCATTAGGAGTGGCTGCCATTGACTCCTTAGGTTCCGGCTCCTTTTTACTTTCCTCAGGTTCAGGTTCAGGCTCCTTTTTGCTTTCCTCAGGTTCAGGTTGCTTTTTGCTTTCCTCAGGTTTAGGTTGCTTTTTGCTTTCCTCAGGTTCAGGCTCCTTTGTGCTCTCCTCAGGTTCAGGCCCAGGTTCCTCCCTAGTCTCTTCAGATTCCTGCTCTTTCTTACTCTCCTGCAACATGTCGCGGAACTTGGCGAGCGCGTTCAGAGAAGAGCTCAGCCGAGCATGGGTATTGAACAGTGCGACGAGCTCGGTGCGCTTCAGCACGGGGAGATCCTCGGCGTTGTCGAACTCGAACAGGACCTTGAGGGCCGTCCCGTAGCCCGAGGTCTGGATCTTGCCCCAGAGCCGGCACTTGTCGCAGCCAACACAATCCATAATACGGCTGACGTTGCGGAACCGGTTGCGGAAATCCTCCTTCAGCGAGGGCCCCTCGCCGTTAACAAACATGAGGCCCTCGTCGAAGATCTGGGGGACGGTGGCGGCGCGGTCGGTGACCTCGAGGACCTTGTTGCGGGTCGCAATGTCTTCAACCTCGTCGCCAGTGCAGAAGGTGTAGTCCTTGAGGTAAGGGCCAAGCTTGGCGACCGCGCGTGTAATAAGAGCGTAGTTGAAGTAGAGGTTACTGATGCGGTCTGGGAATGGGTGAAGACGGGCGGCGTAGCACGACAGGTTGGGGTGCCATTCGCCGGTTGTCTGGTTCAGGAAGTCCCAGCACAGATGGGTGCTGATACTGGCGTGCATTCCGGACACGACGCGGTAGAACACACGCTTCTCTAGACACTCGTCGTTGGTCTCAACATCGCCGCTGGGAACTTCGAGCTTGTCGTTTGACAGCTGTCGAGCAGCCGCGTCCAGGACTTGCTTAAAGTCCTGCTGCGCGAGGTTCTTCGGAGAGGAGGAGCCCAGGTTGGCGGTGTGGGGGAAGGAGCTGCGCTGGAAGCAGTTCTCGCGGTAGATGGCATCCCAGACCTGCCTGGATCCCATGCCACCGTAGCCGGTGAATCGTTCTGGGTTTCGGAGGAGACTGACATAGTCGCCCTTGGAGCCGGCGCTCTCGTCTTCGGGAACACAGTAATCTCTCTCGTCGCATTCATCGTCGTATTCGAACACGCAGCCCTCACTGACACCTCCACCCAGCTCTCCTAGGAGAGGCTTCTCAGGGTGCCTCTTCCTGGCGCTCTGGCCCAAGTGCTTTGCTCTGGGGCCTTCCAGCTTTCCCAGCTCCGCGGCCCTCCAGACCTCGGGGATATCCTCCTCGTTATCGAGCGTCTCGACGGCGCAGCCAATGTTGGCGCACATGCCACCCTCATCGTTCCAGAAGGGACACGCCTTGTTGAAGAGATTGAGTCGGTAATGGGAGAAGAAGTCGGTGGTTCGGGTCAGGTCGTCGAGGGCTGGCTTGACCTGCGCATTCAGGCGGTCGAGAGTAGCGTAGGATGCACATGCATCTTGGACAATGGCTTTGGGAGAAATCTGTAGAAACAAAGTTAGAAGCGAGCGCTTCTCTGGGTCCTCTGGCGCGAGCTACTGCTTACCGCACAATCTTCCTGCTCAGAGCATATGGCAGCAGGCGCCCAGAGGGCAAACAGCGACAAGTAGAATAGCCTGCTTGCCGACTTCATGGTGAATATTGGTGATTTGTTTCCAGGTTGAAACCGAGAAATTTCAGCCTGGCTGTTGCAGGACAAGATATAGCCCACGTGTAAGTAACGATGCGGTGGAGGTACTTCCAGAAATGCACTATAAATAAGCTCCAGGTACTGTTCTGGTGCAGGTGCACAGACTTAGTCCCCTGTCTGCTCCTGCAGAACGTGGTGGTAAAACGGAGGAGAAGGTCTCTAGCAAACAGAGACTCGGGGAACGAGGAATGAAGCGAATGAAGCTGCAGTTGTCCTGGACAGGCCCGGCCAATTTTTAACAAACCGTGAAACAAAGAAGACACGCTGGCGGATTCCCCAACACCAGATGTGACGGGCCAGGGCGGACGGTTTTCAATTCCATGATACCCTTTTGGGCCAATGTGGCCTGATGTAGCTCTACACCTCCGACCCTTGGATTGGTAATTGGAATCTCTCCTAAGATACCTAGTTGGCTACCTAACAAGTCAGCAAAAGCCGGCCGGGCTAGGTGCACTGCCGAGCGAGACAGATTAGAAGTACCTGTGTCCTAACGAATGGTCATGCGTATCCGTACATGGTACCACCTACTTCATCCATTCTCGCTCCATGATCGCCCAGCCCCTTGCCGCCTCTTTTTGCGGCTGGAGCGCACATGCTCCATTAGGAATGTAAAGATCGCGCGTTCTTGTGTTCCCTACACCGTCTATATTGAGAGGTCCTCTTGTCATACCTATGTCACTGGCTTGAACCGCACCGTGCTGATACATCCTCCAACTACGGAGGTCACTGGGGCCTCTTGTCGTGACGCCCAAGTCTACGGATACAGCGGGTTGACGCTGTAAGTGGCTGTCCTCAGTAGAATGCATCCCTGTTCCGACGCCTCCGTCCTCCAATGACTCGTCTCCAAGCAGTTTGGCCACGCTTGTACCCTCTCTGCCTGCTAGCCAAGTACGTAATTGAGCGTTAGTCAAGGCGATAATACGATGCAGTAGGCGTTCATAGTTGTCTGTCTTGTACGTGGGTGGCGGGGCACTTCCGACAGCGAACTGGCTAGTGTGGGCTCGTTCAACGGAGAAAAAAAAAACAGTAGTGGCGGTTTAGTTGGGGCTTTCTGATAAGGACCGATAAGCTTGACTCGTGACAGAAAATCATTGAACTGCATTCACAGTTGGCACCACGCCTGCATTCACGGATGGGCAGCATGGTCATGATCACCCGAAGAGGGTAACTTCCATCAAACTAAACTTTCTCAGTTTATTCAGATGCGTCTAGTCCTCGTCTACCAACTCCAAACAAGATTTCTATGAGATAAACCCAGCATCCAACTGCGATGCATGACACAACAGTTTCATTAGAAGGCTTGAGAATCCCAGAAAAGAAAAACAAGGCAGGGCTATGGAGGGTTCTTTCCGGGAGAGACGCAGACGGCAAGAAAGGAGACAAGAGAAGAAGTAAACACATGAGTGGTAGAACTGCAAAATAAGTAAAAGCCTGCCAGCCTTCCCGTGGTTGCCTGATGTGACAAAATCAATCCTTCACGCCCACCCCCCAACTGTCCAGATCAGTCAAGTCCAAAGGGGTCACAGAAGTATTTTGTTTCCAATCCAACCAGTAGGCAGTTTCGACAATACAGTCGTGCCGGCCAATTATTTCATCAAAGCGTATCAGACCGTAAAATCGTCAAGGAAAGGTAGCGGGACCGTCGCGGCGTAAGAAGGGATCGATTGGCTGGTTATTAAAACAAGGGAAAGGCCAGAATTTTGGCTCACTGAGTAGGGGGCTGGTAGTTGATAGGGCGCCTGGAAAAGAGAGGGTTATTTGTTAGACTCGGAGAATGATCTCACAAAAGTTGTATCAAGAAAGAAGGCTTACTTGAAGAGGAGGATGTGAGGCTCCGGCTCGTGGACCTCGTAGTGTTCCCATCCCAGGCTCTGCACGATCAGTTAGAAACAAATTAACGAAAAGGGTTGCGACGCGCGCATGGCGCACTCGTGAGACCAGTTGGTGGGCGAACATACCTGCGTGATGCCCAGTGCTCGCCACTCTTCCTCCCATAACAGCTTCAGGGTTCCCTTGTTCTCGTCGTGATAGTCTTTGGGAATGACCTTGAGCATAGCCTTCGGGAGCTGTACGTGTCGGTATTCAAAGAAACTATCGTTGTATCTGCTCGAACAGTCGAACCGTCAGCTTGTTTTCCGGCGTGGAGAGAGAAGAGGGATAGGCGAGAAAAACATCACGAGGGGAGAAAGTTGGGGCGTAAACAAAGACTCACCGGTTGGAGTAGTGGATCGAATCGATGAATTCATCCAAGCGCTTTCGCTCCCCGTCAGATAGGGGACGAGGGGACTTATTCCGGCGGCTCATGTCGATATCCATAGCGGCGGCAGGTGTGCTGTGCGTGAGGACAAGGCCAATTGGTGTGCGCCGGAGAAGTTGCGCCTTTGGTGGTGTTGGGTGAAGCTCTTGTTGTTTTGGCAGAAAACGGGCCGTGCAGGTTGAGGCGGGGCACCACCAAGAACTGGGCCAGGGGACCACTCAGGCAAGTTACAGCCTTGCCCAAATACAGGCGGGCTACTTAGTGGTGTAGGGGACCTTGGGGGGGCTTTGGGTGCGGGCACAGAAGAGTGCAGAGGCTTGGCTGTGTATGAGACAGCGATGCAAGGGGGTTTAATCACCAGGGCAGAGTGTTTGTACGGATAGTCCCAGAAGGCACAGATTGCGAGGAGAGCAGATGTGAGGAGGGAGAGGGAGAGGGAGAAGGAAAGAGCAGAGAGGGGGCAGAATGGTGTTTTTGAGGTTCTGCTTGTTAGAGCGCAGCCCAGCCGCTGTCCGCCCAGCCCAGCCCACGGCAAAAAGGTGGGAAGAGTGGACAAGGGTGCCCACTGCCTGGCCTGACCGTGCAGGTAACTGGTTCTGCTTGTGCACACAATCACTGCTCACCACGAGACTTATTGTTTTGCTATTCTCCGTCACTATTGTGTGAAGGAGGCAGGTAACTACCAGGCCCGAGAACAAGCAACACTCCAGCTTCGTCTTGTCCTTGATTGTGTCCATGCTCCCGCCATTCGTGGAGGGGCACCCAGCACCCTGTCGCTGGGTTCGCTTTGGCCTCCAGACATGGATATTGCGTCCAGCCACCGTCACGTTTTCTTGCACAAGAGACGAATCAGTAGTGCGAAGCGGAGTGATAGTCGCCCGTATCATGACCTGTTGCTCATTGCTTTTTCCCGCCTCCGCGCCCCCGACGAATAGAAAAGAGCTCAAAATCGAACGTTAATCTCTTCCCCGCCGCCTGCTAGTCCTCCATGAGAGGCATGGAAGTACATACATACATGTCTAGCCAGGTACTAATACTAGCAGCTGGATAAGACTATCACGAGACCTCTTCCGGGCACCGCATGTCAACTCATGCAGTTCTAAACGGTGGACAGGGACAACCGTCTTTCTCTCTCTCTCCACAGACCAACCTCCCGAATTCTCGAAAGTCCCCTGCAACTTCGATTCGATCGCAACGGTTCTAGAGTGGTCCCGAGCTTCTTGCTCAATTCAAAGGCTTCGATGTGAGACACAAGTACCTCCTATTACCCCAGATCACCAACCATACCTGAGTAGCGCCCATAAGTCTCGTTTCATTGGCTATCTCACGGACGGAGGACACGACACGTTGTGTATGACCAGTAGTTCTTTGCAACTGACCGAAAGCATCCTCGCTTGCTCGTACAATGCCTCGTGCAGCCCACTTAGACAGGCCGGTCCCGGTCACCCCGCCCGTTCACCCCAGGCCCAGACGCACAAACCAACGTCTTTCATGCGCACCCATTCTACCATGACAGAAACGCAGACTGTGACTGGCTATGCGCGGTTTGTCTGTAGATTGTTGTCAGTTGGCTTTCTCGATGACGCAATGTGGGCCAATGAGCAGTAGAGCCCAAAATTGTGTCGTGCAGTCGACATTGATTCACCCACAGCGCGCTGGGGATCCTTCGAACCCTTATGTTTTTTGTCCACAATAATGAGTCAAAACGAAGATATTTCGAAGCCCTAATAGGTATGCCGAACATAATAAACATTAGTTATTTATTCATGTTACCATTGAAGCATTATTCTATTCACCATTACCGGTACTATACGTACGATGAGCCCTCCAATTTGGCGCTGCGTGTCTTTGTCACTCCTCCCAGGCTCGAAAGATGCAAAAACTTCCAAGTCTCAATGAGCTTATCCCGCTCTAATCCCTTACTCACCTAAATTCCATCTGGACAAGACCTGAGTATCCTTGATACGAATGGCTCAGAAGTAGTCAGGTGCTTCAGGGCGGCCAGCAATCCTGCCTTTGCCAGCCCTGCCCAACGGAATGTGATGCACAGAGTTCCCAATCTTGGCCTTGACCGCCGACACGTCAATCTCCCACTTCCGCACCTCTGCGTACTTACTCCGCTTCAGAACCTTGATCGCTCGTAGACTCATCTCCTCCCCGGGGACGTCAAACGTCCAGCCGATGGAGACGTGGAACGCCACGCCCACCGCCTCGTCGCCGCTGCTGCCGTCGTCCTCGTGGTGCTTATACAGCGGCGGCTGGCCGAACTGGGAGGCCACGCCGTTGCACCGCCTGAGCAGCGCCACGAGCTCCGGGTTCAGCGCGCCCCCTGCGTCCTTGCCGCCGGGCAGGTCACGGCTGCTCGCGACCCGGATGATGAGGAAGATGCGGTCCGAGTCTGGGGACTTGTACCAGGCCAGGGTGCGGGGCGTCACGGCGAAGGGCGCCACGGCGCCGGCCTGGATGGCGCCGGACGCCTTCTCCAGGAAGGCGTCCTTGTTCGCCGTCGTGAGGCTCAGCGGCCGGGACAGGCTGATGTGCAGGGGTAAGGGGGAGCCGAGGTCGCTCGTGAGGAAGTTGTGCAGCTTGACCTTGCCCTGGAGCTCTGTCTCAATGTCCTGGACTAGTTTGACGAGCATGTCGTATTCAGGACTTGTGAGATTCCCTGGTGATCACGTGTTAGTTCCGTATGTCTGTGATCTCAAGTGAGCGTGATGTGTTTAAATAGGGACAACGCACATTCAATGTAGAGATGGGACGGCCAGTTCCCAACAATGTGTGGAGTCTGCCTTTTCCGGCCATGATGCAGGCTTGGGTCGTCGACCACGCTCTGGCGCACGGTGGAAGCATACAGGTCGTGGAATGTCGAGGGTAAGGGTGGCATCACAGATCGGCTGGTAGGTTTTCCATCCTGACCGTCGGCCTTGACCGTGAGTGAGCTGGGACGGCCAAGCGTCGAGGTCTCTGAGTCGCCTGCCTTCCGGCGTTTGGCTGGAGGTTGCTGGTGAAGTGACTCGGTTGAGGCTGAGCTGGAGGATGAATAATCGACCAACGCCATGTCGGGCAGTCAATCTCGATGTTGAGAGCTGGACTCTAGGTCCCAGGCTGGCTGCTAGATTATTCGCATCAGTTGTTGTCGTGACAGGAACAGAAGAGTCCAGATAACTCCGTCAATATTCGCCGTTGGGAGCTGAATGCTCTTGTGCATGAATTAAAATTGGCTGGTGCCCGATGGCCGTTACCACTCGCATGGCGGCCTCGCGAACGATCGACGATTCCAGAGCGAGCACAGGTTGTTAAGCGATGGCCTGAACCCTGAGGCGCTGAAAAGATAGGGGTATAAAGGACCGCCCTACAATATGATGGAATGACGAACACAATCTATCCGTATGTTGAATCTGAGAGTATGGTATATAGTATGGTCATTAACTGATCCAAAAAGAACGTCATACCATCAATTTCAAACTGAAGCTCCTGATGCCGCTGTGGGAGAAGACCTCCAGCTGGTGCTTGTGGAGGGGTTCCTCCAGTGGAGACTCAACGCCTGAGCGCCCAATTTACAGGCACTCAGGCCCTCACTGGTCATTTCACCTACAATTGATCCTCAAGCAGTAGCAATATCTCCCCCCAAATAACAGTAGAGTACCCGATAGCTCCCCATGATGATTTACATGCTGAAAAACTGCGTATTTATTCTTGTACCAAACTGTCAACCCTGGCAGCATCAAGCAGAGTGTTCTCGAGGCCAAAGAGGTCGGCGTACTCGCGGAAGAGGCCCCGGAACTTGTGTTAGCTATGCCAATTACCTAGTTTTCCTATGTTATGGAACATTAGGCAGTTGGTCGCTGCTTGAATTCAAGAAGCTTCCGATTTACGCAGCCCTAGAGTTTTGCAACCAAAAATTCTCACTCCATCTTCACAAAGCTCGCGGAACGAGGGATGGGAAGACTCTTGTCAGCGTGCCCAATACCTTGCTAAATGCTGTTGTAGCTGGCATGTTAACACGAATACCTACTCTGAGACTGCCTTGAAGAACGGTAGTTACCCAAGCTAAACCTAGGGAAAGAGGACTAATACTTCGTGAACCCTCAGTTAAACACGCAAAGGCAGCAGCTCGGCATATGCAAACCTGATGGGCAGCATAGGCATGGCTGGTTTGAGAGGAGTTATCGCTCAACCATCCAAGCGTTTTACGTGCGCATTATTTAGAGAGCTTGATCCATGCTATCCAAATGGTTTATACGTACGGTTACTTTCATCTCTCGGCTGACAAAGGTAAAGGCACGGCGGAACAAGGCCTCATTATAGCAACATGGTCCATTTTGATGCAGGTCCGAGGCAGTGCGATTCGAAACGCTCCCCTAGCCTTGAATTTCTAAAACACACCGAATGGACGTTTCATATAATGCCAAGAATGAATGAAACGCCTACATGGCCTGTAGCAGGGACAGATCTCACGTACGATGGTCTGTTGAGCCCCTTCGAAAGCTTGGGCCCTGTGGCCTGTCCCTCCGTCTGGAGATGGAGTGGGGCGTAGACGCAACCCGGGGCCGCGTTGAGGCTGGAAGCGAGGATATTTTCCTATAGCCGTCATAGGCTACGTAACTCTAGGCATGGGCAGTTTCATGTAGTTCGCTTAGGAGGGCGTTGTCATGTCCAGTAGTTCGGATTTTTAGTAGAACGATGTTCGGTTGAGTTAACGGACCGTCCGGGTGGATCATAGCTCGGCTTCAATTCCACGAATGATTTCAGCATAGGTATCCTCATGTTAACATCCATCCGTGAACATTCTCGGGGGCGGTTGATGATTGAACAGTACTAAGTATTTACAGATTAATATCAGGGTTCACTGAAAATCACCAATAAAATTCAACCAAACATAATCCCTCAAATATTTAGAATCTGGGTTTAGAGCGTTTGGTAGCTCATATTCCAGTCTAGGGTAGCCTACATCTACTGCCGGCTTCCTCGACTTTGGGCTAATTTTGGCAAGCGACCAAGGATTCCTGGACGAAGATCTTCTATTCGGTGACGTGAGATCATTCAGCGATCTCCTCGATCAGCGACTCGCCAGTCGACTTGTCGCCGCTTGTCCATTCCCACTTCTCATGCATCCGCAGCCTGCCATCAGCAAGCTCCTCCGGCCGGGACTGGCAGCGGCCCGTCATAAGCTCTCCCTTGGTGTTGACGTGTTGGTAACGCATGTCGAGGCTGTTGTCGGACGCCACGGTTGCTATTAACGAGCCTCTAACAATAGAACCGCCCGAGTACTCGGCCCAGACGATGTCCGCTTGTTGGTGGTAGTGGAAGAGCGTCTCAGCGCCAACCTCACCATTCGCCGTGTTGGTCACAGACCGGAAGGTCTTGCCGTCGTAAAAACTCATCGTGGTTGCTGGATTGAATTTGGATTTAACTTTTATTGAGTTCGTATGCTGAATGTTTGGTGGCAATAATTTGCAAGTCAAATGAGCACAATGCAAAGCCTATTGCTAATTTATTATCAATGAGTTTCAAAATATCTTTTAATTGAAAGCTTGGCTTGGTTGAAGTTTCCGATGTCGGCTACCTACTCCGCAACGAAGCAGTCATGACAGAAACCCTCAAATGATGACTCTCTCATGATCCTGTATGAGGATTGGATAGACCTGGGGAAAAGCACTACTTAGTCGTATCAATTTGTTCAGCAGGCGTATGCGCTTGCTCCCATTCAAAACGCATACTCTTGTTCCAAGCTGTCAATGAATGCATCCCGTGATTTGCCCCAAACATTCGGGTTAGAGTATCCGAGACAGAAGGTCCTCTACCAATGCAGGTCCAGCGCCACTTCCACCCCGCGTCGGTGCCGTTTTTTGGCTTCGGCTGTTTGAGTCACTCAGGATACTCTATTTGGCCATTATCCCCTTGAGTTTTTCCATTGGCCTGGACCTTGCTTCGTGCCCCTGGTCCAAGGGGCAAAGAAGGTGTACGGACACTTGAGACGAACTTTATTTTCTGTCCCGAGCGGCTGTGTGTGCTTGGCTTCGGGAGGGCTGGAAGGATCTTGCTGGCCCTGGACCCTGGACGGTCACATACCTCCAGACCGATCACCCCACAGGGCGTCATCCCGGCTGCCCAGATCCTGGGTCACACCACGGCAAGCTGAGGCCTTGACTCACTAGTGGGCTGGCTAGCTGCCTGACATTGAGATGGCCTTTCCCATCACATTCCATCCTCTGGGCGCTGGATCAATTCATCAATTGACAGATATCTGTCTTTAGGCGCTGGCCAAGTCAGACAGGCAGTGCTGCTGTAAGCCCTGCACTCAGAAGGCGGCGATCTGCTCAGCGACTTTGACGAAATCTGGCCCACCTCCATCAGCTGGCGGAGGATGACTGATGATCAAAGGCTGCCATAGGCCTGATCTGACCCGGGTGGCGGTTGTCACATGGGTATCCGGGGGCTTCCGTGGGCCTAGGTGCGTGCATTGAACCCAAACCCGCCTCTCGCTCTTGTGTTTTCTTAGCTCGCCAGCTGGCCATTGTAAAGCGCCATCCTGCATACCTGCCATGGTCGAGGCTCTGAAGTTACTTTCTGGGGCGGACGGAGGTGGCGCCTGAGCATGTCTGTCTGTGCCTCCCCCCGGGCGTCTAGTGCCTGTCCTGGCTCGTAGAAGGCATCCCGGGCGTGCAGAATGGGCGGTTTAGCTTCGCTGAGGCTGTCCTGTCAGAGAGGCAGCCAGACTTCCCGTGGCGTTAGTTCTTTGCGTTTGCCCGGGGCTGTCCCTATTGAAGAGTGATCTGAGCCTCTCTATTGTCCTCAAGTTTCCATTAAAACCCCAAGCATCCTTCCCTCAGCTCTCCATGTCTCACTTCAACTCTTCAACTCTTCATCCATCTCGTCTCTGGTAGACATTGAAGCAAGCAACCACATTTCAGACTCCAGCAACTCCAACTCGCAATCACAAACTAGTCTACTTAATCTTGTCTGCAGTAGCAACACTAGCACTTGGGTCACATACCATCACTCACCACGAACCGATCTTGATCAATTCGATCGATCTGCTCTATTGCTCCGTTCGTTGCTCCATACAGTATCTCCAACCCACCGTCGGCATCCTTGGACACAATCGTCATCATGTCGCTCCCCACTCTCGACGGCGAGTATGATAAGAACTGGGTATGTTGTGGTGTGGTTTCCTTTCCTCATTTGTGCTTCCGTGTGGACCTGCTTCCTCTCCCTTCCATCATCAACGCTCGCAACCCACCCTGAACCCTTCCGCCCACGCCGAGAGGGAAGATCGGCTCATGTACCCTCTTTTCGGGGCCATCGGACGAGTCGTGGGAGCAGCGGCAGCGTGATCGGCATGCGGTCACAGGCCGCGTCGTCACCCTGACAAAGCTTAATGTGCTAGTCCTGGACCCTGAGCGAGGTGCCCAGACTCCAGCGGCTTGGGTCCTGCGTGGCCAGTGGCTTTGCCGGCCGACGATCGCTGACGACAACCCTCCCACTTTTCTGGCCCTTCTCTGCCCGTGACCTCATCCATTCGCTCTGCTATAATTTGGCTCGTCCCTCGTCGTTTGTGCCTGAATCCTGCTAACCATAACCAACTATCTAGGCCCAAAAGTATCTTATCGAGCCTCTGACAAGCCCAGAGCCCAGCCAAATCCACTTTCAGGAATCAGCCCCACGCCCATCTACATCATCATCAGTCAAGTCCAGACCTGTCTCGCGGCCTGTTAGCATTATCAACAGAGACCCAGTCACTGGCAAATTCGTATTACCTACTGAGCCCGTTGGCAGCCCAGCCGGACAGACTGCTTGGGACTTCCATCCTTCAAATCCCTTCTCATCCCACTCCCGTACTCAATCCACCAGCCAAGTCCCCATCGACACCAAGCCTGTGAATTTGGATCCATTTACACCAACTCACCGTCGCTTCCACTCTCTGCCAGAGCAGAACATGAGAACAATGGCTCCCCGCACTCTTGACACCATTAAGAAGGAGCACAAGACTGCTCACCGCCGCCACCGCAGTCGTCCCTCGCAGACCGACATCATTGACTCCCTCGATACTGTCGGTGGAGCTTACCACCACAGTGGTCCCTTTGATGCCGCTTCCGCCAGTATGAACACCCACAAGAAGTACTCGCCTCTCGAGGCTGTCCGTGACTCCAACATGGAGGCCCTCAAGGCAACCCCTCCGGAATACATCAAGGACTCCCTCGAGAGAAACCTTCCCCTCCAGGGCACGGCTACCATCCCCAGTGGCTACACCGACCTCTCAGGCAATGTCATGCAATACGAGGAGGGAACCGATATGATGCGTGACCCTACTGCCGGGGGTGGTGCTTACAAGCGATGGGACGGAATTGTAAGTCAATGCATAAACCCCGTCTAGTCTCCGTTCATGCATGACCAAGCTAACCACCATGACGTCCAGACATACCACCCTGACGACCTCAAGGGCAAGGGTAGCGAGTTCGAATACGAGCGTGACCTCAAGCTCAAGAAGGCTCAAGGCCGAGAGGAAGGTGTTGAGATGCTCCCCCAGCGCTCCAGCCACAACTTCCGCAATGGCGATGACCGTGCCACTTCTGCTGTTGACGGTATCTCCACTGGCCGACGGGTCGCCGATGGCGTTAAGCGTCGCCTTGGTGGCCTGTCACGAAAGAGAGATGTACTCGTCAACTAAGAGTACCTTCCAAAACACAATCAGACACTCACTCACACACAAATTTTCCTTATCTTATGAAGTTTATACCCCTGGAGGATGACTGTACTATTATGACGACGATATTTTGGTACGACTCCGCCTTATCAACTTGACAGCGTTGCGATTTTTGGAAACTTGCTCTCCTTTATTTGCGAAGAGCCGGCTACTACTCTATTGAATTGGGTATTGGGAGTTTTGGATTATAGTGTGTATCAACACTTGGGAATTTTTATGTCATCAAGACGGGAATATTGGTCAATAAAGAGATAGACTAAGACTGCTTCAACGAATAGATTCACAATATCTTTCAATCTGAAATGCCAAGTGAAGAAATGAGTTTCATGCTAAATCGTAACCGGAAATGCGATTTCTTGACCAAGAAAATTCATTCACCAGCATTGATCAAGTGCCATTAACAATATTTTTTACGAAATGTTCTTCTCATGTGCTTCTATTTTAGAACTTGGGCTCTAATTACACTACCAATAGATCTCTTTTCAGCGAATTCTCAATCATGATCCCCCTTCAAAAATAGGACAATCCACTCCATCCGAGCACGCTATGCAGCTCATCCCTCATTTCCTGGACGCCATCATACCCACCCTTCGTAGCCAGCTCCGCCCGCTTCGCAGTGCCCAGCTCGGTCCATCTCGCCAGGACCTCGCCGTCGATGATGGCCGCGCTGCGTCCCGCCGCGGTGTCGACGCCGATGCTCCTCCCCGCCGAGTTCGTGGCGATGGAGGAGGTGGAAGGGAGGCGGTGGGCCTTGGAGTTGAGACCCGCGTAGGACGGGAGGATAGAGAGGAGCTGGGTCTGGAGGGAGTATAGTCTGCGGTGGGCCGACTCGCTTATGGCGCTGAGGGACGAGAGGTGGCCAGAAGGGGACGAGAGGAGGAGGAGGTGAGTGTTGATGTCGGCGGAGTGGGGGAGGAGGAGGGTGTTGGTTGCCGGGTTGGGGGTGAGGGAGAAGGTGGTGCGGTGGAGAAGAAGACTGCCCTGGAAGGACTTGGCATCTGTATACGAGGTTAGTCCTGAAAAAAGGAGAGAATTGAAGCGTAGTGGAAGGGGAAAGACTCACGATCGGGATTAAATTCAAGGATGTGCATATCACCATCAGCATCAATGGCGACCATCACAAGGTCCTCTCCATCTGGAAGGAAGTCGGCCGTTAGGATGGGTACTCGACTTCCGCTCTTGCCGAGAACCTTGAAGGTATACGGCTCCTCCGTGTAACCGGCAAACCAAACCCCCTTGAATGTGTCGGCAAGAAGGCATAGTCCGGTGCGCGGGAGAGCGCGGGCAGATGCGACATGGCAATTCATGTCCAGGAAGGCTACTGGAAGCAGCGAGCCATCTTCCTTGAGACCTCGGACCATGCATTTTTGGCCCTGTGCTACTAACATCAGACCTTGAGTTCCAATCTCGCTGAGAGCTGTGACGCCACCCCGAGGGATATCCTCCTTTGCGACGGGCTTCAGCCTGCGGTTGGTCTCGGGATGGCCGGGTTCTGGAATGACTGTCACAATGTCGAGAACCTGAACCCTACCTCTAGTAGGCAGGTCCTCTCCTTTTGACAGAGCAGATCCGACAGCGAGAAGCATCCTTCTTTCCTTTGTCTCTTCGGATACTTCCAGGTTGAGGGTCTTCATGCTTTCAATAGTCTCGCTCGACTCAAGCTCGAAATCATTAATAGCGGTCCAGGTTATTGGGTTGATGAGTTTAAGGACACCGCGGGCCATCGTTGGCGCGAAAGGCAAAGTCTCCTTTGCCCATTCCTTGTGGTAATCGTCATCTCGAGGGAGCTCAAATGGCTCGGCAGTGAGGCATCCGGCAACGTAGGTTTCAGTGGGGGGATGGTATGCGATTTGCTTGACTTCAACGCCTAGAGGAACCTTTCGGACGGCGACGCCCAGTTGTGTAAAGTCGCGGTTAGGAGGTAGCTGGGCTACCCTCGCAATGCCCTCGGAATCGGCATAGATGAAGCCTCTGTCGCAGCCTTCTGTATGGAAGGAGCTCATGCCACGGACTCCCAAGCCTTGTAGCGGCACAACGCGAGGAACGCTCTTGCTGGATTTGATGATGAAGCTTGGCGAGGGCCCGGGCAAGAAAACAGTGCTGTATCCTTGAACATTTTGGCTCGGTCTTAAGGGAACAAATCGTGGCTGTTCAGATTCGTCATCTTCTTCTTTGACTTCCTCAACAGGTTTTCTGGCCAATACGGGATTAGAGGCCTTTTTGAAAACCAAGGTAGTGCTTAGTGTGGAATCTTCGCCGTTTGACAATCGTAGCGGCTCGTATAATGTAATATCATCGCTTGAATTTCGCAACTGAAATATGTTAGGTTGTTGATCCAGCGCTCTAATCATATTGAACGATACTTACAATTAGGTATGGTGTCTGTGATACGGAGTCTCCTAGATCTGCAACGAGGCACTCTGTAAATGTATCGCGAGGCGATCCTTTCCGAACAGTGAATTCTGTTGAGAGGAAGGGAGGTAGATACGATAAGCCGTCGGAAACGAAGACGGGTTTCGAAAGGTCGGGGAGCGCGTAGATCTAGTCCGGTCAGCCTTGCCCAGGATGTCTCAAAGCTCCCTCAATGACACCTACATGTAAAGCCCCAGATGAGCTGAGCAAGAACATCATGATGGTCTCGCTGGTACCACTGCCTTTCGAGGTTTGGAATACGCCCTTGGTATCCTTGTACAAGCATCCAGAAGACCACTTTGTTGAATTCAGAGGGCTTCCATCCTTGTCCACTTCTTCGAGTTCGTTATTCCTTTGAATTTGTGCGAGGAATATGTTGCTGTCATCTCGCACAAGTAATAAGTACGGATCAGAGATGCTTGCACTGAGTACTCTTGGCTCTGTATTCGTGTCTTCATCAAACATGGGCAGAATCTGGGCTAGGCCAAGATCTACAGAGAGTCAGTCACTGGTTCTCTTTTGGTTCAATGTCAAAGAACTTACCTCCGTCGTAGCACCTCACCTCGGATTTAAGAACCTGGATGATTCTATTCTCATTCCCCATGGTGCCTGCCTCGACCGTAAATCCGGCTGCTGGTTCAAACTCGGTGTCCTTGATGCTCTCGAAGCCGGCGGCTGTAAGCGCATAAACATCAGAGGTCTCATATCCATCCAAGTCCACCTTTGCGACGATCATGTACTTGTCGTAGTGACCAGCTGCGTCATAATCATGGCCAGAGCCCGCAGGCGCTGTTAACGCAGTCGGGGCCGGCTTCTTCACGCGAACTGTCCAGAAGCCCCTCGCCTCGGGGAACTCGAATCGGCCAATAATCTTGGGCTGGACGCCGCGATTGATCACTGCGATAGAGCCTGCCCTGCCCTTTCCGACCGCACATGCAAGCTCCAGATCAGCGGTGACACCCTTTGCCAGAGTTGCCTCCTCGCTTGACAGTGCAAACGCAGGCTTTCCGCAGGTAAAATCGTTGATTGGTGCGATGCAGATGAGGGTGTCATTTACGCGGAAATGCAAATCGCCTGCCTTACCTGCTTCGTTGGCTGTTTGTATGGGCTTCGCCGCTGTGGATGTGTTGCCGTAAAGATCATCGTCGTCGTCATAATCCTCGATGTCCATCTCATCAATGTCAAGGCCCAGATCAGGATCAATGATCCGGCTTCTCTTGCGTTTTTCCTGTGATTGCCTTCTTGTCCAACCCAGAACGACGGAATCGCCAGTCTCACTTCCAATGAAGCATGCGTTTTTCCCGAGCTTGGATATGCAAGTAGCCCTGCTTTTGAAGAGATTCCCTCCACACTCCTCAGTTACTAGCCTTAGGCTGAGTCCAGACACTGTGCGTCCATCAATTCTGAATGTGATAATGACTAGGTAGCCTTCCTTGGTGACAAGAAGAAGCTCCCCATGATCTATGGAAAGAATCTCAACTGTGCAGCCTTCTAGCCGGAGACCTAAGTCAGATTGATCGACCAGGTTGAACGATGTAATTTGTTTAGTGATGGGGTTCACAGCAACACCATTGGTCCTGCCCGACTGATCGACATGGATCAGCTCATTTTCTCCAAGTAACAAGGCACCGCCGATTGGGGCTGGCAAGGGCATGACCTTGAATAGATCTCGTGGGAGGTCTGTGACAGACAGAATCGTCGTCGACGCCTTTTGTTGCAAGTCCAGGGTGAAGACCTGGTATGACAGGTGGTCCTTAGCACCAAGAGCAGCAGATGGGGGCTGGGTCGAGGACAGAATTCCAAAGGTAGGTTCGCGGTACTCATGGAGGAAGGCAAGATGGATCGGATGAAGCAGACTTGGTTCAATGAGAGGAAGGCGAAGGACAAATGATGCTGTATATGCTTGTTCTACACTGTCGCTAGTCCCGTTTGCAACCGCACCCGCGTTTGACTCTTTGACCGGGCGAGGTCCATCCAAGTCCTCGTCCCAATCATCCATCTCCAAGTCTTCCTCAGATTGTCGGAATGGTAGAATAGCGAGGTTGCGAGACCCGAATTTGAACGCGGCACATCGACTTCCGGGGTCAGCGTCGAGGTAGTTGACATATTCGTTGAGAGGAAGTTCCCATGGAGCAGCCTGAATGTCATCCTTTTCATAATAGTGAAGAGATATTGTTTCCAGAGTGTTGCGCTGGGGATCCCATTCCGTCAAGCAGAGTTTGGCAGCTTTGTAGGCCAGCAACAACGCCTCACCGCCAGACGCCGTATTGCTGAGCTTCAGTCTCGCCATTCCAATGACAGTTCCGGCAAGGGGGATCTCGGCGACAAGAACAAGCTTCGTATTGTTGGATCGATCGGTTCTGACAAGCATGGACTCGCCGCCCAGAAACGAAGACTCGAGGCCCTCATCGTCGTTGACGCGGTGGTCGTAGGGAATCTCAGCCTTGGTAGATGTAGCCGTTTCGTCCTTCTGGGAGTCGAGCTCGGCAGAGACAGTCTTGGTAGCGAAGATCTGGAGGAGGGATCCCTTTGCGACAACCAGGTTGCTGGCCGCGGCAGAGGTTAGCGGGAGGGCCAGGGAGTAGGAGACGGCAGTAGGAGCCGCAAGCTCAGTGTAGGCCTGCATCGCAGCGACAGAAGCATTCTTCCGCCCGGACGCGGTCTGCTAAGCGAATTGACTTCGGTGGGAGCTCGCTCGTCTGCTGCTGTTCGGTGGTGCGATGCAGTCCCGTGAATTGAGGCCCTCGATCTGCTGCTTGGTAGTATTTTCGACCTGGAACAATTGGCAGACGCGCTGTCGCGCTAGACCTTTAGGGTCACCCCCAGTGTGTGTTTTAGCCGCAGCTGGTCACGGCGCTTGAGTCTGGGGCTTTGGGTGCCTGGAGGGGTGAGTCTCACAATCCCAGGGAGTGGTATCAAGGCTTACACGCTAGTATAGATACGGGTAGTTCTACGTCTCCATTGCGTCAGAGATCAAGCTTGGCAGCTACACCTGCGCTCGCTCCTCCCCCAAATCCAAAGAAAAACAACACAACTGGATTCCTGCCTTGATTTATTGTGCTTCTTACATTGTTGTATCTACAGTGTACCCCATTCTTCGTCTGAAAGCACAAGCGTCGCTGAATTTCTTTCTTCTACCATCGGTCGCCTATGATCACCAGCGTCCGGACTCTCGACCTCCTCGAGCTGCTACCATGGCTGACGCAGGTTTGATCCATACCAGTCTCATCTGGGTGGCCTACGCCATTGCTGTCGCCCTCTGCCTAGTCATCTCCATCATCACTACCTTTACCTGGCAGACTCCTCGGGAGCGCTCTGCCATCGTCAGCGTCGTCGCGATCATTAGCCTGACCTCATTGCTCGCGACCGTGCTTCTTCTCCCTGTCGACATCGCTCTCATCTCTGCTACGTCATCCGCGGCTAACGGGGCCAAGAAGGAATGGGCCACCCCCGAACGCATTGATAATATTCTCCTCACTCTCAAGATTGTGTATTACAGCTTGTATAGCTTCGACGGGCTTCTTTGCCTCATCGTGATACCGTTCACCTACTTTTGGTACGAGGAGTACGACGAGATCGAGTTCGAGGAGGAAGGCCGAACATGGACCAGTCGCTTTGTCTCAGCAGCCAAGTACACGCTATTCTTCGTAGCCCTCGTCGTCGTTCTGTTCCTTCTTGGTTTCTTCGTGCCAGCTGCCGGTGACGATTCACAGGCGCACTGGGACCTCGATTACTACAAGAAGCTCATATCTCAGAATCATGGCGAGAAGGCGCTTACCTTCGCCTTGGGACTTCTGATCACCATTGGCACTCTTCTCTACGTCGTGTACACCGGTGCTGGGCTCGCCCTTCTCCCAATCTCCTGGATCCGATCCGCGCCGGCGATATCTGCCCCACAGCTTTCAGAGACAACCGCATCCCAATTGGAAATGAACCGCGAGCGACAGCGCCAAATCGAAATGCGCAATGCCGGACGTCATGATGAAATGCCTCGAAAGGACCGCCGTGAGTTGGATGCTCTCGTTCGCGAGGAACAAACACTTGTACGAAGGGAGCGCCTTGCTGCTGAGGCTCAGGGTGAGGGCCGAAGCGCCGTGTACCGCTTCTGGTTCAAGCTTTGCGCATTATTCCGGCCAGTGAAGATGCTTGGTGGACTTCTGCTCCTGGTGGTCGCGGTCCTCATCTGGGTATCTATGCTCATCACGGGAATTGACAAGGCCAAGAACTCGATCTGCAAGCAACGATGCGGATACATTCTGGGTCAAATCCACATCTTCCAGCCACTGAACTGGATTTTCCTCCAGTCCGCTAAGGTTTTCCCTATTGACTATATTTTAATGGTGCTTCTCGTCCTCTTTCTCTTTGGCAGCTCTATTACGGGTGTGGCTACTGTTGGAATCCGCTTCTTGTGGGTTAAGATTTTCCAAATCCGACGTGGTAGGACCGCTCCCCAAGCACTCCTCATGGCCACAGTGATGCTCACGCTGCTTGTGCTGGCCATCAACTACGCTGTTGCCATGCTTGTAGCACCTCAGTATGCTACCTTTGGCACGCAGACCTTTTGCTCGAACAAACCCGCAGTTCCCGGACTCCAACCGGACTGCTCGGGTCATGAAGACATGATTTTCCCCTGTTCAGAAGCCCTGAAGGAGAGTCATGCTAAGGATGTATGCACACCGTCTGTGATGTCTACATTCCTTAACCGAGTTACCATTACCTGGCCCTTCTTTGGAATCGTCGATTTCTGGGCACAATTTGGTTTCCTCCTTGTTTTCTTGATTGTTCTGGTTACTGCAATAATTCGAACACCCAAGGTCAACATGTCCGAGATTGACGAAGATGCGGAAGCGGATGAGGAGGAAAGCCTTTTGGCAACCACAGGAAGACGTTTTGGAGCGACGTGGGAGGATTTCAGGGGCAAGACGTCAACCAGCAATGGTGGTGGCACAGGGGGCAGCTCGTCTTCAAATCGTGCTTAAGGTCTGTGACCGTTGTGAGTTCGCCGTTGAATTGTTAGGCAAGGGAATTTGATATTAATGTTTTGTTTGAAGGCTCTGTTTTATTTTGGGATTTGCGTGCATCATCATGGAATATGGGAGGTTTGGTAACTGGTTCTTCTCCATTTGGTTAATTTTTTTTCTCGTCCTTCCGTTTGGTTTTGAGACACGAGCTTTATGTGAAAATTGGCAACAGTATTGTTTCTATCTGAGTCCTTGATTAAAAAGATTTGTCATGCTCCTATTGCTACGCGTTTCTCCTTCTTCCCCTCTCTCGTAAAGTAAACGGCTTTGTGATCTCTATCATCAAACGCCGCCGTTGGACCAAGGTGCATCTCACGCCAACACCGCACACAATACGGGTCGTCTTCACAACCAAGGCATTTCAACGTAGCGTCTTCCAGGCATACTGTGCACCATGAGCTCATGTCGTCATCTGTGTATTTGGTGGTGGATTTCAGTCGGTTGGGCTCCTTGGCTGGCTTGGAGGTAGGTACGGAGGGGAGATCGAGAGATGGAGACGCCGAAGATGCGCGTAGTGCGGATAGACGAGCGGTAATGTCATCCAGAGTATTCGATGAAGGGGCGGAGCTGGGGACTTGATCCGTGGCGGCGAGGTCTTGAGGCACTGAAGGCAGTTCGAGGTCCGCGGCTGCCCCGGAGGTCTGGCGGTTGCCGCCCTCGTCCGAGGAATCCTGCTGCTCCTGGTTGGTGTCCTTTTGACCATCATCGTCTTCTTTGGTTCCTTGCGCTGCTTCCACTTCGATTTCGTCGCGGAAGCGGGCGATGACATCGTCCACCTCGTTGGTCATCTTCTCCCCGTCTGAATCGTCGTCCGAATCTCCGCGCGCGGCATGCGCCTTCTTAGACTCCGAAGAGTCATCTTGCGGGATAGAATGTGAGAGTTCCTCTAGCAGCGCTTTGACCTTGGCGTCGTCCGGCTCCAGCGGCGGCTCAACAGGTTCATCATCAGGGCCGACATCACCGAGCAGCTCTTCCAAGGTGCGGTCGTCTGTCCTGAAGGCCGCCTCTACGTCATCGTCGGCTTGAAGGGGATCCTCCTTCTCCGGCACCTCTGGCCTGAGCCTGGCTGGCTTTGACGGGGTTGAGATGTCCCGCCGCGCGTGCGGCTGTGAGGATGGTGAGGGGGATGGCGATGGCGATGTCTGGTCGCGCAGGGCCTTGAGACGGGAGGCTAATGCATCTTCCCGGGATGGAGTGGCGCTCTTTCTTTCGATTACGTCTACCTCTACCCTGTGGCCGGTTAGCATTCCATTCTCTCACAAGATGGTAGTAAGTGCAAAAAGTGCAAAAAGGAAGAACGGATTCGGGCGTCAATCGTAATATAGTGCACTGACTTGACCGGGGCTTCTTTCTTGGTAGTTGGGCTTGAGCCGCGCAGAGCAGCGAGCCGGTCCAGAAGCGACTTGTCCATGGCGACTACTACCCTGTGGGATATTTCAGGTTATCGGTGGGTATGCTTGTGCATGGAAATTTGGATCTCCCGAATATCGATAACATCGATAATAAGCTGGGAGTGGTGTGGTGTGAGTGAGGCTCTCATCGAAGCCGCGTAGCAGTGCTTGGGAGTGGAGCGGGGTTCAGCCGTTCGGCGGTCGTTGGCAGCCATTCGCAGTGTGTTTTCCCCATACACACAGTTGTGAGAGTGGCTTGAACTGCTGCATTTCAAGCTGCAAGTCACGTATGCCAAGCCTGCCAAGCCGGTCACTCTCTTTCTTAATTTGACTTGACAGAATTTGCAAGGAAATGCTTCTTATGGATTGGCAGGGTGTAGCCCGAAGCAGGGCCCAGAATATGGTCCGAAAACGCGGATGAGGAATGAAGCATAACCAAGCCTTTCAGGACCTTCTGCATGCAAATTCACGACCAGTTGACCCTGGACAGATTCAACAACCCGGACCAGGTACTCAATACCTTTAGGTAAGTCGGAATTTTAACTTTAGATGGGGTAAGCCCTCTCCAAGGGAGATTGACTTGGCAAAATCAGGATATCGGCTTCGACAATTCTATATGTTGGGGGAGACATTAACTGGGCCAGCAATGACCTAAAACCGAAAGAGCGCGTGATTACCATCTTGACTCTCTTCCAGAGGCGCGATGCCTTGCACCATATGTTAAGCGACATGGGCATTTCGTCTACTGGTACTCAAAACCGCATGATTGGGAACACGTTCTCGAATAGCCTACCTACTCTGTGGATATCTCGCGGCAGAGAGGACCGACGGATAATAGTTGAGCGACCCGGGCCGGGCACGGCACATGACTAGATTTCTATGCAGCTCCGGCGGAAATGGACTGACTGACTGGCAAGGCAGAAACGGCCAGCGGGGTTGCCATCAGTATCAATATTCCGAGAAGACGAACTCTCCCGGACATGAGACGGGCGAACAACGAATCCTTCTTTGCACAGAGAGGGGAGTACACTCCACTGGCAGATGAGGGATGGACATTGTTGCTTCGTTCCGTAATTCGGTTCGAGAACTCGTGTCTCGCGTTCAGAGCGGCCAAATCCGCAGACCTGTGATTTGGCTGACTGATGCCCTTGCGATGTAAGAAAGGGGTCTCACTCTCATTGTCTAAGCGCCCACTCGAATAAGTCTGCCTGATAATGTCAACCGTGGCAGCTATTGGAAAGCAAATGAGACGCAGTGATCCGCTGTGGGAGGCATGACTGGGCAGTTGTAACATAGAGTGAGCCCACCCTTTTAGCACAGCCTTCCAATATCTGAGTTGGTGTTGTACATTGACAGGCCTAGGTGCAAAGGAACCGCTTCACCTTCTAGAATGGTTACATGGGCCGTTATCCGAGCCCCATGCTTCTACATCTGTGTATAAGCCAGCCAATTGGCTCTTCGGAACTTGTCTGTGATCCCCCTCTTCGGGCAAAGCAGATCAAAACATCACTTGATGAGCTGGGCTGTGCACCTATTGTTTGGAGAGGTGCGTCGGGCATGGTCGATGTTCGCCCCTGTCGCCTTGTGGAGATTCGCTAGGTGGAATCATGGGCCTGGCTCACTGACCCCTGACATACATATGAGACGGTGGTATGAAGTTAAAGCAGTCAAGGTGGCAGTGAACCCCATCAATCGATCTGGGACCCCGCAAGGCTGTTTGGCGCGGCGCGGATAAGTCTTTGGGTCATGATGGACTGATGAGCCATGCTGATGTTGGCCGTGACTCGCGAAGGTGAGATTCACGGCGCACAGTCCAACATGTGGTCATCAACGGGCGTTTGTTTGTTTGTTTGAGAATGCCCATGGTGGATTCAAAGAGAGGACAAGGCAAAGCAAGGCGGAAGAGAGGGAGAGCCAGCAGGCCTTGAAGGCCAGAAAGCTGCGCTCGCTGTCTACCCGTCCTGCCGCCTTCACCTCACTCAATCGACATTACCTCAAAACAGTCACCCATCTCAAAGGCTTAATCAATATGATGCTCGTATAACTGGACGAAAACACGGGCCCGAACTCGGCCTAGTCCTTCGGCCGCCACGCCGATTGCCACAAAGAGTCAATCAGCGTCAATGATCTGATCGAAGAAGCAAGGACCCGCAAGTGTTCACGAATTGCCACAGGACAAGCTTGGCATGACGCTAAGATTCGCCTGGAGAAAGGGTCTTTCTGTACGAGACGCCACGGAGAGCTTCAGTTGGCAAGGCTAAGCAGTTAGTTCCATTATTTCCGTGTGCCGGCTCCCTTCTCAGCCACAGATCTTGACAAAACTACTACATGAAGAAATGAGATAAGTTTCTGCCTGTTCAGCCTCGCCGCCCTTAGTCGGGCGCGATCTCAATGGGGGGTCTTTCAAGAGACAAGTAGCGCCAAAGTAGTTGAGATAATGAGATGCTTTGCTTGTACAGCTATGTATCGTCGCAGAAATCCATTCAAACGCTGGGGTTACATACCTGGTCAGAGATAAGCTTCCCTTGGCTTCTCTGGGAACTGGGCTACACCGCGCACATTAATTACCACTTTAGTACGTCGGGCAGAGAAATATCTGCAGACATCTCGCATAGACGGAGGGATGCCCCAGGCTCGATGGGAAGTAACAGTCTGGAACTTCCTACTTGCACTCGCGAGCGGAGCATGAAGTGGTGATGTGTACATACCAATTGTTGCTCTGCGCCATGTCGCATACAACAATACAACCAGGTAGCTGGAACACAAGTGGCGTAGGGCTGGTCAGATTAGATCATGCGTTATATCGTTACTGGGGGATCAGAAATTATGCAATTGTACATTTTCAGATTGGGAAATATCCGCCACAAGCTTAAAAGTGGCCCCTATTTTCAATTGGTTTGATCGCTGCATGTGTTTCTTGCTCGGTGTGTGCTGACATCATGAATAATCTTCAGTAGTGGTGATCAGCAGTAAATTTTTACAGGGCCTAATGCTGGCCCCAGTCGCTGAGCTAAAGGCCCAAAGTCATGTCATGTATCTGCAGCGTCTTCAGTGGGTGTTTTAGCAGAGCCAGGGCCAAGCCGGAAGACAAGGAGCCACCCGCATTCTGAGGAGCTGTGTTTGGTGCTGATGGACCAGGAGCGTGGAGAAGGATTACTGGTTGCTTTATTATTAGAGGGCTGACGCAGGGTTGTTCTCAGCTCCTCGCGACCCTTGCAGAAGCAATTCTCACAAGCACCAAAGGAGGCCTCACTTCGCTGCAAAAGGAGACGAGACACTGTGACAAATGTGGTTGTTTGCGTATCCAAGGGTTTCATCAAAAGGTTGAGTCAGAAGAAGCGCCAGAGTTGGGGTACTGTACTGTACTGCCTGTTTCTCAGCGTCTGCCCTACTCAGCCTCCGGATTTAATCTAAGGTTCCCTCCAGGGCAGGTGGGTTTGACAGTGCCCAGGCTAATTAGGCTATCCCATGGCTGGTTAGCCGATCCCTGCGCCTGCCGTAGTGCTGCAGAGGTACATTAGCACAGCCACCCGGACTGCCTTGCAAAGGGACCATGTTTGTTCTAAGGTCATTCAATCTGCGATTAACCTTACAAGGAATATTCGACTACTGATATTTAAGCCTATTCCCCTCGGGCTTCCCACATTCCGGTGTCTCATCTCAACCAGACTGCTTAAAACGCTTCAGCCCGCACCCGACGTCTCTCAAACAATTGACGCATACAGTATCGAGTTGATTGTTCCTTACCCTACGACCAAGAACATACTTGGCAGTACACAGTTACCCAGACACACACAGCAGCCATGAGGTCGCATCTAACCTTCATCACCTTCATCGCCTTCCTCTTCGGCCTGACGGCAGCTCTCGCCATCGATGAGTCCAGACTTCACAAAGATGATCTCGAGCTACTGAGCTCAGAGATCCAGGATCGGGACTCGGACGCGACGCACGAGCTCTGGAAGCGCAAGGGTGGGGGAGGTGGCGGTCGTGGTGGCGGCGGCGGCAGCAAAGGCGGCAGCAGCAGCAGCAGCAAGGGAAGCAGCAGCAGCGCCTCTCGAACCAACAAGGCGTATGTATTCAAACTGCCATCGCAGACCATGGATGGATCCGGCTAACCCTCACATTGCAGATACTACCCAGGCGCTCAAGGAGGCAACACCGGAGGCTACTCACCCGGTGGCTCCGGTCCTCAGCCTCGCTTTGTCTCAAACACATACTATGGCGGTGGTGCAAAGGCTCCTTACCCAGCTGGAGGCAGTCCCAGCGGCAAGTCGATGACCAGCTCCCGCACAGCCAGTCCCTTAGCCTACTACCCCGGATACTGGCCACCCTATCCCATCTTCATCTACCCTTACGGCTATCACCACAGCTACCGCAACAAGACCTCCAACCAGAACGAGACGCGCGAGATCATCTGCGCCTGCCCTCAGTACTCTTCATGCATGTGCGACGATGTTGAGGACACCAAGTTCTGGGACGAGCTCATCGGCGACGGCGACTACAAGAAGCTGAACAAGTCTCTGGTCACCGTGGCTCAGGTTGATGGCAAGACCAAGATCGTCCTCAACGGAACCGTTCCCAACGGTACCACCACCGACTGCAAGAACTCCAAGGACTGCGAAGCCTACTATAGCGACGCCGCCAGCCTTCTGGTTCACAGCCTGGGTCTGTGGCCCGTAGCCTTCACCGTCTTCGCGAGCGTCTTCTTCCTCTAGAGCGACACCCGGAGCACCCTTTCCTTATTTTCTTTTCGTGTACTTTTGAACGGGTGACACGCATGAACGGGACTGCAAGCGCATTTTGGATTGTTTTGATTTTTTCTCTCTTTTTACTCTACTCACGGGAAATGACCAGTTATGCATATATCACGGCGCTTTGGTATGATACTTGATTTGATTTTTGATAGACTTGTGAACATCACTGTCGGGGGTAACGAAGGGTTGACTACCCGGACCTTGGCTTGGGAAAATGTACCATATCTACAGAGCAATTCCATGATACCCATAAGAATGTCATTTTTTTCTACCTCTATAATCTATCCCATGCATTCATGATGTGTTGTAGAAATCGACTACGCTCTAAATAAACCGTGATCATCATTATCTACTCCTGCTCATCTAGTATCTCTCCTCGCGAGAGTAAGAGCGGTATTACTTCCCCTCACATATTCCCGACTCAACCAGCCAGCGAATACCTCCACTTACTTTTTAAAGCCCCGTCCAGCTTCAACTCTAAACCCCCTCAAGCTAACACCTCACTTTGAGCTTCCACTCCCCACGCAGCCCCCTCGCCACAACATGCATCACACAGCAACACAGAGCAGCCACGGCAGCCCACACAGTCGCCCAGCGCCACTCACCCCCCGCCGCCTGTTGTATCAGCCCCCCCAGCGGCGGTCCCGTCAACCCGGCAATGGAAGCGACGCTGAAGCACATGCCCATCCGCGTCCCCACCATGTCGAGCCGCTTCGTGATGGCCGCGATGCCCGTGCTGATGAGGGACTGGTACCCGCCGTTGACGAGGCCGTACGTGACGGTGAAGGCGTAGATGCCGGGCACGTCGCGGACGGCGAGCCAGGAGAAGGCTACGCAGGCGACGCCGGCGGCCGAGAGGGTGACGACGTTGAGGACGCCGAAGCGGTCGGCGAGGATGGGGACGAGGACGCGGGTGGGGAAGCCCGCGCCGTTGATTATCGTCACGAGGAGGGTGGCGTCGGCCTGGGAGAGGTCTATTACCTGCTTCCCAAAGGATGCGACCTGCCGAGGGGTGTTAGTGAGGTTTGGTGATTGGGGAGGGGAAGAGGGAGATGCGTACGTAGTACATGGTGTAGAAGACGGTCCAGATGAAGAAGAAGACGCCGAAGACGTAGGTTACGTAGATGGGTTCCGTGAAGGCGGTCCAGTCGATGATGGGGCCGGATCTCCTGGGCGGTAGTCTGGGACGCATGAAGCTGATGACTAGCAGGAGGCCAGCCATGTTGATGAAGCCGAGCGTCAGGGCCGTCCACTTGAAGCCCACCTTGGGGAGCAGCTGGCGGACGACGAGGGGGTAGATTATACCCCCCGCTGAGTTTCCGGTGGTCGCGATGCCCATGGCCAGGCCTCGTTTCTTGCTAAAGTAGGTGGCCACGAGGGCGAGAGAGGGCGTGAAGAAGATGCCTCCGCCGAGACCGGTCAGGACTCCCTGGGTAAGCATGAGGTGCCAGTAGCTCTTCGAGACGGCCATAAGGAAGATCCCGAGGAGCTGGAGGAGGGCGCCGATGACGAACGTCGGGAGGAAGAAGCCGGCGTCGAGCAGGCGGCCGGAGAAGGCGCCGATGAAGTAGGTGAGCCATGTCTGGATGGAGCCGATCCAGGAGATGGCCGAGGCGGACTCGGGCAGGGTGGATGTGTAGTAGACCTGGAAGCTCCCAAAGGAGTTGATGTAGCCCCAGGTGGTGAAGATGGCTACCCAGCCCATGGCGACTTGGAGCCAGGCGTGGAGGCCGCCATCTGGGGGAGGGGGGATGGCGTCTCCGGGGAGAATCTCATCTGGGGTCGTTGCATCTTGGTCGCTATCGGTGTGAACCTCCCGGATCCGAGTGTGAGAGGGGACCTTTTTGGCTGAGTCGTTCCGTTCTAATGAGCTCAGCGTATGGCTCGCGTTCTCAACATCCTCGAATCGAGAGGATACTACCTGATTCACAGAATTGCTCGCCATTGCGATGATTCATCGAGGACTGGGGAGTCCTCCACTTTTCAACATGGGAGGCTCAACCGGATAGATCACAGCAAGGGGGCGAGAACAACGAGAAATGAAGGCAATTGGACTCTGGGATCTGCAATTCGCTATATAGAACAGTATGTAACAGCGGCAACAATTGAGAAAGGCGACATTGGATTGATATGAGAACAGAGTAGTTGGCTGGGTGGGACATGGAAGGCCCAAGACGAAGGACTAGGGGCGGTATGCGGAAAAGGCCCCTGCAAGTTGGGCGACAAATCCCGGGATGAAAGTATTTACGGCCATGCCCACTATTATAGAGCAAGCAAAGGCGTGTAATTGTGCCTTTCCTGGGAGACCCGATTTGTTTCTTCAACACGGGGCTAGCTCGGAAAGGCGGTGCCGGACAGAGGCCCACGAAACGGTCCCGCCAGTTGGACCGCAGGACGGACTAAGGTCCGAGTTTCGGAGAAGGCAGAGCGAAAGAGATTGAGCACACCGTTGGTGTCAGTCTGCTCCCGGATTACTCTCTCCCCCGAGGCAACGAGTTCAACAGCAAGCTGGGAACCTGGACGAGCTGCTAGACGTTGAAGAGTTGGACCATCGGAGGATGGTAGAGAATATTCACTCCTCTCCCGGCCACATGCCACTGAATTGGCACTGAATGAGTTCAGCTAGGCGGTCACTTCTGGCGACTGAGCCTCCAATTCGACAGCGGTCCTAAGAAACGTAGTCCTGGGCGAGTGATTAAACATCTAGGGAGATAGGAGTAGAGCGCGGATGATGAAGCTTCGCTGATCAACAAGTAGTAGTGCCTCTTGTGAAAGCAATGTACATAATTGCCATGAACCAGTGCTAACATGAGAGCGCATTGTACCAGGCCGAACCCGCCAGTGAATTTCTCCTTTCGAAACGGACCATTCCGCAGGCCTGTGAACGGCTGTCTTTGCCATGGGTGAAGTGGCTAAAAAGTTAGACTATGGACACGATCGCCCATCGAGAATAGTCGAAAGGCCGTGCGATCAAGGTTCTCGCAACCCCAGAGTCACCAGGGAAACTCTTTAACGGACACTAGGCTTAGACTGAGAGGGATTGCTCAAACTCCAGGACCAATTGAATGCACTGTCGCTCCGGCAGTTGATTCCTCTTCAAGATGAAGCGAAATATAACGATCGGCCACAAGCCATATTGTAGTCAACAGCGGAAGTAGCCCGCACTATCTCTTAAGACTCCTATGAGTCGAGGGACATCATTAGACCGCCCCCCTTTATGGTATTGAGAGTTTGATCTTAGCCCAACTGCGACGACAAAGGCCTTGAGCCTGCATATTGAGCCAATGGTGTTATGAGCTGGGAGGAACTTTCAAAGCATGATTCTCAGTGACCACACGAAAGTTCCTGAGAGTTGATGCCGAGTCATATAAGCTGATCTAAGATCTTGTGACAATCCGAGGGTAGGCTAGGCCGGAATCCAGTCAATCAGTCTGTAGGTAGGCCAACACACTCGCGCGCATATGTTAAACTTGGAAATGCCATCTTGAGTATTGGTTTGTGGCGACGGCCAAACCTAGACTGGGCGGGGAGGCAAGGAGGAGGTTGGCCTCGCACGGCAGATTTAGGAGGCGGAATGGACGCGGTGATTCTCGTGAGGTGGCGGATCGTCCCTAAATTGTGGCTTGCAATGGGTGATCAATGTCTCACCTCCCGGCACTGGATAGGTGGGTTGTGGTCTCGTTCTGCCGTCTGGTGGAGAGCTGAATGCGAGCTGCGTCGTGCGTGTCTAGGCTACGATAGCAGTAGTCTGCCGGCAGAAAGGGGGGGAGAAGGAAAGCAATGAAGCATCGAGAGCTGGATCAATGCCATCACGACTGATCTGGGGTACTCATCGCATCGTACAAATGAGTAGAGATCCCAGTGATCCTCCAGACTGATTGACTGGGTACGTTATGCAGGTAATGTGCCTGGGCTGCATCAGTGATTACGTAGGTACCTACAGGCTGCTGCGCCGAAAGTGGGAAGGGCGGAGACGGGCGGGAGGGCTAGATGGGGCCTGTCGCCAATTGGAAGAGGCGCTGTCGCCCCAAACCAGGCGCCAACTAACGTCACGTTGTCCGCCTACCAGAGCCTCCCCAGAGCCTGACAGCCAAGCCCCAGGCCCCAAGCTCCCCATCTTCTATAACCCATCGCCTGCGTCCCTCCTCGACCTTTGCACATCTCGCGAGAGGCCTCAATCTTCCCCTCCCGGAGCTCTCGCGCAACCTCACCAGCTCATCCAATCTTGCGACCCCCTAGAGCGACCTTGTCGCACCACCGCCAACATGGGTTGGAACGTGAGTCTTACGACCTCAGCCTCAGCCTCGACGACAGCTCTCAACTGACTATCGAGTAGGTCTTCCGATACTTGGGAGATATCTCCCACATGCTCTCCAAGATCATCTTGATCCTAGCCATCCACCGCAATCGATCATCGGAAGGAGTCAGCTTGATCACCCAAGGACTCTATGCCGTCGTCTTCTGTACCCGATACCTTGACCTCTTCAACCCCATGAAGGACCATCCCGCGTGGAACGTGGTCTTCAAGACGGTTTACATCCTCTCGTCCTTCTACACAATTGGAATCATGCAGTGGATGTTCCCTCGATCGCGCGAGAGGGAGTTTGCTTGGAAGATGGGCGCCGTTGTCGCAGCTGGATCACTCCTGCTCTCCCCATTCGCCATGCTCATCTTCGAGAACAAGCAGAGGTGGTCATTCATTAACGTATGTCTGGAGATGCTCACAGATCTAAGCAGCTGAATAAGCTCTCTGTCACACAATGCTAACTTGCCTGACTTATAGTGGCTCTGGGTCTTCTCCGAGATCCTCGAATCCGTTTGCGTGCTTCCCCAGCTTCTACTCCTCCGCCAGACGACCGTCCCTACAGTCATCAACAGCTTCTACCTCGTGACTCTCGGTTCATACCGCGGCTTCTACTGCATCAATTGGATATGGCGCTACTTCGACAAGAACGACCCGGGCGCCCCTCTCGTGTCTGTCATCTTTGGAATCATCCAGACAGCGCTGTACATTGACTTCGCCTGGGTATACTACACCCGCCAGCGCGTCAAGCTCAGGGGCGGCGGCATTGTCGACGCCGACGATCTTCGCAGGAGTTGGCTTCTTCGCCGCATCTTTGGCAAGAACGTCACCACATCGATCGACGACGATGACGAGGAGAGCGGCCCTGCCCTGGGAGGCGAAGGTGGCGTCCGTGGCGGCAGCCGGCCCAAGTGGGGATCCAGGGGCATCTCCATCAGCGCCGATGACGACGTCCTGGACTCGGAGCGGGAGCACCTGGCGCAGTCCGATGGTGTCACCGACTCCATCGATCCGGATGCCAAGATGCAGGATCCCGACGAGCTAGCCAAGGCGCTCGACGATGAGGAGGAGGAAGAGGCTGGACCTGCCAGCCGCCCCAACAATGGCAACGCCAGCGGAGTCCGCAATGACGAGTGGGACGATTAGGCCGGATCAGAGGAGGACATCTGTGAATTTGTGGACAGAGTAGGACACACTACCTATACTAACCAGATGAATAAAGAGCAGAGTATGCAAATTAGGTGTTTTAGGACTGGACATCAAGGCTGCCTAGCTCAGCATGTACGAGGAGCATTAGTTTTGGATTTGGACATGAAACCACGATTTACACAAGGTTGTGAACTTCATCCCATTGTCTGTTCTTGGTTTTGTATTTTTCTTATTTTCCGGTTGTGCAAAGTCACTTATGGGAGACGCTTGGTTTTAGGAGTTATCCAAAGACATGAATAAAATATATACCTAAAAGAATAAGAGCACTTCTTCTCCTTGATCAGGTTTCCCAAAGACTCCTCCAGTCGTGGCATCTGTGCATTCCGTTCACTGAAACCCAGAAAGCTTGGCCCAACGGACATCAAAGTATATATACATAACGCGCAACTGCCGCAATCGCTCGTAAGGCAGTTGAAAACGAAACCCAGACAGTTGTAGCGATCTTAACAACCGATTAAACAAAACCCAGGATGATAATAATAATAACAATAGAAAAACAAGAAACCCAAGATTTGAGCACCAAACAAGCCGCTTCAGTGTCATCGGGCAAAACGGTCCTCGAACTCCTTATATAGCTTGGGGCTGATCTCGTCGCTGCTCATCCCCTCCACTTCCAGCAAGACACCCTTTCGGGCGTAGTGCTCCAGGAGAGGCTCGCTCGTCTGCCTGAACTTGTCCAGACGGTTGCGATAGACATCAATGTTGTCGTCGGGTCGCTGGACAAGAGGCTCTCCGGTGATGTCGTCGTGGCCGGGGACTCGCGGGTTATTGAAGGTGGTGTTGTAGACGCGGCCGGACGGCTCGTGGACCCAGCGGCCGGCGATCCGCTCGAGGATGACGGAAAATGGGGTGACGATGGAAATGGCCAGGTTGATGGGCACGATGGACTCGAGACCGTGGGCCTGCGTTGCGTTGCGGGGGTAGCCGTCGAGTATAAACGATGCGGAGGGGTCCTCGGAGGCCAGGATGGGCTCGAAGCTGGGAGGGGGGTCGCCGGGCGCCTCGACATCGGCGGCCTGGAAGTTGACGGTGACGGGTGGGCGCTGGCCGAGCAGCCATCCTCGTGTGTGGAGTTCGTTGGAGATGAGGCGCATCATGATGTCGTCGGCGACGAGGCCGCCGCTCTTCATGATTCCCTCTGCTTGGATACCTTTTTCCCGGGCAGGCGGGGGTTTGGTTAGCCAGGCGCATTCACTCTCGGGGGGCAATAGCCCCAGCTTGGGACTGGATATGGACTCACCCAGCGCTGTCCGCCGCTTGACATTGGTCCGGAGAAGGTCGCCGGTGCTGATTGACTGGAGCTGGGGGAAGCGGGCGAGGAGACGCTCGCTCTGGGTGCCTTTCCCCACGCCCGGCGCACCGATCAGGATGACGCGCGCGGCCCTCCTCAGCTGCGTTGTGGAGGACATTTTCTCCCCTTTCTGCTTGCTCTAGGCGTCTAGCCTCTATTTAATACGTATTTTATTGCTGCTGAGGATATGATGAAGGTGGTGGAAAGCAGGGCGGTTCGAGCGGCTCAAGCGGCCGAGGGACGGATGGAGGTGCAGATCAGATGCGACGGATTGGGGTGGGATCGGAAGCAGACACACACACCCACTGGTACGAGGGAATGAACGCTATAGCGAGCAAATTGAATGCAGATCCAGGGTATCTCAATTGGAAGAAGGAAACAAGGGACAAAAGGGAAAGGGAACCACAGGTTGAGGAAAAGATATTACGAATCCGTCACGGTGGTGTGGTTTTGATTTGAGCAAGTGGGCATTCGCTATCAAAGGCCGAGTCCGCATTGGCAACGGGCTGGGGAGGGGGCAGCAGGAACCTACAGGGCGACAGCTGTGCGCGCTCGGGCCATTTGGGGCCCTGTGGCCCCCCCCGAGACCGCTCTGGTTGCGGGGGTGGTGCAGTCCGATGCGACCTGCGCTGCCCGGAACAAATCGTGGCACCCGCCGCTACCTGACTGATTAATCAAGTGCCATTCCAGCACCTATTGGCTCGCTCTTAGTGCTGCACGAGGGGGAGGTGTTTGATGGGACTACGCGGGGTTTGGCTTCGCAGCTGACGTTGCAGTTGTCGCCCATTCATGTGTTGTCGTCACCTCATTAGGCTGCTACGGTCTCATGCGACAGGCAAGCCGATCAATATAGAAGAGCACACGTATCTTCACTGCCACTTGTTTCGTTATGACCAATATGCTTGCCTGTTGCCATCGCCAATGCATCCAATTCCGGAGCCCTGGTTGACGCAGCCCAGCCCAGTGTACCACCAATTTGGTCGGGACCCTTGTCGCTCACCAAAATCGTGAACTTTGTTGAGGAACGGAACTTGACTTGGCATGTCGGATCCTTCGGGATGCCGGGAGGGCATAGTGCCAGATTGCTCTGGGCGAGCGCTGTGGGACCATTCTAGGACCCTTCGACATTTGACACAACGCACTAAGCATGGCATGGCCTGGCCAGGACAGTCAGTGTCAGACATAGAATGGCCAGATAGAACCCTGTGATTATCATGATACCACACCATGTTGCAGCATGACAGTCATTGAACAGGCCAAATTTGTTTCTGTTCGAGACCAACCTGCTCGGCTAGATCATAATGGCTTCCCAACTGCCCAATCCATCTGGAATGAAGCTGCGAGATCTCGCCCCTCGCCCCACTGATCTGCAGTAGTCTGAAGCGAGTCACGTGTAAATTCACGTGAGTTTATCGCGGCCAACCACAGGCCACCGTGCTTCGTCTCTTGGTCCAATGGAAGGGGATTACGGTTAGTCCCTGCCCAGTACCGAGAGATTCCCGACTCATGTCCACTGAAGCCCAGCGAAAGTCTCTCTTTCATCATCACCCTCATTCGAGCCAACGACATCATCTCTTAACTCCGACGTTCATTATCGATTCCATCTTCATCACAGTTCGACCGACGCCATGAGCGCCTCATCCAATGTGGCCAGGAGAGCGGTCGCTCGCAATCCTCTCTTGGGAAATGGTAATGTTCACTTCGTTCCCGTTCGGACTTTAGAAAAGCTTATATCGAGTGCTAACTCCCGCCTGCGCACACAGCCCGAATCTTATCCCGCGGCATCTCTCCAGCCATCATCAACCGCCATGTCAGCAGACACGCCCAGATTCCCGCTCTCGCCCTCCTAGTTCCTGCCCGATACATGGGCACCGAACACCACCGTCCAGATGGCCATTCGGCTGGCCCGCCACCCGGCTTCAACGCGGAGCAAGCTAAGAGACCACTCCCCAAGGACAGCTCGGCAACCAGCTCCGCAGTCAAGGGCGACAAGAGTTCTCAGATCAAGAAGCAGGATGGCGCTGTCTCAGCGGCACCTGAAACCCCAGAGGAGGCCAAGATGTCGCAATTGGAGGCGAAGAAGGTAGATGTCCTGGAAAAGGTCGAAATCGTCAAGCAGGAGAGGGAGGAGAAGAAGTTGACTATGTGGGAGAAAGTCAAGCATGAAGCACAACACTACTGGGACGGCACGAAGCTGCTCGCCGCCGAGGTCAAGATCAGCTGGCGCCTCGCACTCAAGATGGCTGCTGGCTACGAGTTGACCCGCAGAGAGAACAAGCAGCTCCAGCGCACTGTACGCGACTTGGGCCGACTCGTCCCCTTCTCAGTCTTCATCATTGTGCCCCTAGGTGAGGCACTGCTGCCCTTAGCCTTGAAGCTGTTCCCCAACATGCTGCCCAGCACGTACGAGGGACAAAAGTCAAAGGAGAAGAAGGCCGCTCTTTTGAGATCCACACGAAAGGAAGTTAGCACTTTCTTGAGAGGGACGCTCAAAGAAACAGGCCTGCCTTTGAGCCAAGCTACAGCTCACAGGGAGGAGTTTGCCAACTTCTTCCGCAAAGTCCGGTCCACGGGCGAAGCTCCTACTGCCGAGGATGTGATCAAGGTCTGCAAGATCTTCCGCGATGACATGACGCTGGATAACCTTTCTCGACCCCAGCTGGTCTCCATGTGCCGCTACATGTCACTCAACACTTTTGGTACCGATGCCATGCTCCGTTACCAGGTCCGCCACAGAATGCGCCAGATCAAGCGTGATGACAGGGCCATTGCATACGAAGGTGTCGAGAGCTTGACGGTAGCCGAGCTCCAGACTGCCTGTGCCGCACGTGGCATTCGCACGCACAGTGTCTCTCCGGCACGCATGCGTCAGGATCTGCAGACATGGCTCAACCTTCGTCTCAAGGAGGGCGTCCCCTCAACACTCCTCGTTCTGAGCAACGCCTACATGTATGGTCAGGAGTCTGGTGAAGGCGCTAACCAGATCGATGCTTTGATCGGAGTTCTGTCATCCATTCCTGAGGAGCTGTTCCACGAGATCGAGCTCGAGGTTCACCACGCTGAGGGTGCCGCTACCAACAAGCAGCGCCTCGAGGTTATCCGAGAACAGCAGGACCTGATCGAGGAGGAGAATAGCCAGAACCATGAGAGCCAAAGCACCGGGTTCGCCACTCCCCGAGACACGGAGGATATTGACGAGGAGAAGGAGGAGCGCCAGGCAGTAGCTGTCGCCGAGGGCGTCAGCCAGACTGTGGCCAGCGAGATGCTGGACGCAGAGAAGGACCAGATCAAGGCGGTGCAGCAGGAGGCCAAGGCAGCTCCTGCAACCAGCGAGCAGAAGTAAGGGACCTGCAGCGCGTGGTGATGATATATATATATATCCCTTTTTATCCCTGCTCATTATTGGGCATTTCGCATCTCAACGACATCAATTGTATATCTCACATGTATGATTTCTACGGAACCAAAGGGACGGACTCGGAGCGTGTATGAAAGAGCGGCACAAACGCATTATTCAAGACCGGTGATAGTGTATGCACCGCCGGCGGGGGCACTGGTATAGACAATACACAAGGTGACAGACAGCTTAGACTTTTTTTTTTCTTTGTTCTATCATATTTCTACTCTTTCATATGAAACAATCGAAACCGGCCATTCGCTCTTGCGAGGATGGCATCATTTTGCGTCGCTATACTATAGGTATATATAATTGTGAGGGATGATTGTGTGTGTGTGTGCGTGTGCCTGGCTACAGTTCTGCCAAATGGCTCAACTCTCACTCGCCCTAGGCTCTGTCCATTCGCCGAGAAAATATGACAATTATAGTGGGCGAGCCGGTTTCGAGCCGACGACGGCCATCCATTTTGCGATGGTCGCAGGGCTGAGGGCCGGCGGTCGGCTCGTCGGGCATCTCATACCCCCGACAAGACGCTCTTGGCAGTGCAGCGATGCGTCGAAGACGGTCGCCATGAGAGAAGCAACCAAAAGGGGACTGCTACGCGCTCTCGATGCAGCAACGGGTCCAACCTCAGGTGGGGGAGCCTGCCCATCTCCGGTCTCCAAAGGAGGTGACGTGATGACGGTGAAGCTTTATGTCTGCAGGCGTGAGCTGGGACTGGACTGAGCCGTTTGAGGGCCGTTTCAGAATTCGAGGGGGTGGCGAAATCTGTCGCGGTCTCGTATCATCACTCTCTCGCCGCTTGTTTCATGTCCTTCGGCAACGGACGTGGGGTGAAGCTGCAAGTAAGCAGTTTCCCGGATGGGGCTGGTAATACATCATCAGGGCTCGATTAATTGTATTTCCTCTTCATTTTGGTCAAAGGTAGAGATGGTGGGATCTGTCCTTTTGGGTACATGCAATTAGATATAAGCCGCTATACTCGGCCTTCAGAAAGCAGATACGTGTCCAAAAATTGGAAGCAGGCGGCAGCAGTGAAGCCAATCATTCAATCGAGCGAATGTCATTACGGACGCTGTCAGCAGCGAACATGAGCGTGGCAACAATTGAATGCTCGAGCGCCATCATCCCTGCTCGGATTCTGGGGGACTATGGGAGGTTTCCTTTCTGGCACGGCATCTCAGTTCGTGGGTCCGATCTGTGGCTGGGCAACCATGAACTCACCGTCGGTTGCTTGTCAGCGTTCAAGATATCTTAATGACATAAAATGAAATGAAATGGTTCAAAAACAGGACTATGAGTAGAAAACTACCATGTATGATCGATATAGCAGTGCAGTCTGCCTCGTGGCGCTGGCCGGGAGAATTCAGCGTACATATCCAACTATTGAACGCTGCTGTTCTAAAATAAGCCGGGGCAAGCTCGAGCCACAGTGATTGATTGGAGGTGAGGCGGGTCACTGCTCGTCCCATTTACGATCCGGGGACCGAACCCACTCTCACCAAAGATCCATCCCGATGGCGAATATCTGCATCTCCCCAGCTAGTGATGCTACGCGTCGCTGGGCTGAAGCAGACCAGGCTATGTTGCGTCGACTGCCTGGTTTGTCAGCTTCGCCTGGTATAAGTAACAGCTTCCCCTTGCTGGATCTTGGCTCTCGGGACCATCCATCTACCTCATTCCACTATATTACATCATCTACATTTCCTTAAGTCATAATAATACATATTGGCAGTGGGATAGAATAGGAGAAGAAGACCTGGTTGTCCATTCTTTTAGCCTCACAATAATTAGCCATGTATAAACACCTCGTTCTTGGAGCTGGCCTCCTGTTTGCCTCGACGGCATTGGCAGCTCCCGTGCCTCAGACCAAAATAGCTTCCAATGGCGGGTACATTGTTGTTCTCAAAGATACGGTCAAAAACTTCGAGTCCCATATCGAATGGGCTAGATCGGTTCACAAGCGAAACCTCGCCAAGCGGGACTTGGACGAGAGAACATACAGTGGCATCGACTTCACCTATACCGGAAACAACCACTTCAACGGCTATGCCGGTCACTTCGACCCCGACACCGTTGAGGAATTCCGACATTCCGGTGATGTGAGTGACAGTCATAACTTGATACCATTTTGCTCTTGAGCGTTCTAGCTGACAGATCATACTCTAGGTTGACTCTATGGAAGAGGATCAAGATTGGACAATCGGCACCATCGACGTTCCCGAGTCGGAGGCAGATGAGGAGGAAGAGGAAGAGGAGCTAGAGACGAGAGACATAACAGAGCAAAAGAACGCTACCTGGGGTCTGAGATCCATCTCCCATCGCCAACCGGGTGGTGACAACTACATCTACGACGAGAACGCTGGCGCCGACACCTACGCATATGTAATTGACAGTGGCATCCGCATCACCCACGAAGAGTTTGAGGGCCGCGCCGAGCAAGCATGGACCGCCTACGGGGACGACCACGAAGACAAGATCGGCCACGGCACTCACTGCGCTGCCACCATCGGAGGCAAGAACTACGGCGTTACCAAGAAGACCAAGCTGATTGGCGTCAAGGTCTTTGACCAGAACTCGACCACGACCTCCATCATCATTGAGGGAATCGCCTGGGCCTTTGACGACATCATCGCCAAGAACCGTGTTGGCAAGGCCGTCCTGAGCATGTCTCTCGGCGGCACTTACTCCCCCACCATGAACAGAATCCTCAAGAATGCCGCCAAGCACGGCATCATCCCCGTCGCCGCCGCAGGAAACGACGCCCAGGACATATCCAAGGGCTCTCCCTCGTCAGCCGAGGGAGTCATCACCGTCGGTGCCATCGACTCGGACTGGACCGTCTACGAGAAGTCCAACTTTGGCAAGAACCTCTCTCTGTACGCCCCGGGCGTGATGATCGAGTCTGCCGGCCACACCAACGACACCGCGATCGTCAAGAAGACGGGCACATCCATGGCCTGCCCTCACGTTGCCGGCCTCGCCCTGTACGCCATGACTGTCGATGGCATCACCGGCACCGACAACGTCAAGAAGCACCTGCTCAAGAACGCCACGCCCGACAAGATCTACGGCGACCTGAACGGGTCGCCAAACTTGATCGCCAACAACGGCAACTCACAGCAAGAATAAAGTAAAACGATAAAAAGCATTTAATGATTGTGTCTAATTTAGCGAGTCCTTTATTTTTCCTATGTTACGAAAACTAGCATCCAGCATTAGCGAGCATTTGATAGATAGATATTTATGAACATGAACTTAATGACTATTATTTCAACTACCCTCTGCATATTATTGAGCAATGTGACGATGTCTATTGTGTGGGAACATAAAGAATAACCAAGTCTTGAACGCGTGAGCACTTGGACCTTGAAATGCATGAAAAGTTGTCCATCTCCATAGCCAGCCGGAGCCTGTCAGCATGGGAGGCGAGTTTCGCTCAGCTGTGGCAACGGCTCGCCACCGAATTGGAGCGCCGGGACGACGGTTCGACCCGAGTACCACATCGCTTATTATGCACTTCGAGTTTGAGCCCTGCTGGAAACCGTAATCCCTATAGCAACATGATGGCGCGTGCAGTATTACGCTGGTCATCACCAAGACCCTAATCTCACCGTTTCAGGAGTACGTGCTGCACCAGTGAGCCAATTGATGAGATGACAGGGGACTCGCTTTTTCTAACTTCACCTATTTGATATAATATGAACCCAAGAAACACTTAATCACTTCGCTTACTGTAGCAAGGAGAAGGGTCTTGATTATTCCATAGGCCCTACATCCTCAAGGAGACAAGCAAATGCCAGGCAGCCAGTCCATAGGATAGGGAGTATCATTACATGGCGTAATAGGCATGATATCAGAACATAGCACTGGATTTCAGTCGATGGAACTACGCAGATCCCCGAACTACAACGCGCTTTACCATAGCCTACGAGCCATGCCAGATAATATAGGGCGTACCTGCATTCAGACAACCGGCTCGTGCCATTGTACAAAGCAGACGAGACCGAGGCCAAGAGGCTGGGTGACAGCACAAATGTACTCCGCAAGGGCACATGATGAAAGACGAGACAGCTCAAGATACCTTATCAATCACACGAAGGTCACGGCCATGATGTTACAACGGGACAATGGAGACGAGACACACGGCGCATGACGAAGACGGCGATGACTAAGCCAACTGGTCCAACCGCGTCAGAGGCCGAGTCCAAGTCCATTGAACCAGCCAAGACCGGGCTGGAGCCTGGCCAGAGCAACGTCAGTGATGCTCTGCCACTGTCAATCCGTACTCCAGGCTAAGCCCCATGCGCTCTGCTCCCCACCACAGCGTCACCATCTCTCTCGCCCATGCATCGCTCGCCTTTCCGCAACCCAAACGCAGCTCCCCCAGATCAGACGCATACACTGCCGCGGCCGACTTAGCTGGGACCACGGAGCTGTATAATTTCCAGACCGACCTGCAGACCGCATCCCGAGACCTGCCTCTGCCCCTCACGACCAGGCGCAACAGCACCGTCCCGCAGTGCCGAGCTTAGCCTAGAGCTCCCGCCTCCCATCACCTCCACCATCACCATGGCGGTAATGTCGGATCAGGACCATTTCTCCAATGTAACATGGAGCGACCATGTCCAAGAGCAGACGGCTAGAACAACTACCGACGAACAGGATGGCTTAGCGGAAGCTCAAGGCACCACCGCTGACCAGGATGTTCAGAAGTTGGTTGGAGAGAGGCTCGAGTGCACCGTCACCTCCCCAATCAAGGAGAATGACGGTAGCAAAGACGCCTTCGTCTCATATCTGATCACTACCAATGTGAGATCCCACTGGGGACCACCGGGGACTTATTTGTCTCCATGAACCTCAACCCCTCCTCGCTCAATAGGCACTGACATCACCACAGTCCACCTTCCAATCTTTCCAGAAAGACCATACCACTGTCCGCCGCCGATTCACAGACTTCGTCTTTCTCTACAAGCAGCTAGTACGAGACTACCCAGCCGCCGCCGTACCTCCCATCCCCGACAAGCAGCGAATGGAATATGTCCGCGGCGACCGTTTCGGCTCAGACTTCACATCCCGCCGCGCGAACTCGCTCCAGCGGTTCCTCGTCCGCCTCAGCCTCCACCCCACCCTCCGACGAGCGCCGATCCTGCATAACTTCCTAGAGAGCCCAGATTGGAACGCCACAATGCGAAGTCGGAATGCGCGGGGTAGTAGCTCGAGCGACACTGCCGGCGGCACTGGGGGCGTGTTTGACAACTTCGCAGACACCTTCATCAATGCCTTCACCAAGGTCCACAAGCCCGACAGACGGTTCCTTGAGGTCAGGGAGAAGAGCGACAAGCTGGACGAGGATCTGGCCAACATTGAAAAGGTGGTTGCCAGGGTAGCCCGCCGGGAGGCAGACCTCGAGACGGATCTTCGAGACCTTGCCGAGCAGTTCCAGAAGCTCATCACCCTCGAGCCGGGCGTCGAGCCTGCCGTCCACGGCTTCGCTGCCAGCGTTGAGGACTCGGCCACCCACCTCCGCCGTCTCCGCGAGGTCACCGACCAGGACTACCTCGGATCACTCCGAGACATGCAAGCGTACAGCCAGTCGCTCAAGCAGCTCCTCAAGGCCCGCGAACAGAAACAGCTCGACCACGAGCAGCTCATCGAGTACCTCAACAAGTCAACCATCGAGCGAGACTCCCTCCAAGGCCACGGTGGGTACGGCGGCGCGGCATCCGGGGCCAGCGGCTTCCTAAGGAACAAGATCGAGGACGTCCGCGGCGTGGACCACGAGCAGGCCCGACGCGAGCGAGCCCGCAAGCTGGAGCTCCGCGTCGAGGAACTCACGGCCGAGGTGGAGAGGGCGCGCGCGACCACCGACCTCTTCGACGAGGAGGTCGTCCGCGAGGTGGCCGACTTTGAGCGCATCAAGCGCGTCGAGTTCAAGAGCCAGCTGGGCGGCCTGGCAGACGCCCACATTGCCTTCTACGGCGAGGCCGCAGAGGTCTGGGAGAGGTATGCCAGGGAGATGGAGGACCAGATGGCCACCGCGCGAGCTCAATAGAATCATCCCAACTGTTGCTGCCTTTCGTTGATTATCACGCGAGATACATTATGGCGTATATATACATCCTTACCTTAGCTTAACCTTGTTGGAGTGGCGTTGACGGCGCAGTGGTTGTAGAGATCCAAATTCAAATTTGAACAATATTTCCCCAGCCCTTTCTCGACCAAACTCTAGAGAAAAAAAACATATCACGACGATGAAGATGTGCAAGTTTTTGGAAAATCTTTGTCATTTATGATGAAAAGCAAAATATACTGGAAAAAAAAAAACACGGCCGTCTACCCTTTTTGCTATGCTACCCAACTATAAGAATACATTTAACCAATGTCGTGTGGGATTTAAACTCCAGTGGTAGAAACAAATAAAGATTCAAGGAAAACGGTGTGGGGAAAAAATGTGTGCGGAAGAAAGAAGCCATGTGCAGGTTTGGAAAAATGTTACACTGTCGTCGTCGCCCCCTTTACGGCGCCGGCTGAGCGGGCTTGGGGGTCTTGGGCTTCTCGTTATGGCTCTCGTCGTCGTCGCTGTCGTCTTCGTCGCCGCCCAGGGCGAACTGGTCCCCGCCGCGCTCGCCGGGCAGGCGCTCCGACGAGGAGCCGGCCTGCTGGTTCTGGGTGCGGTCGGTGTAGCGCTCGAAGTTGTCCTCCTCGTCGCTCTCGCCGGCGAAGGCGTCGTAGAGCTCACCACCGCGGGTGCGGCGGGCCTTCCTGGCTGCGGCGGCCTTCTCGGCGTCCTCGTCGTTGAGGCCGTCGGTCTCCTCGTCGTTGAGCACCTCGAACTCGTAGCCGTTGCGGGAGTCGCTTTGTAGACGGCGGCGGCGGGCGACGAAGTAGGCACCGAGGCCGCAGCAGAAGACGAGGATCAAACCGATGGCCCCGTAGATCCAAACCTGGGCGGTCTTGGAAGCGCCGAAGTTGGGGAGCCAGGAGATCCAGGAAGAGGGCGATGTAGTGGCCGACTCGGGTGTGGCGGAGGTGGTGGATGTAGGCTTCGTGTTGTCCGAACCTGGCTTGGTAGGTCGCTGGATGTGGTCGGTAGGAACAGTCTTGTGCTCGGTCGCAGTAGCGGGAGGAAGGCCGGTGGCGGTGGAAACCTTGGCAGTCTCAATGATCTTGTCATGATCGTCATCGTCGGTGGCTTCGGGAAGAGGCAGAAGCTTCTGCTTCTTGCCGTCAATGGCCTCACCCCAGAGCTTCAGGTGCCAGTCAACGAAGTGTCCAGTATCCTCGTTGACGATGGAGTCCCGGAGAATCAGAGTCCACTTGCCAACGCCAGATTCACCCCTAAATCAAAATCATTAGCTTTGTGAATTATAAGAACACGAGAGCAAATAACTTACCAGTGAGCAACACTCATGAAGGTCCAGTCCTTGTAGCCGGCGCGAGCCTCATCACGCTCACGCGTGACAGCGATGTGGCTGACAACTCCGTGAGGGCTGATCAAATCGACGCTCAAATCACCACGGCGAGTGTGCTCAACGTTCATTGTGACAGTCACATGCTCAACGCGCTCAAAGTTGGCGTCCTTGAGCATGTCCTTGGTAACCTCAAAGGAGACAACCAGACCCTCATCACCTTGGGGAAGGTCCTGCTTCACGTGCTGCCAGGGAGAGTGGAACCACGCCTGGGGCTTGACGAGCTTCCAGTCCTTAGCGAGGGCTACGATCTTCTCGGCATCAAGCTTTCCATACGCAAAAGTGTGGCTGAACTTCTTGCCAATGGAGGTCGTCTGAACCTCGTACTGCTCGTTATCGATGGGGTGGATGGGCTGCGCAGCATTCAGGGCGAGATATTGCATATCTCTCCATGTCAAGTCGGGCCGGGTCTGCAGAACAAGCGCGAACACGCCAGCAGCGAGAGGAGCAGCAGCAGATGTACCACCGTGGTGATTAGTGCATTGATCCTCGCCGATGTCCGTGGTGTGCTTTAACGATAACAGTTAGCATTTCGCGCAAATAGGGGGAAACCGACGGCGAGCAAGGATCTGTTCAACTCACAATATGAGCTCCGGCACCACTGCTGTAGGCAACAATGAGGGTCGCAGAGCAAAGCTCAGAGTAGTAGGGATGGTGGCCTTCGCGGTCAACAGCGCCGACAGTGATACTGTAGATGGAGTTGGTGTAGCCGTCGAAGTTGCAGTTGTCACCGTGTCCGGCTCCGTTTCCACTGGCAAAGACGTAGATGGAGCCCTTCTTGTCTCGACCATCTTGGATAGACTTGACCATTGCCCTCCTGATGAGGATAGAGGGAGCCTCCATGGTCTTACCGTCGTCAGAAGGTCCCCAGGAGCACGAGTAAATATCGTTCTCCTGGTTCTCGTACATGACAGCCTCGGCCTCGTCAGCATTAGTGAGCGGGCCACTGAGCATCTGAAGACCAGCGATTCTAGCCTCGTAGGCGACACCGAGACCGCAGACGTCGTTTCGGCCAGCGGAAATTTCACCCGCGCAACGAGTACCATGCTTATCTCTGGTGCCCTGAGGCCGGGGGTGAGGCTGGTGACGGTTGAAGTCCCAAGAGCCCTTCGCAAAGTAATTATCTTTCAAATCCCTGCTGTCCATATCGAGACCGTCATCAATGACGGCAACTGTTACGTTGTGGCCAGTGACGCCCTGCTTCCAGACGGGGGTCACGTTGATGTCGTGGCCGGGCTGGACGGTATTGAGCAGATGCCATTGGTTCCGAAATATAGGGTCGGAAATGTGTAGGTCGTGGATGACGGAGTCTTGCTTCCTGATGGCCTCTTCGTTCTCTTGCAGGGGGCTGGCGCGAGTATCCAAGAAGGGGCCCTCGCGCCGGGGGATGATTCGCTTCTCCAGGTGGCCTTCGCGGCGCTTCTGCTTCTCGGCGTAGAGAATGTTGTCTAGCACATCGTCGACACCGCCTTGCGAGCGCTTCGCCAGCTTTCGCTTCTTCAGATGGTCGCCGACGACGTCGTCTTCCGATAGGGGCGCGCGGAAAATGTGATGGTCGTCGAGGCTCCCGAGGGTGCCACGGTGTTCAAGGCCCAGGCGAGTGGCGACGACCTCGGGGTTGACTCCACGGAGCTGGAGGACGTAGAAGTCATTGGCGTCGTAGTCTCGCCTCTCGATTGCGGCTGTGGACAAGGCAGTGAAGCCCGCGAGGGCCAGGATGGAAGAAAACCTCATGATGGGTGTAGAGAGGTTTGGTCGGGGATGCAAAAAGACCACATATGGGTGCGGCAGCAGGATGGACACTTAAGTATTCTTCTAGGGGTTCCTGGGGGTAAGCCAGAGGAGCGTGGCTGAGAGTGCAGGCGGCCTGTGGCTCGCTGGCTGCTAAAGTTGCAGTGCTGATCTGTCAGTTGGAGGTACCTACTTCCCCACCCATTGCTTTTGAAACGATGGGCCTCACTACCTGGCTATCAGTGGCCGCAGGTACCTACAGGCCTCGCCCCGATGATCAAAAATAGGCACAAGTTTGGCGCGTTTCCCTGGTACTAATACGCGATGCTGACGGCCTGTCGCCAAGGTTCCTTGCCAGAGACATTGACCGCAATGCTCGGCATGAGTCCAATCACTTGCTTCGAATGCCGTCTGTATCTCAGTGAAACCGTCCATTTATCAATCGAAGTTGAGTTTTGAGTTTTTTCCCCTTCGATCTGGCGACGGCTTTTATCGCATCTACTCCCACCAACTCCACCGCTGTCAGCAACCAAGGTACATACATGGCAGACCTGTAATTGATCGTCGCTGGTACATGGAGCAGGCAACGGCATCTTCGGTCCCAAGGTCCCCTCGCATCTTGACAACTTAGGGGGACAGTGTGCCATTGACAATCAATAGCGCTCGCGTACGTAATCCAGGCAGATGGTGATCATTGCCTGTCGGCTCACTCACCTCTACGATCCTGTAGTTACATACCTAGTATGCAGTAGGTCTTAGGCTCCTCCAGGCTCATGCTTCCAGACGTCGAGCTAGTGAGGCAGAACGGCCGGGTACTTGTTCCCGCTAGATCCTGACTAAGTGGTGGCCGTCTCCATGTCCCAAAATAAGGCGAGCTGCACCTCAGCTGGCTAAGCCGTAAGATGCGGTGGGTCAGAGTTGCAACATGATGCCTGTAGGTTGAGATGATGGCATCTAAACGGCCGCTGGTTTTATTGGCGGGCAGTTCTTAAATCAGGATGTGCCCATGCGGAAGGCTACTGCTTTCGGCCAAGTCTGGAGAAGGCCACGCTGTGCTTGGATTCACTTTTTCGCTCTCTCCTCTTGATTTTTTCTCATGGCACAGAGATACAGAAAACAGCCCAAACCCGCGAGTGTGTGAGATGTAGGTACCTCCCAGCTTCCTGGTCCGGGCAGCTCCCTTTTGGCAATCACAGCCACATTGGAAGCAACATCAAATAGGCACTTTGCATCGTACTCCGCAAAAGATAATATGCATGAACACTCGCTCGATGCACGAATAGTCGCACTTAGCCAATGCTCGCGCCCAAAGTCTCTTCTATTTTAAGAACTGCCCGCACATTGGGAGATCGATAGCAATGTGTTCTGATTCAGGGATGGCTGCGAGCCCCAGTCAGCCGGTTCGGTATTACTAAGGAGGATTGCCCTCCTGAGCTATTATTATCCACGAAGGATTACACCAGCAGGCTATGCGAAATTACAAAGTTCATGTGCAAACATCGGGGCATTTATTCCATTCATTAAATTACTCCCTCCCAGGGCCTATTGGACACTGTAGATTCCAGAATCCTAGAGGCCAAGCCAAATTTCAAGTCTATAGGGGAAAATTGACCGTCCTGAAGTGTGGGCCGCTAACTGCTCCTCCCCTCCACTAAAGTCTTGCCCATCAGTGCTCAACCTTCCATTCGCAGGTGCCTATCCGGGCGGCTGCTGGGGTACCCGACCCCCTAACGTTCTCCATGCCCACTGGCGTGCTTCCTGGCTCAGTGTCGAATGAAGTTTTCGGTACTCGAGGCCGGCATATCCATCCATCCTTCTATCTAAATATTTCTACTACGATGATTCTTTGTGTATCTCGATGCTCGCAGGGGCGCCTGTCAACGCCTTGCACTGGGCGTATATCACGAACTGGCCAGACACAAGTGCACATGTCATCACCTAAACCGCTTAGCATTCCTCCTCATCAGGGTACAGATGGGCATCGTGTCTTACCAATCGTGGGCCGAGGCCAGATGTTAACAACTTCTTGGGCCCAAACTCCCGCGCAAGCTGGAACATGCGACTCGTCGCTCCCTGCTTCGGATCCCCCGCGCCCTTGTTGATAGCCGAGAGGAGCGTGTCGGCAGGATGCGACAGCACAGCGGCCGCGGCACCCGCCGCGAGGCCGGAGGTGAGCTCAACCCCCGTAGACTCGAGCTTGCTGAGCTTGGCCTTTCGCTCCGGGCCCATGGCGCGGAATATCACCTCGTTGACGGCCTCGTGCACGGAGAACTGGCCCACGGCGAAGGGCACCTGCTTGAACAGCAGAGGCACGAACCCGGAGTAGAACCCCCTCAGTCCCTCCTCGCGCGCCATGCGGGCGAAGCCGGTTGTCAGGCCGCTCGCGTACCCACGCTGCGACACGAGGCGGATCCTCGTGGCCTCGAGCGGGCAGAGCAGGATGTCGGCGAAGAACTCGGCCGTGGCGCTGGCCCCCAGGTATACGGCCGTTCGGCGGTCGACGGCCTTGTCGATCCCGCCCGCCAGCGAGATGTACTGCTTCTTGAAGAACTCGTAGCCGGCGAACTTGGCGCCGCCCTGGGCGAGGTACCCCATCGCGGTTGGCCCGAAGCCCGTGAGCAGTGCTGAAGCGCCTTCTTTCGAGACGATTTGGCGGGCTGCTCGGACCATGTTGTAGCCTTTCAGGGCATCGTCGACCTGGATACGGGTCTTGACGACATCAATTGGTGTCGCCGCCTAAGGAAAAACGATCATAGTCAGTCCCTGGATGAGAAGAGCCGTGCAGTGTCGAAGCGCAGAGGATAAAAACCTACAGCGTGCGTTGAGGTTGCCGCGAGGGCACCGGCTCCAAAGAACTTGACATAATCGCTGAACACAAAGGTGGGAAGCTCATTTGGCGCCATTCTCGCGAAATCCAAAACCCGTCTCTGGGTCTAAATATCTAGGTAGGAGGAGTAGACGTAGGAAAGCGATGTGCAGATCAGAGGAACTCTGTCCCGTCTTTTATTTTGCGCCATTCCGTGGCCGGCGCAAAGATGCCGCATGGGAGTTGTGCGTCTTGATCGATGACGTCGACTCCGTCGATGCCGAAACCCAATCAAGCTTGATAGCGCATGGCAATTGCTGGTAAGTTATGACAGAGCGCGGCCTACTTGGCACTAGTATTTAGGGACTCTCGGCACCTTATCATTATCTAAGGTATCTGTAATAGCCAGGAACATACGGCCCAGTTTAGGAATCTCGTAGCTCGATGGCTTCGCTTGTTAAGAATTGATCATCAACGGGTGTGAGGTCATGTTTAACATAATCGCCGGTATCGCAACAATGCAACGTGTGACTTCAGAAATACAATTCTAGAGTAAAGGGAAATTGAAATTCATATCCCGAGCATTTGGATTTCGGATCTACGATGAAATGGGTTTTTCATCTTGCCCGTTTGAGAAGATCGATCGTGGCTCTAGGGTAGCCACGGCGGGAGGTCGAACACTGATTTCACATGAATAGTCTTATTTATAGGTACCTGACCTCGCTAGGCGGCCCTGCCTTGTTGAAAAAATCTCCCCACTGCTATTCTGAATCCTTTCTTTACTCTGATATCTCTCTACGACGGGACCGCAACTATCATCCCTTTCCTCCGTACCCTCTACAAAGACTAGAGTTATTCTTATATACATGTATAGACTCTTAATCTTTGTTTCGATTAGGGTTTGATAGCCTTTAACGCCATGCTCGTCTGAATATAAGAAGCATGCCGCTTGATCTTTTCATTAATGCGATTGAGAAGAGCATAGTGCCTTATGCTAGGTATGTAGCTTGTGGGTTGATCAATTAAGGTCGGGAGCAGGCAGCATCGATGCTTCTTCCAGCCAAGGGTATGATTGCTTCCATCAAGCGAGGATACTTGGCCTCATTAATTATGTCTATTTTACCTTCCGATTGTGATAGATCTGGTGGTCACCATATCAAACCAAACGGTATTTCAATGGCCGACAGGGGAGCCTGATCTTGATCACCTAATATCGCTTGAGGTGGAACAGCTTTATCTAAGCTGCCAGACAGAAATTCTTACCAAAACATGGAACTTGAAATCACTGGTCTGGAATTGGAAATGCGGCTCTTACGACTCGACTGAAGATGATGAAATTATAGATTATGACCATATTATTGCAGCCTTTTTGCCCCTTAAAGACATATTGAAGAGATTCCATTTTCAGCTGTGGCTCAACGACGATGAACTTGATATTACCGCCTCAGGGTCATAGGGCGGCCTGCGCAGCTTTGGAATACTGAACTATCTTAATGTGCCGTTGATATCTCTTGCTGGAGTAGAGGACACCCCGCAAGATCTGGAACACCATATCAAAGGTAATTCTGAGATGCTTTGTTTCACAGTCGTGTTCCTGTTAAATGATTTGTGGTGAAATGGATGAATTATCTGCTGGGGAGCCGCCCGGAGAGGAGAGATATAGAATTGACTGCACGGGATAGAGCTATCACATAGAATCATGTTACAAAAACCACCCGGGAGCTACTCAAGGACTGTCTTGTAAGTTTGCCACGTTTGGATGGCGTTCCTATATATATTAGGGCCATGTTTGGAGAGACGTGGTAAGAAAATCCTGGTTCCCTGATGGCCTAAAAAGAGTTCAACTGGGATCGTATAAAAATCTCCTCACTCTCTAGCCTTGGATTTCCATTTTCCAATGTTCTATTTCGATCAACGAGCAATCAACAGCATGCATGCGATTTCCGATATATTCTATGGCTAGGTATTTTTGGATGAGATTAAGAGGGCATAGAATCACTTATTCCCAATGCTCATTAGATGAAGAATGTGTATATTTCGTAGTGCTAGCGTCTAATCTATCCCCCCCCTTTGAGATGGAGCCTTCCACTTGTCTCTCTACCTGATACTGGCACTATTCCTTCCCCTTCTCTAGGAGTGATTCCATTAAGAACAGGAGGGCAACGATTGTTCTCTTTACTTTGAAAATAGAGATTCAATAAAATAATGTAGGAGTTTCGTTTTCACATTGGCAAGTTCCCTAAGTGAGCTGCGGTCTAATGCAGTGTAGGCTTTATGAAGTAGCCAACATCATAGCCCTCTCCTGGGATAGAAAGCATCACCGTGTAATGGTCGATATAAGAGGGAAAATACAAATTCCTCTTATTTCCCTTATATAGTTTGACTATATCTGATTTTCCATATAGGAGACGTCAACTTGAAGGGCCAAACTCCATTGGACAACCTTCCTGGAAATGACTTTATACCCTTTCATTTGTCCCATGTCGTCTCTGAAACCCACAGCGGCGCTATTCATCCGGTCCGGTTTGGGCCCTTGAAAAAATGGGAGCTCCGGTAAGGGCAAGGCTTGACCTGTCTAAGCAAAGCCTGCCTGCCATTGACCTGACCACCTCCAAGCTGTGATGGTTCGGTTCTACTCGCCTATCCCGAATTGGGGGGTTAGTAATAGCTCCTGAAGGCAGATGGAAAGGGTGTTTTTACTTCCCATGTGTTTCTTACGACTGACTAAGCTTGTAAATATATGTTTCCTGCAGTTCTTTCCGTATAACCGCGGATCCTTGAGCTACGGATGGTATTTAGACCCCAATTGAGCGTGATCGCAAAGCCTGCCTCACTTCGCCAATCGTGTGCGATATTGATCTATTCGATTCTGACATAGCATCAAACTATTAGAGTCGAAGGGGAATAGAAAGTCTACGTACCAACAGTTACGGTGTAGACTTCGATAGGAGTAGCTTCTCGAGAATGACACCTATCAATCTATTACTCCCCTGTCGTTTAAAATTTAGGGGTGCTAGACGAGCACGGATAACAAACTCTCGCAGGTTCAGTGTTAGGTTATCTAGGGAATGTGAGAAGAGATTATACTTGGTTTCTTTTTACCCAGGATCTGCTAAATATGAAGTAGACAAGCAATCTGACAGGAACTTCTGGACGAATTCATCCATGCGCCAGGGATCAATAACATAAATTCTGGATGAGTTTTAGTGTCCACATACATTTAGGGCAAGATACTTACCGGAGCCAACGCTTGATAGGCGAATTCGAAGCGAATTCGTCATTCTTCAAAGGTGTGATCTGCAAGTGAGTCCTCTCGTTACTGGTAAAAGATATATAACTAAAAGGGTAAAAGGAGGGCCTTTCTCAGCTCAAGCCAAAAGTCATAGATTGTAAAAACACACCGAGATCTTTAGACCCGCTCGACGTACCTGTCCCGACCACATTCTCCATCGTTGTGAGGGAAGGCAAGGCAGTGAAGTTTGAAGTAGAGGTGGCCAGACTGTCGCTGGTTTTCTTGAACTCTTTAAAGACCGAGTGGATATTGTTGAGTCTCGGTGGTGTTCCCTTATTACTGCTGTGTACTCCTCTGCTGGTATCCAGATAGATTCATTGGAGCTAAGTATCGGTTAGCATTTAGCCACAATTACTTCATGAAGATCACAACCTGTCAACTTACCATTTTCCTCTACCTAGGTAAAGAGTTAATCAAGTAACCATTTTGAGCTTAATAGTAGAGAGGTAAGGATAATGCATAATCAGTATATTATATAAACTATAACCGAAGGAAGTCTGGTGAAAGAGGGTGGCTTAAATAGTTATTTGGCGAGCAGCTCATCCTAACGACAAGTGAGTCATTGGTATAAAACTGTTGACCAGTAGATTACTATTGACTATTAGATTACTATTAAAAGTAGTAAGTTAATGTTTTGAAGTAGTAAGTTAATATTAAGAGTTAATATTGAGAGTTAATATTGAGAGTTAATATTAAGAGTTAATATTAAGAGTTAACTATAAGTTAATATTAAAAGTAGTAGTTTAATATTAAAAATATTCTAACCTAATAATAAAAACCTATTAAAATTACTAAATCTTATTATATATAACTTTAGTCTAATGTCAATATAAATCTTTCTTTAGAGGGTGCTATAACAGCCTCTCTCTCTATATATATCAGCGCTTACGGTTTTGCAACTGGCTCACTGATCTTGAGGGCATCACTCTCGACTATAAATTCAGGCCAAACATAGCCTTAATTGAAATTAACAAGTGGTCTCAATGCCTATGCAATGGCATGTATTACCTCCCTGAACGTGAACTGATCGGTACGTCCAAGACTCTTCTATATCTATGATAATCCATCTTGGCTCTAGCTAACTGTAATCGAGATAAAACCATTGAAACTAGCCAAATGCAGGTTCAGGGCAAAGTAGATCTGATGGCCTAAAAGATTGGGTTGGCATCATAGTTCTGCAGAAAGGGGTGATAATCCAATTTCAAGTTGAATGTGTCCCCATGATCCTTCTCAGCCAGGCATGTTTCGCCAAGAATGCATTGTGGATAAGCGGGACATCTGGATTGTCCATCCCATCAAATAAATGGAAGGCTCCTGGCCAGACATGAAGTTCGCATGTTGAGCCGCCTCTCCACAAGTCTGTTGCAAACCTGACTGCTTGATCACGGAACACCTCACACTCGGCTGCGTCCACGTACGTGGGAGGAAGATTCGAAAGATCTGTTGCTCGTGATGGAGACTGATATGGGGTTATGTTGGCACTGCCGCGCTCCTCTCCCAGCACACATTCCCACGCCATGCGGTTCGTGATTCCACACCACGGGATGCTGTATTCAAACTGCTTGTCAGATATACTCTCGCAGCGGTCGTCCAGCATCGGAGAGAGTAGCATCTGGCCCTTTATGGGAATCTTCGGGATCTTCCTATCGCGCGCCATCAGGCATGTGGCAGCTGCCAGACATCCGCCACCAGATACCCCCCACACAACAATCTCTGACTCGCTGATGCCCAAGGTGGAGGCATTCTTAGATAGCCAGACAAGTCCAGCATAGCAATCCTCTGCTGGCCCAGGTGCTAGAGTCTCCGGGGCGAGACGGTATTCAACAGACACTATCACGCATTCGATGTCTCTGAGGAGCTCAATCAGCTGGGTGACGCCGCTGAAGCGATCGCCGGCCACCATCCCACCCCCATGTATATGATAAAGGCATGGAAGAGCAGAGTTCGTGGGCTCGATAGGAGAAAACACCGATAACAAGAGATTGTCGCCGCTTGGTCCACGGATAGAATGCTGTTCATGTTTCAGCTGCGGTGCACTCTGGAGAACCGTGTCCGCATTGCAGACAAACGCAGCTGCCTCATCGCCCCCACCCGAAACGCCTCTCATAAACCCAAGATCCAGCTTCTCAGGAAGAGGAAAGGCATCGACAATTGCAACAAGGCTTGCATCTATTTTTGGGCGGGGAGTATTGATCCTAGGATCAAGCTCTGCCGCTTTGGAGTACGGAATGGGAGTTGTCGACATCTTTGTATGCTGAATTAGAATGTCAACTAACAATATGCCGGGAGCAAGGATTGTGATTCCGTTTGGTCATTACTTGAAGAAGTGAAGGATAGAGGATGAACGCAGAGTAAGCAGGTTGCGAATTCTTGGAGGCTCCACAGCTACGCAAATATCTGCTCAAATCAGCTCGTTCCGAGCGTGTCATCAAAGCGGTCAGATTGTGAAGCAGTCAGAGAGGGAGAAAAAAAGTCTGAAACAGACTGTTAGGGCTTTGTTAGACTTCTCTTCGTTTCATCCCGGAATAGTGCGCTAATTTTTTGTTTTCGAAGCTCCCAATGTTCTCTACTCAAATGAAAAAGTCGTCCGTTATTGGCAAATATGATATTATGCACACGGGGCCTTAGCAATGGCTTTGGTTTCTAGAAACATAGTTGAGAGTAACCCAAATGTTTGAAGTAAGTTGGTTGTTAAGCTAATATATATATAACTAGGCTCCTTTAAATCGACTTTACTCTCGGGGCAACTTGTGTACGGCCATGATTTCTTTCCCAGGGCCACATTCATCATTCACTCGACAAATTGGAAAATGATTTCTTCTCTTCGCTTTTGGAAGATTTAATAGGGTTCTTAGTACTTAAGCCTTTAGGTACGAGGCGGATGTCTGTATATGTGTGCTCGACTGCTTTCAGCCATAGGGTTTATCAACTCAACATTGACTGCATAAACTGAGATGAGTTTTTCCCCTCCTGAAAGGATCTCTTTCGAGGGATGACCTATCGGAACAGTGATCTGACTAGGATGTGCCTAGTCGTCCTAACTGCAGCCTCCACCGAGCACCACGGGATTCAACAGCGTGTTGGCTCTAACAAGTCCTAGCACTAGCTGTAAATAAGATTCGCAAGTATAGGAAACGACTTAGAGACAGCGTTATCAAAATGGTAGTCGTTAGTGGTATATCAAGTTAAGATGTCTATGAAAAAATTCGTGTTCTGTCTTACTAGGCAGCTATGCTGGTGAGAATGAAGATAAGCTGGATAATTTAGTATCTAGAATAAAAGAAATACAATGATTTAGGCCTATCTGGAACGAGATTAATAGCATGCTGAGGAAGATAGAGAGTAGGTGTTATCACTAGTTGTTGCGGTCTAGGTGGAATGGTTGAGGAAAAGCCAATGCCTTTTGAGGGTGAAAATGAGAATTTAGCGGCTAGTAATCTTCATCTTTAATTCTACAAGAAGATGGAGAGGGTCCGCTGGTACTATTTTTTTTCCTGACAAAATTATATTCATAGGAAAGAAGGAGCCTTGCGCATCGAAGAAGAGATGAAACAAATTGTTCAATGTTATGTTTACCTAGCTAGTCGGGAAAACTAAATCAAGTGACGAAGTCATCAATTATGAGGATTGATCAGGGATATTCGCTATTTCTTAGGCCGAGAAGAACGGTTTTGGAACAGAAAAAAAGGAGAGCAATCAGGGTTTATGTTAATCAAGGTTGCTATGCTGGCTGATGAGATACAAAAGCGTAAATAAAACTGATAATTATCCATGCAATAGTTATGTCAGACTGAATGTTGGTAAGATATTCTAAGCTTCCTCATTTACACCAACTAGAAACACTTACAGACCTTGTAGAAGTAGCTACCCATCAGCTTAGGCGTTACAAGTAAATCCAAGGATAGTACTTGAGTAAGATAAGCCTGCATTTTAGGTATTGCATGTACAAGCTGTCAGCCAGATAACAGTTCAAATGTCACAGGACGGTCAAATATGTGGGCTAAGTCTTACAATAGAACAGGCACAGCCACGCGTCCTGAAACCATCAAGTAAGGACATGTCAGACCAAAAAGCTTTCAAAGTCCCGTGTTGCACACCCAAACCACGTGTCACATCAATGCCTCCGTAAGATAAGATGCATGAAAAAGGATTGCGTATGCCAATGTATTCGACAACTTAGAGCGTGTGACACTGGATTACTCTGACTAATATTGGCTTTGCCTCAGCTTAGCAACCTTTCATTGAGGGCACAAATGAGAGCACCAACAAAGATCCTGCCGATGATATCATCCTGGAGTGCCTTCAATGACTATACGCATGAATTCATCATAGGATTGGCTTCACACAAATCACTAGACGTACGCCTCAAGCTCGGTGGCAACGCCGCGGATGAGGCGTTCCACAAGATCATCCTCGACAACGCCTTGCTGCCAACTGAAACCGATGGTCATCCCCCCATCACCGCCAGTGACGACGCTCATTGTAACCGCACACCCTGAGACAACGGTGCTTCGGCTAAAGGTCACGCGGCCTACTTCCCACGATCCGAGGGTGTAGCCGGCATCGGCCTTCCGGGAGCCGGAGAAGATCCCCAGGTTTGAGACTTCGTAGGCAGCTGCGCGGTCAGAGCCAATCAAGGACTGGAACACGACGGAAAGGTCTGGAATATTCCTGAATATGGCAACCTCTGTGTAAGGTTCCCCCGAAGGCGAAAGATTCCCGTGGACGTAATGATGTATGCCCTGTGATACCTTCTTAGCCACGTGCCATGTCTGTGGGCTCTCGGCACCTAGGTCGTCACGTGTGAGCTGGACCTTGAAGGCGTCGATGTACGTCCCGATTGCGTCGTTAGCAGTGTCACCTGGAAGCTTGAGCCAGGGTCGCAAGCTGACGGGAATGAGGCACTTGATCGCTTCGATATCTGGTGGAAGGATACTGAAGAGGACGGCACCAATCGTCGAGGAGATGGAAGCGGTTATGGACACCCCCCTCTTCTTGGATTCTTGGCTGAAAACCTTGGTGTGGTGTGGTGAGACGTAAAGTGACCTGTAATTGGTGTGGCATGGAGGAGGGAGAACTTGAGCCCCCGTCCATTCTTTCAGCGCTGCATTGACAGGAGGAGCAGCAGGGTTTTCGTTTATTGGTAAATGATGTAAATCCTCGAGAGGTGGGAGAAGTGAGCCAGTGTTGGATTCAATGTATCGCTCAGGTGGTAGATCGAAAGACTTTCCCTGGAAGGTATTCAATGCTACTTGAAATGCTCTGTGAAAGACGACGCCGGAGAGTCCATCACCAATAGCATGGTGAAAGATGAATGAGGCAGTAAACTCGGTCTGCTTGCCGGGTGGTTTCAATACGAGTAAACGCCAGAAAGGTAAAGTTCCGTACTCGGACTTGAAAGAGGTATTGTGCCAGCTCTGCAGTAGGGCGTCGAGTTCTTTGTCTTCGCTTTCCTTTGGGTCACTTAGAGGAGCTTCTCGTTCCAAGATCTGAACAGCACGATCAAGGTTGACTGATGGAAGCGAGGCGAAGTATGATTGAGGAGTCCCCTCGTCAACTGGAATCGCAGAAAGAATGCGATGATCACGGACCACGCTGGCTAATGCTCTATAAATGAGATCTCGAAGGCTGGCCACGGAGCCTCCAGAGAGCTTGTAATGGGAAGAAACACCAACATTGTTGTAGAAGCCGAGATGGTGGCAGGTTGCCGAAACTTGCTCGAGCTTGCCTATGGATCAACAACAATTAGTACTGCATTTTGGTTTAGACTGGGCTGAGCATTTCTATTACCAAGGGGCCGCAGCTTTGGAAGGGCGTGAACGTCCGCCATAACTCAATATTGCCTCTAATGGACGCAATGGATGTTCATCCTGTCGCAGAGCAGGACCATTTCGTATCTATACATACCTACTAGACAGGGTGGACCTCGGCATGTATCATCTCATCCATGCTGAACTCGTGGGGTGCTCTTGCTCCATCGTAACTCATGAGACATCCGAACATCTCCGGAAGGAGAAGAGCAGCCCATTGCCAGTTAGCACCGAAGATCTGGATTGGCACGTTGATGACGCCCTTTCTTGGCATTTGATCTAACGGTTTGAAAATAGGCGCTTTTGTAATACGGGAAACGTGGGTATTGCGCAGAATAGAGCACATTTATTTAGTCTGCCCACCCCCCAACACCAGCTGGTCCTGGGATCGTGGACCTACTCCGCCTCTAATGTACAAGCATGACTGCATATGCAATCCTACGAAGCACAGGCCCCTGCTTGCTGACCCATGTTGTTATCTTCCTTTCTTTCTTCTTTCTTAGCTGAGCTCAGCTGTCTTTACTTCGCACACCCTCTAATGATAGCATCTTGGCAAAGATAATGAGAACTACATATTGAATGTTGGACTTATTAGGTAAAACTATCCATACGCCTGATACACTGATAACGCTGGTTGAGCAGCGCGTGAACGAGTCTTAAAAATAATCCAAGGCTCAGATCTTGGCCCGGTCTTCCTACCTTAGAGACATTGAAGAGCTCCCAGCGCTAGTGGGCGAGCTTGCAGACTTCTTTTTCTCTGTGGTCTGTTGCCCTGCCTTGCTAACCGGCTCCTTCCTGCCCTTTGGTACTCTAGCAAGCCAGTAAAACCCAATTGCTGCTGCAATGTTGAAGATAATATAGACTAAGAAGATGCCAAAGTTCCTCCATCTATCATTGTAATCTGAGCTTACAGATTTTAAGAATATGTTGGTATCGCTGCCAGAACAAAAAACACATTCAGTGGTAGAATTTGCGCTCGCTGGCGTGAGGTAGCCGCCATTGTCTTGTATGTAAGCTGCGAGGTACTCAGAGCAGTTTGATGACGACGGAGGGGAGAAGCGTAAAAGTTCTTCTGATGAGCACTTGATCCGCGCATTTGCGAGTCCAGTCGAGAGAATGCCAGATACTAAATAAGTAAACGGCGAGACCCTGTACATGAAAATCCAAAACCCTGGAAGAGCTTCGGGCGTTGCCAGAACACTAAGAAATACATTAGTGGTTGCAGTGTTACGGCTCGCAGGAAGGAGAACTTACCCGCAAAAAACTAGGGAAAAAGAGAATAGAAGATTGATAATGGCACCGGCTCCATCTTCTGTCTCGACACCAGCAATAGCCATGTGCGTGAAGGTGCCGGCGAAGATGATGAATTCCAAGATATAGAGGAACATTAAGCCTCCTCTCTCGGTTACCTGCCCTGCCTCTGACGCATTTTGTTGCAATCCAATGGGGTAGTACCAGCTGAAGAAGATGAGAACGGAAACGAGCGAGTTCCATGAGAGTTCAACGACAATATTCGAGAGAATAAACACCTTCCAAGAGTATGTTTTGGATTGCCTCTCGCGTGCCTCATAGATCGCACGCTGTGTCACAAAATGGGGCATGATCTGAGTGCAAAAGTTTACGAAGATCGTTAGCAGCATGAATACCGCATACATCTGGTTTTGGAGCCCCTGAAGCGTGTTTGGAGTTTTCCAGAACGAAAAGCCGATGAATAGGGCCTATCTTGTTCAGTAGAGGCTCACAAGTTTTTGTTTATAGGAAAAAGCTTACACTGAAGAGGCAAAGAGCAACCTTGGAGTATAGATATGAAGGGGTGCGCCAATATTGTTGATAGGCTCGGACGAGAACAGCCTTGAGCTGAATATTGAAGGGATTGGCGAATGGCTCAAGTTCGCTCTTATTGATGGACACGGGTCGCTGCGCCCCGGTTTCCTTCATTAAGGCAAGTTTGGCCTTGATCGCTTGACGCTCATCCGAGTTTCTCCAGGTACTTGGCCAATGCTTGGGAGATTCTGTTTCCGGGGCCGCCGTAGTAACTTCTAGTATCCACTCAGCTGGATTTTCGTCCGGAAGGCATTCTCGAGCTCCGTTACGTTCGAAGTAGTTTATCAAGGTCTTTGATGAAGCGCCGATCTCTCCAAAATAAAGGGTATTGCCGCCCATAGCAAGGAAGAGAAGGTTGTCGAATTCCTGAAATAGAATAGCCGAAGGTTGATGGAGGGTGCAAAGAATGGCCTGCCCGTTGTTGGCAAGCTTTCTTAGCAAGGTACAAATAGACCAAGCAGTTTGACTATCCAGACCTGTTGAAAACTTAGAATGCGGGGCCTTGAAATTGCCTTTGTATTTATCTGAAGAAAACTATCTTCTCGCAGAGGAAGGGAAAAATTCTACTCACCGGAGGTTGGTTCGTCAAGAAAGAGTAACAAAGCAGGTTTCGCAGCAAGCTCGACCGCGATAGTGAGACGCTTCCTTTGTTCAACATTTAGACCTTAGCGGGTGTTAGAAAAAACCTCTTAAGATGACCTCAAAAGAAAAGAGAACATACCTTCTCCTGGTACCCCAATAACAGCATCTGCATATGTCTCCATTTCGAGAAGCTTCAGAACTTCATCTACATAGGTGATTTTCTCGGCTTTTGGGGTTGAGTTTGGTTGGCGGAGAAGGGCACTGAATGTCAACGCCTCTCGGACAGTGGAAGTGGGAAGATGCAAATCTTGCTGCTGTACGTAGCCAGTTTTTCTCTAAAATTGCAAAAGTGGTCAGTTTAGATCTTTGAAATTGTATCAATAGGAGGATATACTTGAAACCCCCCATTTCTGAGGTGGCCGTCTACTAAGATCTCGCCACTGACAACGCCCGTTGTGACGCGGTTAGCAAGGACATCAAGCAGCGTGGTTTTTCCTGCACCCGTCACTCCCTATTTTCGGTTAGTAAGTGTACTCGCGGTAGAAAGCGAAATTAGGCTTACCATTAATGCAGTTAGTGTTCCAGGCTTCACCCACCCGTCAACCTCATTAAGAAGCTGGCGGTCTTCCTTGTTGACTTTGATAGTGTAGGATATTCCGTCCCAATGGAACGCTGCCGTTTGTTGTTGAATGCCACTAGGAAGAACAATGCCCTTCTCTTGACTTAGAATCTGTGAGTCGAGTCTATCATCACTCTTGCCTTCCTCATCAGACTTGCTCTGAAGTTTAGGCATGTCTCTTCGTTTGAAAAGCAACACTTCCCCTTTGGACTTCTCGGCTAGAATATACTCCGAAGCCACAAGGTAGGAGACACAGCCGAATACCATCAGCCCTAGAATGATGCCAAAATTTCTATGTATATTTGTTACTCTCTGTCGCGGGGGATTGGAAGAGATTTACGCAGTGCTTACCTCCACAGGTGGTCAGCGCTGTAGTTGAAGTTGACGGCTAAATAGGTGTCTCCATCCACAAAGTCTGCCCCTGCTAAACTTCCGGTTGTGGTGCAGATCTTCTGGTCCGGGGAAGCATCCGGATAATCAGGAATATACCGGGTGCAAGGAATTTTGCGGTTGTGGAACTGGGCTAGGTTAGAGTTGGAATAGGTAAGTGTTGATCTTTCTAGTATACCTCGTTGATCATGAGAGATTCAAAGACATATCCAACTGGATTGAGATAGTTGAGCCAGCGAAACCAGGGATGCATGTCGTTGACAGGGATCGTGAAACCGGTATAGATGACGAGTGCCAGACTGAAAATGGAAGCCGGAGCCATTGCCTAAATAGACAGTCAGCACCTTATTAGAACCAGAGAGTTGACCAACTATATCTGACCTGGGGAAATGTACGGGACAGTGCAGCGATGCAGCGAAAGTACATGGACATTGTTAGTGTGCAAGAAAAGCTGAACAGCAAGAAGATAAAGAAATGGCCAGGGGTGCGCCGCAGGTTGGTCATGAAGTATAAGGCAAGATTGAATCCAATAGAAGTACCAATCTTATTCGGCAAATCGCAAATCATCGATGCTAGTAACTTTATTCAGCCTTAGTTGGAATCTATTTAGGTATGTTGACTGACATATTGCTTCAGTAAAGGGATGGTAAAAGGCGTATCTTGATTGCTTCTCGACAATCGGACGTTGGGCGTATAAGGTCAAAATCTATTCACGTCAGTCATCTGGTACTTGTCCGAATGAAAACCAGTCGCAGACCTCTAAAGCGCTTGCAAAAGCGGCCAACAAGACGGCGAAGAAGATCAAAGCCCCTTTGCTATACAGAGTAGCTGTGTTGTTTGGTAGGTTATAAAACACGCTGCCAATAACTAATGCTAGAATGGCATTGAATATTATACTAGTGATTGTGACGTCCATGGCACCTAAAAGTCTTTGGTAGCCTCTTCCCATGCATAGTTTGACCTGCATTGGCACCGAGAGAGTGTATGGTGACTGTGCGCGCCTATAACTGATTAGAACCCGGTAGATAAGCGAGAATGGGGGAGCAGGGTTGAATATGTACTGTGATCTTGCTTGCGAAGCTTTTCGGGATTCTCTGAACTCAGTAAGCGAGGGGCCACCGATAGGATATTGCGCGTTGAATGTATCAATTTCCCCGAGCAAAAGGGCTCGATCTTGACTTTTCTGCCATATGGCAGCAAATTCGTCCGGTGTTCTAGGAGTAGTGCCCTCAAAACCTGGGCGGACTAGTCGTTCTGCTGGATTGGTCAGAGAGGTGAGGAAATCTCCTGTTGTTTGTCGTGGTCGGCATTCAAAGCCCATGTCGACGAAGAATCCCTTGGCTGCGTTGATGTCGCCGAAGTATATCTGGCGACCTTCATACAGTACCGCAACTTTGTCAAAGACCTTGGTAACCTTAGAATAGGAACGCTAAAGATGGAGGGAAATAATACAAACGTTGTATATTGACTGAGAAGTCTGGAAAAGTGTAACGACAGCAGCAGCCCCGGTCAGTTCTGTAGACGTTCTCAAAGTTCTTACAAATTCGAGAGCAGTGGCGCTATCGAGCCCTCTTGTGGAGTTATCCCAGCATTGAAGAGGACTTCCAGCGATTGCACTTGAACTACCAGTCAGCAGGAGACTTGGGTATAAATATTTTCGCCTGATAGAGACCACTTACGCTTCTGCAATGCTGACACGCTTTCTTTCACCACCAGAGACCCCTCGAACCATGTCATTACCAACCTGCGTTTATCGTTAGAAAGTAAAGAGTAAAATGAAACGAGTAAACACCAAACGCACCATCGTATTCATAGTATGACTAAGACCGAAAATTGCCATAACGACATCTCTGAGATGGCTGGCATACATCTGGATAATGGTTAGAGCAAGGCTGCTTGAAGTCGGAACCAAATCGGCTTAGCTGAACTCACATCTCGAGTCACTCCAGGTAAGCGATTGCGAGGAGCCTAATCAAATCCGTTAGCTACCACAGACTACAGCGGATAAGTAATAATTTCGTCATACCCGGGCCCGAGCAGCAAAGTCCAAAGTCTGACCTACGGTCAGTTGAGGGAAATGAACATCGACTTCTGCCTGGTAGATAGACTCTCCTCGGAAGTCCTTGTGCATGATCTCCTTGGAAATGCCTTGGTAATTGAGATCAGATTCTGCACCAAGAAAAAAACCTTCAGTCTCGCCAGATATGGTCTTCAATAGCGTAGAACAACCGCTGCTCTTGTTAGAACATAGGACTTCATGATGTCTTGGGCCCAATTACTTGCCTTCCCGGCCGTCCGAGGACAAGAAGCATCTCGCCGCTCTTGACTAGACCATCCATGTCCCTCAGGATCTGAATTCTTCTCTTCTGAGTAGATGATCCCAAGAGCTTCTTGCAAAATCCCAGTACTTCAAGAGGATAATTACCAAAAGTCTTTTGGTAATCGGTTGGCTCGCCAAATCCATGAGCTGCTAGATTTTTATACGCAACACCGGCTGTCCTAGCTGGATACCGCTCAGGATCCCGCGAGGTAATACTCAGTATGGTTTTGAGCCATGTTCTGGCGCTGAAACTTGGAGAATTTGGGTCAAGCAAAGGGTTATTAGACCCCAAAAAGGGGTTGGTGGGCTCCCCCTGCTCATTCTTTACACTGTGGCAGGATAGCTTCCTGGCTAGATGGGCAACTGTCTCTTCTGCCATTGGAAAAGATCTGGGAGGTAGGGAACAACAGCAATAACGAGAAATAGAAAGCTTGAAAGCCTGAAGAAAATTCAATGATGGACCGATGATGTGAAGCAATAGACTAGACGGAGCAAGCCGAGGGCAGGGATGAGGGCGAGAGGGGTGGCAAGAATCTCCCTCTTACTCCCGCGGCATGTATCAATATGTCGGGCACACACGGCACATCCACCTTGGGATCAGCAACGGGGGAAATGGGCCAATTTTGGGACAGAACTCTGCATTGTAGTGGCGGCCTCTCGCCCTTCTAAGCTTATCAGACGCGCAAGTTTAAGGTAGCTTCAGCCGACCCAGTCCATCATGCAGCACCCACGCCCCCCTTGCGCGTCAAAAAGGCAATTAATTACACGACTTAGGTGATTGTGTAAGTCGGTCGCTGGCCGTGCCTATCACATGCTATTATAGCACCAACGCAGGTCGTGCCGGAACCGGTATCCTGGCCGCATCGTTGCCCTGCAGGCGGGCTGATGCTTGTCTAAGCTGAGATGCTTGCCGCCGAGCATGATCCTTCGTGTATGTACGCGTTCTTCTCACCGTCTGGTTGGCACTCTGCGGCTGCGTTGTGCATGCCAACCACCGCATGATGCTGCAGCCCGAGTCTCGGTTGGTTCGGGTTCACACCTTGTGTGGTAGTAATGATTACACCATGCTAATTATGTCTTGGGCATGCCGTCATCTTGGCGAGGGCCACATCATCCTCTGTGTGCTATGTAGGGCTATGTTGAGGAGTGTCCAACAACAACAAGGCTTGGAGATATGGCTGAGCTTGAGACCAGACCATCCCCCACTCCCCCACACGGAAGGATCGCTCAGCAAAAAAAAATTAATCTGACTCAAACCTGCTCCAATCCTAGGCAGAAAATATGGACGGGTAATTTTTGTCATCAACCTAAAAAAACGGGTCGTACAGCTTACACGCACCCCATGGGCGTGGTGATTGCTGCCACTACAGGAACAGCCGTCGCAGATGGCGCGTTTGCCTTGCCCCAAAGCTAGGTAGAACAAGGTCTATCTTTGGAATACCATGCGGGAATTAGGCAAGTAGCTTGGCTTGGTCATACGGTGCGTCCGTCAGGACCGTGCCGGGGAGTTGGCCGGTTAAGGTGAGGTCAGGCCGTCATGCCATGGCGGGATGGCTTTGGACGGATGTGAGAGCAAACAAATACCGTGGAGATTCCACCGTTGATAGCAGCTGTTGGCGTCGATTGCTCATCCCCAGTCGGGTAGTAAAATCCAATTCCTCTTTACCTTGCTAGAGATGCCCATCATTATATATTGAAGCCCCTTGCCCACAACCTTAATCTCCACATCTCAACAACCCCCTCCCTCACTCCAGTTCGTCATGGAACAATCTGCCGTTGATCAGACACCGGTCAACGGGGTGTATGTTGACAAAGGTGCCAACAGCACCGCTCAATTGGTCCTCAACATCTTCTTCGAGTATGCCCTCAATAAGTTTGATGACTCCCAGGAGCGGATGGCTGAAGGAGCAGCCAAGTTCTTGTCAGTCATTGACAAGTTCATCCTCTCTGGCAAGACAATTGAGGCCTGCCTCCCGGCCTTCCCATTTAAGTCTGCAAACAAGGTATACAAGGTCCTAGGCAGCCTACCTGACAAGGCTGAGGAGCTTGCTCTTGAGCGGTTGAATACTATATGCAAAAGAGTTAGGGAGATATACCCACCTGGTGCGAAGATAACTATCATCTCTGACGGAATCACTTATAATGGTACTTTCCCAACACTGAAACACGCATATCTTCCTCGCTAACATCTCATCAAGACTTGCTCTCCATATCTGACCGCGAAACATGGGCCTACGGAGAAGCCTTGCGCGAGATGGCTGTTGAGAAGGGCTTCACTTATATTGAATTTGCCAGAATGAAGCATCTTCTTGACTTCCCCATCCCCGACGAGGAACTTCGCGAGATCACCTATGTCGCTAATTGTACCAACTTTCGGCGATTGCTCATTAACACATACGGCAAGGACGACCTTGATATTGATCAAGAGATCGCGAATAACCCCGATACTCGCCTCACCTACCTTGGCTATCGGCGGTTCCTCGAATCAGACCTCAAGTACATCTTCCCACCCACTAAAGATAGGACCAAGAATGGCTACCGGAGAGATGTAAGATTTCTGGCCAAGCAAATGCTGATGCGTGGATATGTAAGTATCGCCCCCTCTGTTCATTCTCCTTGCCCCTTCATATCCCAACCTGGCGTCCTGTTTCTAATCGGTTACCCCTACACAGGCATTCGCGGGGGCTATCCAGGTTGCATTCCCGAATCACTTACGACTCTCAATCCATGAGTCGTTTGGTGCGAATAAGGTATCAATTAGTCTTCTCAACACAAAGACTGGCTTCACGACGCCTTGGCACTGTAGTGTCGCCCTCCTAGCCAACGGAGAATGGGTTAGTGCGCCCATGAGTGAATTCAAGAGAGAGCCCAGGCTGGAGTTGGTCTACGAGAATGACCGACCAAGCTACTTCAAGGAAAAGCCCACCGGTGATGATGGACTCACCATTGCCGAATTGTCAGCAAGCTTTCTTCGGGTCCCGAAACGCAACAGTGAAGAGTATAGCGGGTTCTCTTCTGGAGTCAGTGACACATCGATGCAGAGTGGACGGTCCTCACCTGTCAATGGAAGTGCGACCAGCGTTGGTTCTGGGAGCGACATCTCTTCAAAGATATCCAAGAAATCCAAGAGGTCTTCCTTGAGATCTTCTAAAAACTCCAACGACTTCCTCCCTTATGGAAAGAGACTTGTTCCTCAGATCATGGATGACCTAGCCGACACTGAGCCATTGCGGACCGTATTCTCGCTCGCAACACTCTCCGGAAAGTCCATCCAGCTGAGATATATCTCTGCGCGGGAATTCACTAATGCAGTAAACAAGACTGCGTGGTGGATTCATAACCAAGTGGGAAAGCCTGACTCAATCCGGCCTATTGGTTACATTGGACCTCGTAAGTCAGAGACGATCTTTCTGTCTCGTCGTTTTGCTTGCTAATGACCACTAGATGATCTGCGCCATGTTCTACTAACCCACGCATGTTCCAAAGCTGGTTACGCAGTAAGTTGACTCACAATAAGCCTGGTGAATGTTTGATCATACTGATGACGGCCAATTCTACAGACTCTGTTTCTCTCCCCTAAGAACACCTTGGAGGGTACATTAGCAGTGCTTGACGCCACCTCTTGCAACGTCTGGGTAAAGCCGGGGGAGTTGGCTACTATCCCTCTAGTTAAGGATGTTCTGGAGAGACGCCCTATGAAGGTTCTCGAACTCCCTTTACTAGACGATCTTCTTAATGCCGACTCCACTCCTCCTTTCCCATTCACAAAGACATTTGAAGAGGCCGTCAACGAACCGTTCTGTTTTTTACATACTTCGGGGTCAACTGGTCACCCCAAGCCCATTCCTTGGAGTCATGGGTTGATTGGCACTATGGATGCTATACAAATCCTCCCACCGACTGAAGGCGACGACGGTCTGTTGCCATGGACTGCTGATTGGAAGAAAGGGGATAGAATTTATTCTTCATTCCCCATGAGTCACGTACGTATTTCTTTTCCTACCTGGGCTTGAAGGCTGTTGACTAATCTCACTTTTGACCAGGGTGCTGGTGTAATTATGGACATACTATTGCCTGCCCTCCTTAACTTACACTGTGTCTTGGGGCCCGTTGGTGTTCTGCCCAATATGAATCTGATCGAGTCTCTCGCGGAGCAAGCCAAGATTAATATTTGGAGCATGGTGCCCTCGCTTGTTGACGAGCTCGGCGAGACGCCCGATGTCCTGGCGAAATTCAAATCTTCGAAATTCATTTGCGCATCTGGTGGTAAGTCTCTTCCACAACTATCTTCTCTTCCTGGTCTGAGGCTCACTTGTCATCTTTTCCCCAGGCCCAGTCAGTCCCATTAGCGCCGGAAAAGTGAACGAGGTGATTCGGGTCCTTAACTTGACAGGCACCACAGAAGGTCTCTTTATTGGCAACCTTGTAGTGCCAAGAGAGGATTGGTGGTGGTTCTCCTTTCATCCATACTCTGGCTTCGAGTTCAAGGAGATTGAGCCGGGGACTTACGAGCATTGGGTCCACCGTAACGAACATTGGCCTCTGTTTCAGGGCATATTTCACACGTTTCCAGATAAGGACTCTATTAACCTCAAGGATCTTTACAAAAGACATCCCACGAAGCCTAATCTTTGGGCTTTTAAGGGAAGAAGCGACGATCTCGTTGTTCTGTCTAATGGTTATAAGATCTCACCTTTGGAGACCGAAGCGTTCATCAGCACGCACCCCGCCATTGATGGTTGTCTAGTTGTAAGTTGGCCTTTATATGTTAATATATCACGGCCAGGAATAAATGCTAACCTACTCTAACGGCGTAGATTGGGACTGGGAGGCCTCAAGCGGCCCTTCTCATTGAGCTGAAAGACCCCTCATTAAAGACTGATGAGAAGCTGCTGGACAGTATCTGGGAGACCGTCCAGAAAGCGAACTCGCAGTCTCGGCACAAGAACCAGTTACTCAGGGACTTCATTACCTTTGCTGAGGCCGATAAACCCTTCATTCGCACCGACAAGAGAACCGTGAAGCGACCGGCAACGCTGGCGCTGTATGCCGATTTCATCGAGAGATTTTACAGCTCTCGAAATGACGATTTGCCTGCTACCGCCATGGATACAAGCTCCGTTGAATCAATCCAGCGCTCATTCCGCAGTGTCCTTGAGCACACGCTGCCTGGTATCCAGGAAGCTCCCGCCGACGCTGATTTGTTTGAGCTCGGCCTCGACTCACTGGGCGTGTTTGCAGCCGTGAAGACAATTCGTGCCGCTACAGGTTTGAAAGACAAGTTCTCCACTCGCTACATATACTCGAATCCCACGATTTCCACCGTATCTACCGTCATACACCGGCTCGTGGAGGAAATGGAGGCGGAGAAGAAGAGTAGCGCTGTTCCCAAGAATGCTGTCTCAGCCAACCTCAATAGCTTGATTGCCCAGCACAAGGCCAGGCAATCTTTCCGATTGAACTCACTGGATTACGTCAATCCAAACCATTACATGGGTCTCATGTTCTATTTTCCCCTGCAAGAAGGCGTCAGCTACGAGCAGGTTTTCGAGAATCTTCAAGAGGGCCTCAACCGCACTCTGGAGCTCATTCCTGCTTTAGGCGGGAAGATGATGAACTACTCTGAGCAGGAGTTCGGGTACAACAACAAGGGCGACCTTGGAGTGACGATCCCTCCGCTGTCCAAGGCAGCATCGGTTCGCAATCGCCTGGTGTACAAGGATCTGTCTGATGTCCTGCCTGCCTTTGAGAAGCTGCGGGAAGATGGATTTGTCCCTTCTGCGCACAGGGACGATCAGGTGCTGCCCGATGACCCTTTCCCCAAGTTCCCCGCGAATATTCTGGTCGCTCAGGCCAACTTTGTCAAAGGCGGCTGTATCCTGGCCGTTGATATGAATCATTGCTGTTTGGATGGAATGGGTGTTATGATCGCTCTGAAAGCCTGGGCCGAGAATTGTAGATACCTACAAGGTGACCATTCAGCAACATGTGATTGGTATGACCCTGAAAGCTTCAACCATAGCTTGCCAGAGATTATCCACGAGCAAGAGGGTTGGTCCCGTCCCGTCGAGGAGATAGATCCGGGCACCTGGGGATACTTGCCATTCTTCCCTCCCGAGGGCACCTTGGAGTCATATAGCCCCAAAGAAGACGGCCTTCCTCGACCGCCTGTCTTCCCTCTGCATTCTGTGTGGCCTCTGCCCCGCGCCGAGAGAGTGACGAAGACAACCTTGTTCAAGATATCTCCGGAGAACGTGCAGAAGCTGAAAGACGAAGTCCTCGCCGACCCGGAGGCCAAGGGAGCCATTACGTCTATTAGTGATATCGTACAGGCCTTCCTGTGGCGCTCTGCCATTAGGGTGCGGTATCGTGTGGCGAAGGAGCAGAAGGGGAGGACGTTCAGCCCGGACGAGATGTCCATCCTTGAATTACCTACCGACGGCCGGCCCTACTTCTCATCTCTCTTGCCTGAAACGTACATGGGCAGCTTGCTTATACTTAATCGGTCGAGCATGCCCATCGAAACACTCTGCGCGCCGGAGACGACCATTGGGCAGATTGCATATCTGCTCCGTACTGCCGCCGCGAGAATCACGCCGTCGCTTGTCCACGGCGCCTTCACCATTCTGCAATCGTTGACGGACCACAGCAGGTTCTCGACGGCCAACATGGGTGTCGACCATTTCCACGCCATGATCTCCAACATGATCCTGTTCCAGACCAGCGAGGTCAACTTTGGAGACAATTTCTTTGGTAACAATGGATCCCCGGAGCAGATGCGGCCTCAGCTGGAGCGGGGGAACGGCCGCTTCCGATTCTTGATCATCCCTCCTATGCTGAAGGACGGGGGCGTGGAATTACTGTTTGGGACTTACCCGGAGGAGCTGGAGATTTTGAAGACGGACGAGGAATTCGTCAAGTATGCAGAGTTTGTGGACGCGTAATCGGCACCATGGTGATCTTTTTAGCTTCATCTATGTATTTTATACGCTTATGAACTCTTTCTTTTAGAACAGCGATAGTTAGTAGTAATCATCTAGGATCTCCTCTGAAGATCACCCACTTGCAACATCGGCTGCGAAGCTGGGTTCCGAAATGGATGCAAGGCAACTTGGGCTCTTACACACTGCCTTCTATGCACGACGCACGTCGTCATCCGTAAGAAGTCAGGCATCATCAGCTAGAAGATACAGGCTCGGTCTAGCCCATCCCAGTGTTGTAGAAGACGGTCTGCCAAAGAGCGCAAAAGTTCGCTCTGCAAGACTAATGCATGTTGATATGATGATCCCTGATGATCCACCTGCGCCCCATGAAGGAGCCCGGTCCGCTCGTATGTATAGATACACCCTGTCAGAGAAACTTGCTCACTGCAAACCTCGTGGCGGCACCAACCAACCGCTCGCATGTAGATGCGGTGCTTCCAAGATCTTTGTTCCCACCTACCCCAGCAAGTGGCTGGGATTCGTCCTGGGATATCCATTTGAAAGCTTCTCGGCCTTCGTTTGAGCGTACAAAGCTCCTCACAGCAAAGTTTGCTGTTGCATATCGTGGCTTGGAGATCCTGCGCCGAGGATTACCTCTCGTCAGCATCGCCGATCGCACGCAAATACCAGCAGAGACAATACGTAGGTATGCGTCTATCAGCGCGATAGATGGTCGCCAGTGACAGAGGAGCGTCTCCAAACAACGTGGCAAGGGCATCACCGGGCCCTACTGGTGGGCTTCCCGTATATACACACCCCCTCCACCGGCAGAGATCTCGTGAACAATCATCGAGAGGCACTAGACTGGCCATTTCCCTGTTAGTTTTGCGCCGAGGCGGCTGCAGAGCGGCAGAGCAGCCTATGCTGAGACAGGAAGCTATCCTGAGACAAGGGTCCGGCGGGTGAGCAAGTTTTCTCAGTTGCGCTTCACGTCGTGCCAGCTCACTGATCAATGAAGGTTTTATTGATTGATTGATTGCAGGAAAAGTAATATGTGCCATCCGTCTCCAGCATCAGCCACTTGTGTCACTGTTTTGGCTCATGTTGGTGCTGTCACATTGAGTTCACCTTCTCCCAACCTCCTTCCTCAGCCTTCGCCTTCCCTCTTCTACCTCCACCAACGCGCGGCTTCATTTTCTCCCCGACAGAGAATTGAACACACCAATTCACCATGTTGAGCTCTAACGAAGAGCCTCGCATCGAGGATAACAAATTCGCTCGCCACCAGATCATCGATGTCGAGGAGCGCGGCAGTTCCTCCGACCCCAGTGATGACTCTGCCCCAGATGCCGATACGCAGGTCGGCATTCAGAACATCCAGGCCACGACACTGGCATGGACGACGCGGTCCCTCGTTTTCGCCTTCGTCATGATCTGGCTGACGTACTTCGTCGAGGGCATGCTGTCCTCTTCTCTCGTGGCTTTGACGCCATACGTGACCTCCAACTTCGCATTGCACTCGCTTACGCCCACCGTGTCTATTCTCAGCAGCGTCATCGGAGGTGTCACAAATCTCACGCTCGCCAAGATCCTCGATGTCTTCGGCCGCCCCCAGGGATATTTGTTCTGTGTCGTGCTCGCGACGGTCGGGCTGATTATGATGGCCGCGTGCAACAACGTCGAATCCTACGCCGCCGCCCAAGTGTTCCAGACTGTCGGCAACAATGGGATCCAGTACAGTCTGACCGTACTCATCGCCGACACCTCTACCCTGCGGAATCGAGGCCTGGTGCAGTCCATTGCCAGCTCCCCCAACCTCATCACTGGATGGCTTGCAGGGCCCATCGCCTCCGGCTTCCTCGCCCTCGGATCTGAAGGCTGGCGCTGGGCCTTTGGCATGTTCACAATCATGGTCCCGGCAATCACTCTCCCTCTCTCTGGCCTGTTCCTCAAGAACTACTTCAAAGCAAAGAAGCTCGGCCTCGTACAGAGCAAGGAAAATCATGGCAACGCCCTCCAGAGCTTCGTCTACTACTGTCGCCAGTTCGATGCCGTTGGCCTTCTCCTCATCTCGGCTGGTGTCGCCCTGTTTCTCCTTCCTTTTAACCTATATACTCTCCAGGCGCGAGGCTGGAACTCGCCTCTTGTCATCAGCATGCTGGTAGTCGGCATCGTCCTCATCATTGCCTTTGTTATCTGGGAGAAGTTCTTCGCTCCCGTCACCTTCATTCCCTACTCCCTTCTTCTTGATCGCACCGTGTTTGGCGCTTGTATCCTCTCCGCTATCCTCTTCCTCAGCTACATGCTGTGGAGCAGCTACTTCACCTCGTATCTGCAGGTTGTCAAAAACTTGAGCGTCGAGAATACGGGCTACGTCGTCCAGGTTTACACAGTTGTGTCCGTATTGTGTGCCATCGGCACTGGTGCTCTCATTCACCATAGCGGACGTTTCAAACCCATCTGTCTCTATGTTGCCATTCCTTTGAGCGTTTTCGGGCTGGGTCTTATGATCCACTTCCGCAACCGTGGAGATGTTGGATACATCATCATGTGCCAAATATTCATCTCCATCGCGGCTGGCATCGTCATCATCACTGACGAGATTGCCGTCCTGGCCGCCGCGTCGCACCAACATATCGCCGTGTGCTTGGCTGTGGTAGGCATGTTTGGAAACGTCGGCGGTGCCATAGGTCTCACGGTCGCTTCTGCAATCTGGCAGCATGTCATGCCCGAGAAGCTTATGAGCTATCTCCCTGTTGAAGATTTAGAGAACCTGCCAATGATCTATGCTGATCTCACCACCCAGTTAAGCTATCCAGTGGGATCGCCAACTCGGATCGCCATCCAAAATGCGTATGCAGACACTCAGACGGTTCTTCTATCTACCGGAACAGGCATCTGGGTCATCGGTCTTATTGGTGTCCTCATGTGGCGTGACATCAATGTCAAGAGTGTGAAGCAGCAGGCCAAGGGCCATGTTTGGTAAATTGATCCGGGGAAACAAGAGTGTTCGATATCGCCTCCTCAACGAGATGACAATGGACATGGTTTGATTCGGGATTTTTTTTTTGGTAGTTGACGAAGGGGCAGGGAAAATTCAATTAGCCATAGAGATTAATACGCAGAGTAATACAATCACCATCAAGGCTCAATGATCCTCTTGAACATGAGTGTCCATACAACCTCCCACTCTCCCAAACCATGCTTACAGATCACCGAAGCTTGGCTCGTCCAGCCAAAGCAGTGATCGCAGGCATCTTTCGAACCCATTCCTGCTTCCCATCCTCCAGAGCATCGACGAGCCACCTCGCCAGCGCTGCCCTCCTCTGCTGAGGAGACCACCCCGGCGCCCCAACCGTGCCCTCATACGTCTCATGATCCTCTCTATCCGCCCGCCAAGATTCCTCATCGCTACCACCAGGAATGCCACCAATACGATACACAGTCCAATCCAACCCCCCAGCATGCTCCTCGAAGACGCGCGCAATCGCCCGCGCGGTCCGCCATCCATAATGCGCCACAACAAATACCAAAGCCACAAGGAGCCATCTAATGAGGGAGAACTGGTCGCCAGGCTGCCAGACCGAGAGGGTGCTCATGGCAAAGATGCGGCGAACCTGATGCTCACGCATGAGTCCGAACAGCAGTATGTAGAAATTGTAGTATACCGACGGATCCGTGTTCAGGAGACTGTTTGGGCCTAGGAGGGACAGAACCGCTGAGCTTCGTGAGACGGCGTCGGCGAGTTGCTCGCGGTCAGTCAGCTCGCCTTTGATTATCTGTGCACGCCTCCTGTTAGCTTGGGGGCGAGGGCAACTGGCAGGTCTATACCGTTACCTCGAGCTTTGGATTCGACTTGAGATCATCGGGTATTTTGGAAGGATTCCTTGCGAATGCTATCACGTCGTGGTCTCGGAAGAGGAGCTCGCGTAGGAGGCAGATGCCCGCGGGGCCCGTGCCGCCGAGCACGAGAATCTTGCCTGGCATGGTGCTCTTTGTTCGCCAAGGTAATGAAGTGATGGGCAGGTGCTTCGCTCTTCGTCAGTTGGGATGCTTGATGTCTATATCAAGTAACAGAACCCCGCAGGAGAATGCGGAGTTTGCTCGTAAATCTCGTACTGGGGCGCAATACTCCGTTCTACATGGGGAGATGACCTGATCATGGTGCCCTCCGACGGTTGGTTACCAATATTAGGCCACACAGGCGGAGTTTGACGCAATACATTAGCTTCCAAGGTTAGCTTTACAGCGCGATCTTAGGGGAGATGTCACCGACCATACAAGTTCATACATATCATTTGCTCGCTCGTGAAAGAGTGAGACTTTGCAACATTTGAACATAAATCATGGGTGCATTCAAGCGTGAGGCGCTGGGCTCACTGTTCTGGGAACATTCAATATCAATTTGGACCTCGTTAACTCGTTGGTAAGAAGTGTGCTAAGTCTACGGATGTTAACCTTCCCACAGATGAGGCAGGGAGTAGTGCAACTGTGGCCGATATATGGCCTCCTTCTACCACAATTCATGATATATAATGTTGTTGTGGTCAATATATGACAATCCCACCGTCAGATTATTGTCTAAGAATAGCCACCACGAGAAGTGGAAAGATACTCCGTGAAACTTTTGCCACAACCCAATTGGAAACATTCACGAGATGGGCATTGCTGATTATCACTAGGCTGTCAAATCCAGTATCCAGCACTGCCTTCATCTTGAAGTACTTTGAATTTATAGGAGGATCTACTCCTCAAAATCGCCACACCTTCTTTCTTAAAGGCGACTTATGTGTCAAACGAAGCTGGCACCCGTATATCTTCCATTCTTTTGACGCATACAGTGATATGAGTTTTAACGACACGATGTCTCAGCTGATATTGAAAATTGAGCATTAATTCAGAATTTTTTTTTCGTAGAATAAGTTAGTAGCCTCATAAACAAAGGAATCGATATTCGGCAGCCTAATCTACTAGATATAGTAACTATGATGATCCCCCTGACGCTGAGTCTCTCTATAATATTATGAACGATGCCTTGTTGATGTGGAAATCCGGAAAGACCGAGGCAACTGTGCCCTAGATAGCGATATCCAATATACAACCACTACACTAACTTAGAGAGCCTAATGAAATTTCTCTGTCAAAACCTTGAGATGCTTGCGGGAGCTCAGTTTCTGTAATTATCTATGACCTTTCCTTCTCATCTTATCTCTCGTTGCCTTGTTATTTAAGAAAAAAAAGGAAAGAAGAGAAAAGAAAGGGAGCCAGAGTTCTTCAAGGAAGGGTAAAGAAAGCGGGCTCCAAACATGAGCAAGAAATGTTCCAACTCGAACTTGAATTTGAAGACTGACAGCTATTTAGAAATAGATAGACTTGATTATGGCCTCCATCGAGCTACAACGGAATCGGTATGGGGACCCGTTATGGCCTCCCTGCAGCACATCAAGCGCCTTGAGATGTTCAAAAACCAACACAATACTAACTTCGCAGCGTAGGACAGATGAGCCATATGTAATTACTATCTATGTACCATCGTAAGAGGGGGCCAGCTTCACTATCTAATCAAGTGGCATCTCATTGAGGGCAGAGTGAGAGGTATAGGGTACCTAAGACAGCTCTTGTAGGCCCCACGAGTGAGTTCTCACCATCTCAAACCTGCAGGAATCATCATTATCACGGACTCAAAACCAGCTGCTGCAATACTCAATTCCTTCGGTCTTCTGATGCGGGAATCAGGCCATTTACTGCATTATCTGTAAAAAAATTCGATATTGGCAATCTTGACAAATCCATATCTTCCCAGTATTGGATTACCCACCGGCATGCAGACACGGCCATGTACGTACATACATCTTGCGTCGCAGATCACCAAGCCTCGTGAATCGGCAGCTTGAACGCAACCTAATTTATCGCTGGGTAATAGCCGACCCCCAAGCTGAAAGTCTCATCATCGAAAAATCAGGCCACTCAGGAAAGAAACGGGGAGCGCCTCGGCTGGATTCGCGCGCTGCGTAGTTGGGAAAAGCAAAAAAGCTAGAGCTGAGACTGCGGAGGTGACATGGCTTGCATCCATTTGCATGAAGAATTCATATTTCTTTTTCTCCCCTTCCGCAAGGAACGTTTGGCGGGACGTTGAACCGGGCTAGCTCCAATTAGAGTATGTGTGTCCGGCCATGCCCCTTGCATAAACCAGCCTGCAGACACGGGGATGTTCACGCCTCTCAAGATGCAATGGCAGAGTTGCAATGGGAGGCGATCTTAAACTGAGCATCGCTGCAGAACTGGTTCACTGGGCCGTTGGCGATGGCCTTGAAGACAGGTCATACGTAGAGTAACATCCAGGCATGGGGCATGCCGATTAGCGTGCGTGAAGAGATCAACCCCTGTTTGCCCTCCCAACTCCTCGGTGCCTTTCCTTGTTGAGGTAGCACATGCCCTCCGAGTCTGGTTCTCGACATCACGGAGAGAGTGCTTCTCGCCATCCCTTTCACAGGCTAGTTCCCTCCTGTCATGCCATCTTCTTCCACAAGGCGAGACGAGAACGGAGCTATTTTGCCGTCCTTGACATCGGCGATTTCTCAACGGCATCCCCACCTCCCGAGTATTGCTCGACCCCTGTTCCCAAACACATCGCCAACCGATGGCCATGGACATTGTGATTGAGGGCCATGGGGGTTTTTCTTCTTCGCCAGTGGCGGAGCTTACCACACGCCACCGTTGAGGATCTCGGTTAAGCAGGCTCTGATTGAGGAGGCGCGGGGATGATTGGATTGGCAGGGGAGTCCCTTTCAATCATGGCCACTCTGGCATGCTAGCGGCATCCATTCTAGCCCACACATTGGCGTATATTGAAATGCGTTCCAAAGGTCAAAGACGGAATGAAAATCTCGTCAGCATCATGGCGTGATCTTGCTGGATTTGTTTTTTCTTGATCGTCCCGTTCGCCGCAAAGTGGTTGTCCTTTCTCGACAGTGATTCGCAAGCTGGTGCAAGTCGCAACGTTTCGCTTCTTGCTTTTTTCCCTCCTCCTCCACCTTTAGTTCGCTTCGGGGAGCTCGCCCAAATGGTCGTCCCGCAGGCTAGATAAGCATTCGTTTTGGATGTTTTCTTCTTCCTTGCCATTATGGAGAAGCTCGGTTACAAAAAACTGCCTGAAGCTGTTCGGCGGGTGGCCAACTCATGACGTTGGCCAAAGACTCCGGAAGTTCGGGTCACTCCGGTTGAAACTCAGACGCTAAGAACTGTCAAGATGATCGTCTTGATTGAGGAGGGCGACTGCGATAGAAAGCTGCCTGAAAGGCTCACAATGGCGCATCAGCCGCGTGAAACCATGGCCTGCGAGGTGCGACAGCCGCGCCTTCTCGCATCCCCAGTTCTTGGTTGGACACCAGAAGTAGACTTTGCTCGCAATATTGTGGGCCAGGAAGGCATGAATTCCGGCCTGTCCCTAACATGATGCCGCTTAGCTGGCACTCAGCTCAGCGATTTCATTGGCATGTTCAACTGACAGGCCCCAGTCCCTCCCGATGCCTCGCATGTGAGCTGGCTCTGTATCATGGAGTGATTCGGGAGAAATATGCGAAGATCCACGCCGTTCCGGTCCCGGGTTTAGATATCCCATCATGTCCCATCCGGGATCTACGAGGCTGGGATGCATAGTGGCGGCCATCTTATAATCCACCCATCTCTTCATATATATGCGCCTTGTCCCATCAGTAAAGGCTCTAGTTCATCTCTCAGGTCCAAGAATCCAGCATACAGGCAGATCTCGGGAAGTTTGATAGACAGCATGACTTCGGTAGAAGACACGAGTGCTAAGCCCTCGAGGCTCCCGCATCAGACGGACGAGTATCTTGCAGAAAACCTAGGCCCGGGGGTGGCCACTGTGTGTATCGTCCTCACCTCCATCAGCACCATCTTTATTCTGCTTCGGTTATTCACCCGTGGAAAGATCATGGCCAAGTTGCATGCGGATGACTGGCTGGCTTCTCTCTCTGTGGTAAGTTTGTACCCTATTCTCGTAACCCAAGACGTGACTAAGTGGCTTCAAAGTTATTCCAATGGGCTTGCGTGGCGTTTGTCATATTGGCGATCAGGGCAGGAAACGGGAGACACTTTGACACGCTGTCGATAGACGAGAGGGAGGGTACAATCTTCTGGACTGTCCTCGCTCTTCCAATGGGTATGCTTGCGTTCAGTATTCCAAAGCTGGGCGTCGCAGCTCTTCTTACTCGGATCATGAACCCAACGAAGCAGCACAAGTTCGCCGTGTGGGGGTTGACTTCATTCTGCGCGTTGACCGTCGTTGCTAGCATAATACTCATCTTTGCCCAATGTACGCCTATGCGGGCGCTCTGGGACCTTTCGGTCGTGGACAAAAAGTGCATCCCAGGTAGTGTGGTAGTGGACTTTCTGATATTTTCTGGAAGTAAGTACTCTAGCAGATGGTAGAAGAGGAGGAACATTGCTGACTTTGAAAAGGTGTGTCTGCGTTTACCGATCTTTACTTGGCACTGTACCCAGCCACTGTACTCTTCAAACTGCAGATGAACATCCGAAAGAAGATTGCCTTGAGCGTGGCTTTGGGGATTGGATCAGTGTACGTTTTCTCTTCGTTGTGAGACTGGATCTTTGCTAACTAATTAGGGCCACTGTTATTGCAATCAAGAAGTGCACACGACTGCCAGCTCTAGCTGAAAAGGATTTCACCTGTATGGATGGGAATTTATCCGTATGTCTTTGATTCTTTGGCTAATTTGTGTCGACAGATAAAACGTCGGACTTGGTTCTTTGGGTCGTGTAAGTTGAACCCGCCTGTCCTTGTTCGATTCATGGCTAACAGGTCCACAGTGGAGAGGGAACAACCATTATTGTGGCCTCCTGCATCCCGTTGCTCCAGCCTCTTGTCGATCTCATCTTTGGCCGCCGAGCTCTGAATAGTTCGGAAAACAACGGGTACAGCCGATTCCCCGTCAGCCGACTCGGCTGGAAGAAGAGAGACACGGAGCTCGGCCTGGGAACAGGCAAGCGAGGCGAACGTCACAAGGGAACATCAGTCGACGACCTGGTAGAGGTCGGCTCGCAAGACACTATCCTACGGACTCTAGACTATGTCAAGTTAGCAGACCATCACCACGACGGGAAGCCTGGCCAGGACATGTCTCCCGCCAACCGCATCCTACGAACCGATGTTGTGACAATAACATATGACAACAAGAGCGAGAATGGTGAGGGAGATGGGACAATGGGTATAAAAGACCCTGAAGCAAGTGGAAACGGCAACAGCTGGCCTAAGACAGAAGCTGTCGCATTGTGATCGCTTCTGCTGGTCTTTTTCTTTGTCTCTTGACTTCATTCAAATTGACTGGTCCGGCGTTGGCGTTGTGGGTAAATTGTTTATGAATGTGACGGGAAAGCGACATGAAAATTCATGAGTAATGGTAGATCATTTTGTATATGAAGGGAAGATACACGAGTATATGACTTTACTTAACGTTGCATATCTGTTTTGACCTGATTGATTAATGGTTAAGTGGTAATCATCTCTCCTCGGCTGCTCCTGCCACCGTTGGATGCTGCTTAGTCAGCCAGGCTCCAGGACGCTGTGATGGGTTTGCTCCGCGCTGAGTTCCACCTCCATTCACTCTGCGTGTGGAATCATACTTCGTGAAGTCGACATACCGAACCTGTATTTGGTCCCCTATCGAACTACGCATGTGGAAAGATCCCCTAGCCACGGCCATGAGCTAATGTGCTTGCCTTACCCCGGGGTGGGACGGTGCCGCTTTCCGGAGAGCGAGCTCGAACTGATCAACCTCGACACGCCACACCGACCGCACGCAGCCCTCTCGTATCCTTCGCCCGAACCTCGATACCGCTCTAACATCGTCGCGCTTCCCGAAGTGATATCGCATGCTACGGATAGACTCTCTCTGTATCGACTAGAGCAACAAGAACGAACGGTCGCGACATGGGCCATAAACGAGGCTCGTCTACAAACATGCTACCTGTGTTGTTGTTCGGATTAGCTTGAAAACACAAGGCGTTGATACTGCACTTGCGCTGGGTCTTCTTGAAGCCATCTGTGAGTCTGCTCTTGAGGGCATGCCTTCAGACAGCATGCAGATTGGACGAGCATTTCGAAAGCACTGGGTGTGTCTAAGGATCGCAGCCTTAGCTCTTCTAAGCTGGCGACGAAATTGATGTACTGCTTGAAGGCTGGACATCGTTTGTTGTTCTTTGTTGTTCATCCGAGGCCAGGCTAGCGTTTATTCACTGGGCAATGCCTTCTGGTTGATGTTGAGCTGTTGCAAGGAAAGACTACTATAGAACCGACGAGAAGGCCAAAAGGAAGACCGCCTGGACGGCCCACGTTTACGTTTCACTTCCGATGAGAAGTGCAAATGATGGTGATGATGATGGTAAGAATAATGAACGTAGTAAAAGTTTCCTTCCTTGCGGCTTGGTTTGCCAATTGCACGAGAGGAAACGAGTTATAGGTGTTCGTAATCGGAAAGATCTTCAAACACCAGACAGGCTTTGAAAGGATATCACTGCCAGCTCCTCAAACTATCAGGCAGTTCGCTTCGGTTAAATTAAACCTATATCTAGAGTAATGGCAAGGTGCTCAGCCTCCAGCTTCTTCGGCGTAACACAGAGAACTGAGCTTTGGCGACTACCAGACCTCTGAGGTAGTAATGCCAACTATTGGCCACTTGGGGGCACTTTGTTCTTCGGTGTATTGATGACACCGCATGGTGTAATTGAAGCAACTGCCTGGGTATTCATAGCTCGTTTCTGGGCGACGAAAGCCCGAACTGATGATGAATCGCCCGTTTGGTTGGAGTAGAGGCGACAGTCTGGAAAGCCCCGGTATCGGATCCGACAAGCGATGATGGTGTGCCATCTGGGGATCGTTGCGTGATGATGTGACATGCACCAGCACCAGCACTACTCCTGCACTGTAACCCTCGTGGGGTCAATAAATCCCAGGGAGTCGGCACTTGCCCGGTCTTTACATATGAGATATGATCTGGATGAAGGCTAATTGGCGTACCAAAAGGGCCTGTCCGTTCATTTACTCAACAAGGCGCTCTATCGACCGACATCCGCCAGAGCAGCTAGAACAAGTCGAGCCTCGTCAGCGAGCACAGGAGCCAACATGGCGGCTCCTACGACTACTACCCCGGATTTCATCAATATTCCCCGCATTGATCTGTCGTTACCTGGCCATGACCAGCTTCTGAGTGATCTCCGATATGCACTCACAGAGGTCGGGTTCCTCTACATTGAGAACCACGGCGTGCCCACCAACCTGATATCGGATCTCAAAAACGCACTTCCGCGCCTCTTTTCTATCTCTCCAGAGTCCAAGGCAGAGGTCGCCCTCGAAAACTCACCCCATTTTCTTGGCTACAGCGGTGATGGTGCCGAGACGACGGCAGGCAAATCCGACCGCAGAGAGCAGTTTGAATTCGCTACGGAGTTGGATGCAACCTGGAAGGAAGGGGTACCCCTTCGTGAACGATTACGAGGGCCGAACTCTGTATGTAAAGCGTTCGGCATTTTCCTATCATTCTTGTTCAGCCTTGCTCAATTGGCTAACTGCATTCAAGTGGCCATCAGCATACCCGGAGTTGCGTCCTATCGTAGAGACGTATATCCGTGAATTGACTGCCCTGGGCGAGCGCTTCCTCCGCCTCGTAGCCGAGGCTCTCTTTCTCCCCCAAGACACATTCCTCCCGTTCCTCTCTGACCAGCACCGCCTCAAGCTCGTGCACTACCCGGCGCTTGAGGATCCAGGCGCCGAAAGTCAGGGCGTAGGACCGCACAAGGACAGCTCCGGGTGGTGGACGTTCCTCCTCCAGGCCTCACCCCCGCACATCAAGGGGCTTCAGGTGCTGAACAAGAGCGGCAACTGGGTGGATGTCCCCGTGATCCCGGACTCCCTCGTCGTCAATATCGGCCAGGCGTTCGAGGTGGTCACGCACGGCGTGTGCAAGGCGACGACGCATCGCGTGCTTGGCGGTTCGCTGGAGCGGTTCAGCGTGCCTTTCTTCCAAGGGGTGAGGCGTGACCTCACCAAGGCAGAGGCTCTGGATCCGCTGAGAGAACATTTCCTCAAGCGACCTGAGTTTCGGTTTCAAAAGGGTAGTGTGGCTTCAGAGTCTGACGAGGGGAGAGGTATTGATTCTGCATTCCTCAAGGGCAAATATGATACTTGGGGCGAGAGCCAGTTGCGGACAAAGATACGCAGCCACCGAGATGTTGGCAAGAGGTTCTACGGAGATGTGTTTGAGAAATATGTCAACGATGATTGAAAGAATGAAGAAAAGTTGACATTTTTTACTCTTAATCGATATCCCCTTGATGCATTTGAATTCATTATCCATGGCATTCACATGCATGTTTCGCGAAAAATCACATCTCTGATCATATTCTTCATACAAATAGTCGGATCATGAACTCGTTTCCCAATTGCTAATTACAAATAAAATAAAATAAGCAAACTCATTCAGTCATAATACCTCGCCTTGACCCCCTTCAGAATATCCTCCTCAGCCAGCTGACTCCTCGCCGTCTTGCTGCGATTCACCCCCGCCTTCACGCGAGCCTTCACCCACTCACCCGCCGTGATCCCCTCGGCCAGCTGCGCATCCGGATCGGGCCTGTAATTCAGCCTCTCCAGCACCTTGCTCTGCACCGGCCGCAGCTCCAGCGCATCCTCCGGCCGGACAAAGTACAGCACGCCCAGCCTGTCCACGTGGGCCTGGTCCGCGGGAGGCGCCACGACCCTGTGGATGCTGCTCTTTAGGAACCCGTTGGTCAGGAACTGCAGCGCGTCGGCGACGTTGACGGTGATGGAGCCGTCGAGGGGCCTCACCCACTTCCAGCCGCCGTCCTGGCCGCGCACCTGCAGGGCCGCGACGGGCTGGCGGAACAGCAGGGTGAGGCTGCCGAAGTCGGTGTGGCCCTTGACCCAGACGTTGTTGAGCTTCGCGTTGGTCTCGGCGTCGCGGGCGTGGTACTTCATGTACCGCAGGTGGCAGTCCGAGAGGGCGTCGTAGCGGTGGAATTGGGAGAAGTGGTCCTCCGGGAGCTCGAGGATGATGGCGAAGAGGGCCAGGAGCTTCTGCACGACGTTGTGGTGGATGTGGCGGGCGAACTTCTCGATCTGGGGCTTGTGGGTGTTGATCACTGAGGGCTGAGGGCGGTCCAGCTCGGGGATGAACTTGGGGATATTGAAGATCTCGGTGTTGTCGAAGATACCGGGAGTCACTTCCTATATTAAAAAGTTAGTTGCTTGTGGCAGAGTCAGAACATTGAGATAGATCTTACCCGCAGCCCAAGAGGTTTGTAGCCATTGTAGCCACCGTTTTCTAGATCAGCACGGTATTTGAGCTTCTCCTCAGTAGGCAGTTCGAAGAGGTTCTTCCCAATGGCGAACTGCTCATCGACCTCCTCTTGGCTGAGGCCGAAATTTACAATGTAAAAGAAGCCGACTTCCTGCAGAGCCTTGAACAGCTGGTTGGCGAGAGCCTCTTTGCCTCCAGGCTCGTCGAACTTGGACAGATCAAGGGTTACCAGGTTAGCCCAGTCCACTATGACTGGTCAACACAACGAACTAAGATGTCATTCGCCTGGCGAGGGACAGAACATACACTCGTGGGCTGTTTCTGGAATCTGCTTGTAGGCCGGGAGGGCACTGACGGGGAATGAAGACACAGCTGCAGCCATAGTGATAGTATGGGCCAAGTTCGTGCGTCTCGAGGCGTCTCGTCTTATCAGGCCAAGTCAATATGGGGCAATTGCGTGATATATGAAGCGGCCAAAGCACGGAGTGACCTTCCGGGAGTAGTATGAACTTGGATAAGGCCGGCCGAACCCATGCCGGAGTCCGGGAGTCTTAAATGGGGGCCCCCTGGCCGTGATCTCCGTCGTCGGCGGCAGCCCGATGCTACCACGCAATCCATCTCCGCAATGGCGTCTTTCGAGATGGCTCGCGTCGATCTCAACCTCTGCAGAAGTTGGTCAGCACAGTGGCTACTTTGCCCAAGACTCAAGCCCAACCTGTCAGTCGGGTATGTCCCGCCATGTATGTGCCATCACCATGGGTTGACAGTGCATGAGAGGGTTGCGCCGACCTGAAGTCTGCCAATGAGAGACGTCGGGAGGCTCGAACAAGGCCGTTGGCGTGATTGACACTGGTCATTTCATCGCCATGTGGAATTCACGCAGATAAACTAGGAGTGAGCTGTCATGCCGCAGCTGAAAGACCTTCTTATACCCGGCGAACCAATCGAGTGCATATTGAAGCCGGAAGTCGGACTTGCCACCCTCCTCAGCACACGCTGCCTCCATTGTACTTTCTTTTTCCACACATTGGATCCATTGAGGGCAGTTCGTGATCACAATATTGCCAAAATGGCTGACGGGAAAGATGTTGCCGTCTCAAGCAACACCGTGAGCTCCGACTCACCCCCACTGAGCGAGACTGGCGACCGGAGCGGGGAGAATAATGCCAACAAACCCTCTGGTCTGACCTATGCCCGTCGTGGAGAGGAAGTTGATGATGCTACAGTGGCACAGGGAGTCGACGGCTTTGACGCCGAGCGAATGCGCGACCGGGCGCTGCTCACGGCTGAGGAAGAGAAGAAGCTGATGAGACGGGTGGATTGGCGCATCATGACTGTCTGCTCGCTGCTGTTTCTGCTCAAGAACCTCGACTCGGACAATATCTCCAACGCTAGAATCATGAACAAGGGAACGGATATGAATATCATGACGCAACTGAAGATGACCTCTGATGAGTACAATTTACTCACTGTCCTATACTATGTAAGTTGGAGTTCTGTCTCACTCAGAAGGATATGGAGACTGACCGGTTTAGATTCCATACATTGTATTCGAAGCTCCATCCAACCTTCTTCTCAAAAAGTTCTCGCCAAGCACTTGGCAATCGAGGATCATGATTAGTTGGGGTATTGCCCTCCTATGCCACGTTCCGGTGAACAACAAGGGGGGCATCTATGCTACCAGATTCCTTCTTGGTTTGGTTTGTCTTCCATTATTCTCTAGTCAAAGTCAGATTTATGATGCTAATACTCGTGTAGGCCGAAGCTGGCATGTTCCCGGGTGTGATTCTCCAGCTCTCGTACTGGTACCGACCTGACGAGATGTCCGTTCGCCTCCTGTATTTCTGTAAGTCTATCACCATCTATACCAGCATGAACCACGCCAACTGAATCATTACTACAGACATCCTCGGAAATCTATCTGGAGTGTTTAGTGGACTACTCGCTTTTGCCTTCGACACCGTGTCTGGAGCCCGCGGACTCAGTGGCTGGCAGTACTTGTTCCTTTTCGAGGGCCTCGTAACAGTAGTATTCGGCGTCGTCGTGAAGTTCATCCTACCAGACTGTAAGAATAAATCGACCAACATATCCATCCAAACCCGTCGTCGTCTCAGGCTAACCTCCCCCATCAAGTCCCTCCCACAGCCAAGTGGCTCACCGACAAGGAAAAGGCCTTCATCCAGGCCCGTCTGCCCCCCAACGCCCCCCGCGCCGCCGAGGAGGACTTCAACGTCAAAGAGATCGTCCAGGCCCTCAAGGACCGCCGCCTCTGGCTCTTCACCCTCATCTGGGCCACCTTCACCGTCGGCACCTCGGGCGTCCGCTTCTACCAGCCCACCGTCATCGCCAACCTCGGCTTCACCACCATCGCCCGCGCCCAGCTCCTCAACCTCCCAATCTCCCTCCTCTCCATCCTCGTCATCGGCGCCACAGGTTACTTCGCCGACAACGGCCGCCTGCCCCGGCCCGTCTACCCCCTCGGCGTCTTCGTCGTCGTCATGGCCTGCTACGGCGTCCTCGTCGCCTACCCCTCCAACGGCGCCGTCTACGCCGCCACCCTCATCGGCAACGCTTTTACGTCGGCCTTCTTCCCGCTCATGTGGCCCTGGCGCGTCCAGACCACGGCCCGCGCCACGGGGTCGGCCTTCAGCATCGGCTTCGTCAACAGCTACGGCCAGATCGGCGGCGCCATAGGCCCCCAGATCTTCAAGTCAAAGTACGCGCCGCGGTACCGGACCAGCTTCGCCAGCGCCATGGGGCTCGTGGGGCTCTGCACGCTCACCACGCTCGCGACCTGGTGGGTCACGCGGAAGACGGAGGCGGACACGAGGAGGCTGAAGAGGGCGAGGGTGAGGGCCGAGAGGGAGGGGCTGACGGTGCTCGACGACGTTGTCGATCGCGATCTGAAGCGGGGTGGCTCTCAGGGTAACTCTAGTTCAGATGATCGTGTATAAGCAGGACTGAGAATCGGAGGAGGGTGACATGTAACGAGAAATGATTTGACATCGAGGCCCGTGTTGGGATTGCTTTAGACAGACTAGAATCGAGCTCTTCACCAAGGCACGCTGATAGCCCAAGCATCTGACATCAAAAGCAATACATTACTTGAACATTAAATAATTAGCCGCTCATATATGTACATGACTAGTTACAATAGGAAATTATACTCGTGTGTGTGGTTGGTTAATTAGAGATATCCATTCGTTCTTTTTGTTCCGCAAAGAGCCACCCTGAATACCTTGTGCAAAACTCCAAGCTCGCCAGTCGCCGTATATCAAGAATTCGAAAGCAATCACTTCCGTCGAAAAGATTTCAATTATCATTATGTTTTTTCCTCTTTCTCACACATATTCTCACTCCGTTCGGTGGGAATGAAGCCTCGGTGATCCATTCATTCGGCGGCCTCTTGCCCTCATACTCGGCAGGGAGCTTGATATCGTAATTCCGCAAGACATGCGCCACAATCATCTTGAGCTCGAAGTCAACTAGAAACCTGCCCGGGCAGGCGTGTTTGCCATGTCCAAACGGCAGGTACTCGCTACTTGTCGTGACAAATGTGACTGGCGCACCCTCGTCACGCTTCTCGACAAACCGGAACGGTACATACTTGAGCGCGTCCGGGTATACGTCGTTGTCTGTCTGTACCGGATAGGAGAGGAAGGAGACGAGCGTGCCTCTGGGTAGATTGTAACCCTCGGGGGTGGTCACTCCGTCAACCATCACCTTGCGCATCATCGCCCGGTTGGCAAAGGCGTGTAGACGAAGCGTCTCGCGGGAGACAGAGTCGGCCAGGATCATGCTATTCACACGGGCCTTTGTCCAGTGGCTTTTGGACCGATCCGAATCGTCCTCTGTCTCTAGAATGGCGTCAGACTCCTTGCGCAGCGCGTTTATAGTGTCGTATTCCACATCCGAGCCGAGGATGTCCAGTAGCAGGTTGCAGACCTGCAGAGTCGTTTGGTGGACGGCGCCAAAATTTTGGGCACATATCCGCCTGACGATGAGTTCGTGATCATTAATCTCCTCTGGGCGCTCTTTCAAGGCAAACTTGACCATCATCTGCACATGGTCTAGAGGCGCATTCGTGTTGCCTTCATCCTTTTCCTCAGCGCGTGCTATGGCCACCCGTTCCCTCCATAAGGGTATAAGCCAGCGCTTGGCCTTGCTAATATGTTGCTGGAGAGAGATTCCAATGATGGGTCCGAAGAGGGGCTGGAGGACGGTGGGCAGGCCACAGATGAGGCCTCCGTTGGCGAGCAGACCGTCGTTGATATCTAGTACTGTTTTGAGATACTCCGGGTCGCGACCTAATTTTGTTATCCTCCCATTAGTATTCAAGGCGAAAAGTGAGGCGTCATTATTTCTCATCGAATGACTCCACCTCAGGAGATGAAGAATGATGTCTTACACAATGGCAGCCCAACAGTGAAGCGGCTGTTGGCTTGTGCGATGGCCCTGCTGATAGTCTCTCTCAATTTGAACTCAACCCAGTTCTCCTCGTCATCGCCAAAGTGCTTGTCAAAGGCACGGCCGAGCTCGTCATTGAGCGAAGCGCAAATGGCCTCGAGCACACGGTTAAGCTCCGTCTTGACAAGCAATCCCTGCCAACTGTCGAGAATAGGGCCGTCGTGTCCAAGGGTGAATTTGGCCTGGTCCATCTCCGCCATCGCGTGGGGGACGTTGAGGCGACTTGCCGGTTGCACCAGCACCCATCGGATCATGCTGGGCGGCAGCAGAACCTCCTTGCGAAAACCCATGCCAGGGATAACGACTGGCTTCCCATGTTTGAGATACTAGATTTCAGGTTAGCAAGTCTGGGTGAGAGCGCCAAAGTGCGCTGGGCGCCAATGGGTTGGAGGAAGTGCGAGCTTTTGTGGGTGAGTTTTACATTGTCCCAGGCATCCTTAAAAAGAGCCTTGCAGTCTGTGTAGTAAGCCCATCTCGTGCGCAAACTGAATCGCCGTGCGCCAGGGGTCTCGCGGATCAGAGGGATGTTATCGGGATAGGGGACGCTGACGATGAAGCGCTCGACGATATAGACGACAGCGCAGAAGGCGACGCCACAGGCGATCAACGCGTATAACCCGAGTAGGTAGGCGGGCTGGCGCAGCAGCAGGGAGCACATGGTCTGTTTCAAGATGGACCCCCCGCCAGCCTCATCAAGACACACGAAGAAAAAGCGACGTTGTGTAACTCCAAGGGCTACGTTCCGCGCAAGGAGAACCAACCGCAGCACCCAGACTGAGGACTGGGCTGGCGAGTGCGAGAGCCCTGTTGCGAAGAAGTGGCGTGCCTTGGCCGCGGGGCCTGAGCGATCAGCGCCTGCAGTATGCAAGACACCGCAGGCTGGTGGTTTGCTCTGCGCGCCAGAGGACCAGCGACAGACAGGACGATGACCAGCCGGCCGGGTCGATCAATTCGTTTATGCACAGGCTGGCTGGTTGGTTGGTAGTGGCGTGTGTCGCGGGCAAATGCAAGCGTGACACTCGGGAGTCGGAAGAGAAGGGGGCCTGTATTTAGCTGCAGCTTCCAGTCCGCAGTGCTGGGACCAGGCCAGACTCAGGAGCGAAGCGAAGTCCGCAACTCGACGACACAGTAAGATCCGCCGCACCCCACTAAACAAAAATCCAGTGAGCTGTTGATAGTCTGTAGGTTATTGCTTGACGGCGTTCGAGGCGAGGAGCAAGGAAACCCGTCGTTATTGCTGGGCCTGCGGCTAGTTCCCCTGTTCTTCGGTTCTCCGACGCTTCCTCTACCACGTAGCTTTTTACTCCAGTAGTTGCGCATATGAGGGCAAGGGTGCGAATATGCTAAAGCCAATGGATGAAATTTCCAGGATTTCGGGACTTCGGAGGCTAGGAGGGCCCCGGGTGCAGCATCAAAGCTGCTCCACCAAACCAGATGTAGCGGCTGACAGGCAGGGTCATTTATTAATGTGTTGATCTCGTTGGCGGGCCCAGTGGGACACAGTTGGTAGTGGGCTATTGCTAGCACCAGACGAGGCGAATAGACGAGTGTGGAGGAATGTTTTGCGACACATCGATCAAATAGAAGTGCGCCTCAGCTCAGGTCCATCGCCAAAGCACACATACAAAAATAGCTGCACGTGCGACCGTGACCACTCTAACCGTGGTGAGATACCTCTGCGGTGAGAGGACAGAGTTTCCAATCTAATCGCCTCGGCTTCTTCCCGGCACCCTCGCAAGCAACAACTCCGATGCTTACTACCGTCCACGGCCACATCTGTCACCGACCTGGTAGGTGCTTGCCATGAAACTTTCCTGATGCTACTCCGATGTTCCTCCAGCGGCGGAAGTTGCCGCGCGGCTATCCCAATCACGCGGACCATGAGGCAGGAGCCGATTTGATGTAATTCCCTACCGACATCTATCGGACAAGTGGTTTCCAGTGACTGCCCTGGCCCCTATAGCATAGCGCCATCGTCTCTCTGCATCCAATTTCGACTATGGCCTGGATGGAGCCTTTGTCCGACATGGATTGATTCAGTAGCCATCGCGGCTGGAATGTTCCATATCCCGTCTAGGAATTGAAACGCGCAGCCATGTCCCGAATCTCAGAGTAGAGGTGGGTAGTCCCGCGTGTCTTAAATTGAATGCATGGACCCCTGTTTTCCAGGTCCAGGGAACAGTGGTTTCATGTATTACATAGTACCTACTACCTTAGTAGGTAGAACCTGTGCCTGAAAGAAACCCCTTCCAGGCTAGGCGAGCTGGCAAGATACCGAGGCTCTCGCCATGATCGATGCGTCCATCGAAACGGGATACCAAGGCGAGGAGGGTCGGCCGCTGCGTGGACAGAAATTGGAAGAAAAGGGGGTCTATTCATTTCTCGTCGCTAATCGCTGGTTATCGTGCCGGCTCCCGCCGTCAAGTGCTTCTAGTGGATGTGGGGCTGCTTCTGGGAAAACGAGAACAAATATCACCACTTGCTTTGCTACCAGCGCGGTGATAGCTATTTCCGTAGCAGGCGGCCGCTCAATGGTGTATTACCATCCTAGGACGCATAAGTAGTATTCGCCTCATGTGCGATCCATTGCCTTTTCGAACCGTGACTAAACAGACCGTGCCGCAAACAATGCAGGTCGATACCACGGGCCCCTCCGAGCCAATGGAAGAGGAGCCTCAAAACGAGGGGCAGCCACAGTGGCTGCGATAAGATAAGCCTCGCCTGTTCTCCCCGCCTTCCACCAGTCGAGCATCATCGAATGGCGAATCACCTGCTCAGTGAACAACAGCAGAGATATCTCATCACTCAATAGCTCCATCCACCAACTCATGCCGGAGGCAGGCTCCGCCCCAGTAAACCAGCCATGGCTCCGAAACCATTCAAGCCTGCTCTCATCGTCGTGGATTTCCAAGAAGACTTCTGCCCCCCCGTAAGTCCCCGTATGACCCTTACGCTTGATATCAAACCCATCATCTATCCCTCTCCAAGATATTAAACACCCTACAAAACCGCACCACCGCCTAACCACCCGCCTCCTCCAGAACGGCTCCCTCGCCGTCCCCAACGGCAGAGACATCTCCCCAACCGTAAACTCCCTCCTCCAGCTCCCCTTCCCCCTCAAGCTCGCCACCCGCGATTGGCACCCGCCCTCCCACATCTCTTTCTCCCCAAATCACCCAGACACCTCCCCCTTCACCTCCTCCATCACCGTCCACCACCCCACCGACCCCTCCCACCTCCCCTACGTCACCACCCTCTGGCCAATACACTGCGTCGCGGGCTCCCCTGGTGCTCAGCTCGTCCCGGAGCTCGACGCCGACGCCCTCCACGCCGTCCTCGACAAGGGCACCCGCCCGGACCTCGAGATGTACTCGGCCTTTTACGACCCCTTCCGCGTCGAGGACACGGGCCTGGCGGACCGCCTGCGCAGAGAGGAAACCACCCACGTCTTCGTCGTGGGGCTCGCCGCCGACTACTGCGTCCGCGCCACCGCCCTCCACGCCGTGCAGGAGGGGTACACTACCTACATCGTCGAGGAGGGCACCCGGCCCGTCTCCCCGGAGGGCTGGCCGGACTGCAGGCGGGAGCTGGTTGGCGGCGGCGTCAAGATGATCTCGTTTGACGGGGAGGAGGTGGCGCGCGTGAGGGCTTTGGTATCATGACGGGCATGGCGAGCAGCAACATGGGATGGGGGTTTCATGAGGAGTATGGGGATTATGGGCGTTTATATGCGAGTCTGAGATTTACTAGGTTGTTTCTCCTTTTTTTGAGGTTTAGAAAAGATTAACTGAGTATGCTGCGGTGGGAGAGCCGGAATGTTAAGCGTCTTCAAGACTCAAGGTATTTATTTACATGGGTAGATTTCATTCACCCAATTAAAAGATACATTTAACAGGTAAAAATAATGAATTAACGATGATTAGAGCACGGTGAGGGCATGGTCGCCCTCCCCTTGCGATGGGTATGCAAATACTTCTACTGCGGTAATCCAGGCTTCTAGACAAATTCAAACTCCTAACACGACGCCCAAACCATTCTGTATGAGACCAACTCATCGCTTGGACCTTTGCACGGCAGCAGCACTGGGGGTGCCATTAGCTCCGTTGGTCTTATCCAGCGCAGAGGTCATCGCCATAGACACGGGCGTCATGGCGGCAGGGGGTGCGGGAGTGCCGCTGCGGGATGGTGCGGCACTTCGGTTGTGTTGCATGTGGGCTCGGACCAGATGGCCGGCAGCGAGGGCACTGCAGAGCGACAGCTCACCAGCGAGGACGGCGGCAGCAATGATGCGAGCCAAGCGCCTGGCATTGTCACCTGGGTTTGTGGGGTGAGAGCCACGGACACCCAGCATGTCGAGCATGGCGGACTGAGGCTCGAGGATGGTACCTCCTCCCAGGGTACCGACCTCCAAAGAGGGCATGGAGACGGCGATCTGGAGAGAGCCGCGCAGACTAGTGGGAAGGAGAATCATTAGCATCCAATCATCAGAAACATGGAGTGATATGGTGAGCACGGTTGACTTACTTTCTCATGGTGGTGATACAGTTGCAACTTTCCACAACCTGGGCGGGATCTTGACCAGTGGCCAAGAAGATGGCCGCCACGATGTTGGCTGCGTGGGCGTTGAATCCACCAATAGAACCAGCCATGGCAGATCCAATCAAGTTCTTTGAGATGTTGAGCTCGACAAGGGAATCGACATCACTCTTGAGTACGTTCTTAACAACATCTCCAGGAATAATAGCCTCAGCAACAACGCTCTTTCCACGGCCATCAATCCAGTTCAGGGCGGCAGGCTTCTTATCGATACAATAGTTACCAGAAACCGAAATGATTTGCATATCCTCGAAGCCAGCCTCGTTGGCCATGACGGAGAGCGCGTGCTCCACACCCTTGGAGATCATGTTCATACCCATGGCGTCACCAGTAGTTGTCTTGAAGCGAACATAGAGGTTAGTTCCGGCCAGGGCGGTCTTCATGCTCTGCAGACGGGCGAAGCGACTAGTCGAGTTGAAGGCCTTCTTCATGACGTCCTGACCATCTTCCGAATCCAACCAGATCTTGGCGGCACCGGCGCGTTCAAGGGTCTCGAAGCCCAAGCAAGGACCGCGAGTCATACCATCAGCAGTGAGAACGGTGATGGCACCACCTCCAGAATTGATGGCTTTGCAACCTCGACTTGCGCTAGCAACCAGGACACCTTCAGTCGTTGCCATGGGGATAAAATAACTCTGTCCGTCAATCACCAAAGGCCCGGCGACACCAACTGGGAGAGGAAGGTAACCAATGACGTTCTCGCAGCAGGCTCCAAAGACACGTTCCCAGTTGTAATGCTCATAAGGAAGCTTGGAGTGGTCGAGCGTATGAGTGAGCTCCTGAGTAGCCTTGGTCCGAGAGATGATAGTTCGGCGAACCTTGACAGCGCGAGTGAAATCCTTCAAGCTCTTCTCCAAAGCGTATCCAGGGATCTTTCCACGCAGCGACATCAGAGCGACCTCCTCATCATTCAGCTCGTGGGCGCGCTTCTCGGCAATCAACTGCTCAAGAGTTGGAATGCTGCGGATGACGGTAGAGCCCTGCTTCACCTTTGGTCGGGGAACAGCTCCGTCACCCTCATCGTCGGTCATGGCGGGTGTAGCAGGCTCAGTGCGCATAGGAGTTGGCGGTACGTACTCACCGAGGGGAAGGGTAGTGGTGCTGGTGTCATTGAATCGCTCAGCATTGGCCAGCTCATTACGATCGATGATGCGGTCGGGCATGTTGGGATCCTTGATGCCAGCTTTGGCCACATTGAAGAGATAGCCGTTGAGGGCAACACTGAGAGCGAGAGCGATGACGATCCACTTGGACAAGACAGGGTCTTCCAAACTCTGCAACAGGCTTCCGACCATGCGACCGCCGAGACCGTATCCCTCCAGACCCAGGCCATTCTCGAACAGGGAGCCACTGCCGCCGATGGAGCCAGTGAGGGCATAGTGGACTGAGGGAAACTCAAGCTCATACTTGATAGGGGTAAGGACAGTTACCAGGGTGGCCTTGCCGCTCGACTTGGCGCCCTGAAGAAGAACATCCAGGCCGTTGGAGGCGACCTTGAAGGGGTCCACTGGAGGGCTGGAAACAACACCTCCAAGACCACCAAACCACGAACGGATCGTGTTCAGGGAGGTAGGCGTACGGAATGGAATGGTGACGAGATTGATGACATTGATCAGAACGAATCCAGTGACCATGATGACCTTGAACTTGGGCACGTTGCTGCTCTTCATCTTGCGTCCGAAAAGGGAAGTCTCCTTATCGTCGTTGCCCTCAGCCACGTTTTCAGCCACACGGCGGTTAACACCATCGGCTTCCAAAGCCATGCGCATGTCGACATGCCTCTTGATGCGGTTGATCTCGAGCTTGATGCTGAGGATCGCAGTGTAAAATGTGAACAACAAAACGCAATCAAAGACCAAGATCCAAGCAGCAAGGAAACAGAATTGCTGAAGGCCACCCTGGACGCCAGAGGCGGCACCGACAACAAGAATAACGATCTCAATAGCATAGTCCCTGACAATCTCAAAACCCTTGTCCTTGACGGCAGCTTTGATGGCATACTGGATGAGGCTCTGGGTGACGGGCTCGGCACTCCTCTTTCCAGACTTGGAGTTCTGGATCTGGACGCGGCGGTGTTCGATGGCATGCGATAGAACAGCCCTGGTGAGGACAATGTTCTTTTCAAAACCAATGGTAACTACCAAGAATGGCAGGCCTTCAGAGAGAAGAATAACGCTGATGGGAACACCCAGTCTAGTGGTAACGGCGAGACCAAAGAGGAAAGCGAAGACGGAAGAGAGGATCGTGTTGAGGCCCAGCCAAAAGTTGGAGCCCAAGCGCCTCATGGAGACGAACAAAGAGACGAACGTCAGGTGCATGGACAGGTACCCAAGTACCATGATCACAATATCAAGACTCTCAGCATTCTTGAGCAAGTCGAGGAACTCGGACCACGCATCTTTGACCCATTGAACGGCGTTACTAGGTGTAGTGACCTTGGCCGCTTTCATGATCCACATCTTCTTCTCTCGGCCATGGCGCGTCTCCGTCTCCTCAGCATCCTCATTAGGGATCTCTTGGGCAGCGGACACGAACTCGGGTGCCTGCTGGTATGGGAGGGCAAAGGCGAGGATGCTGTCTTGTGCGTAGGTGGTGAACGAATTCTCTGTTCCCGGGAGTGCGGTGATGGAGAGGTTGCTCGGCGTGGGGACGGTATGGGAGAGCGGGGCGGTGCTCGGTGAATCGCTCGAGAGAGTATCCGGGAAAACGAGAGTCAGGAGGGCGAGGTGATCGACATCGGTGGTCGGGGCGGCGTCCTGCTCGACAGACTGCCACTTCCACGTAGTATCGGGGCTGGCGAGAAGCGTGCGGCTGCCTTCGGTCAAGGACGACCAATCGGCCTTGCCGGCGCGGACACTTCGATCGAAAAGGCTATCTTGGATCAGACCGACGTATGAGGTGCTGGCGAGCAGCGCGACGACAACGACCGTATGGATCGGGTGGCCACAGGCGAGCCGCGAGAGGAACTGCACCATGGGAGTGATTCTTTTGCTCAGCCAGGTGGGTGCTTGGTTCTGTGCTACCGAGGGCTCGCCCCGGAAATGCCTGGGGAGGAAAGAGTTCATCGTGTCTATATGCTCGGAGAAGGTGACTCGGCGTTTACGACATTGGTTTGTACTTTTGATCGAAGGGTCGTAGGTTCCGTCTGACGATCGATTTTTCGAGTCTATTAGAGGTGGTAAGCCAGAGTTTTCTTGAACGGCAGCGTCCATGATGCGAGGGTGAAGTTAAATCATGTAAAGCACTTGAAGACGAGCAAGAGATGGCGGAGCCAATTGGCCAGAGGGAGGAAAGGGGGCAAAGGACAGAGGCAGCAGCGGCTGCGCATTATACAGCAAACGCGTTTGCATCTCGAATAATCTGGTGCGACTTACTCAGGAGCTTGGATTGGGCTGCTCTGAAGCCGCCGAGGTCGCCTCGCTAGGTGGCCAATGCGAAGAACAATATCAAGCCAACGCAATTGATGCCGTCACACAGCCAAAGCCAATGCCACCAAAGGTCGACGTAAGGGCCAGAGACGTAAGCAATCACGAGGGGATGATGAGGGGGGAGGAGAACTAAGAGCAGAAGTAGGGAACGGAAGGTCGAGGCCTGATAAGGGCTCAAGGGAGGGACATGCAGACGTCGCAGCGAGAATATTTGCGTGCGTACGAGGAGCTGCATCGGCAAGGTTGATGCAGAACCTCGCCAACCCCTGTTTCCATTTAGGACAGCTGGGGCGGTGAGAGGCAGATTGCCCTATGAGAGGGCGCCCGCCGGTGGAGCTGCCCTGGCAGTATGCACCTACCTCGCCCACATGCGCTGGAAGTATGGGTGCTGTGCCACCCCAAACCAGCGTCTACAAGCCACTACCGCTGCCGGGCTAGGGGTCGACCCTATTTTACTTTTTTCTGATGGATGCCTGTATTTTTTTTTCTGCCCTTTCCGTCTAGGCGGTATCGAACACAGCACGCGAGCCCCTATCGCGGTGCACCCCCACCTGGGTAAATTCCAAGGCAAGTTGGGGGCAGGCATTTTGGGCTTTCAATGTGTTCCAACCAACAGCGGGCAGACACCCCTCAGCCCAGATGCGAATGTGACTCTCCCACTCTTACGTACTAGGTTTGTTGCATCTGTCTTGCCGCGGGGAGCTCAGTAAAAATCCCTGCGTCATCACCGAGCCACCCCATAACTGCAGGCATCTCACTCCCGGCCAGCTTGGGTCACAAAGCTCCATTGCCGCGTGGAGACTTGTCCGGTCCGGGACTGGTGGGGAATCCTCGTTGACCAGAGCCTCCGCATCAGACCTCCCATTCACTCATTTATTCGCTGGAGAAGAAGGTTCACAAAGGGATGTATGCACGGGGCGCTCCAGGGCCTTTGGTATGCGTCAACGCAAGCTGATTGTGTGGCCAGGGCTAGAGGATTCGCGTTGGTGGTCATCCTCAGGATCGAAAAGTCCCAATGCTAGTGCTAAGCCCTCATCAGCAAGTCCTCCATATTGTCTCTCAGGCAGGATGCCCGCTGAATTACCATTACTGACACCCACTTGGGCGTTGCAGAATTCGGAGCTATGGCAAACCCACTTCAGCCCATCACTGAGAAGGAGAAAAGCAGGATCTGATAATAATCGCGCTCTTAAGGAGATCGCCGAAAGCAATCACCGGCAGCCAACCATCTCGCGGCGATGTGGCGGGGTTCATGAGTGACTGGCTGCAGGTTCAAACGAATACGATGCGCCGGCAGACCCCCGTTGCTGCCGTCTGCCGGCGATGGATGGGTTGCAACCTACGAGTATTGCCGGTGGCTGTATGGGAGGAAGCCGTCTTCTTGTGCATACGCATGGCAAGCTATACCGTGTGCTGCTTTCGTCCTGGTTGTTGCCGGCACTTGAAGCAACAGCATTTCTGGCCGTCAAGCTGCTTGCGTTTGGTTTGTTGCACATCCACAGTGGAAACCAGGCGGAGCTCACAGCTCCGTAACATGGAGCTCGGTATTGACTATGTGTCATCCGTTGGAGGGGACAAGGGGCGCACCGCAATGTGTCGCACGCGTATTCGGGAAATCGATCACACACACACTCCCGCTCAAGTACCTACATGCATGGATGCACTGGACGGCGCCCTGGCTGTTATTACATTATCAAGAGACCTAACTAACATTGGCCTTGGCAGTCGGGTTCCCAGTGGAGCTGGTTCCAGGGGCTGTCTTAGACCCATCTCGGGGCAAAACGGCACGGTTAGATTTTTCAAAACAAATTCAACGCCAAAAGAATGGAATCCAAGCGAGGATTACCGCAGTGGGAAGTCTAGAGGGATCATTATCTCACGTTGAGGGTGCTGCATTCCAGAAGTATCAGAGTTGGTTCGATTCGTTCGTCAAAGGAGGGAGAGGAGTTGGACGGCATGACTTGGCTGGCTTCAGGAGCAAGCCACGTTTTGGTAGCGCGTAAATGAGGCGTCTAGGTGATCACAATGGGTTGCTTGCTGACTACTACAATACCTCCTAAGCCTGCTCGTGTGTATGGATTGAGCAAGACGGAGGTATTGGGTTGCAGATGCGTTGTCCTTCCAATCCCGCCGTAGTGGCCGCTATTTTCTGTCTCTCAGTTAATTGGCCGTCTGCGCGCACCAAGCATATGCCATGTCTCATGACGCCATGGACGAATCGGGCTAGAAAAGGACACGATTAGAATTCGCCCTCGGCTGTCTGAGACGAGATCCCATCCTCCGTGTCCATGTAAAGATGTCCAAGTTGCAGGCTAGGCACAGAACTACCGGCAAAGCATACGTATGGTGTCCTTGGCATGGGTAACGGCCAGCGCTCTGCTTCCAACCCGACACCAGCATGCGGCCATGCCTATCATTATTGAGGAGAGGCGCATCTCCATTACGCCGTATTACACCGTGCAGATACCACGTTTCAAGAACCGTAGAAGCTTGTTTTCCAAACGATAATCCCCGGGCCTCGCACCCAGCTGATTAACAGGCAGTCCTATTGCAGAAGTGATGATCCCACAGTGTCCCCAGGGGTAATTTTGGAACACAGCGCCTAACTCTGGTGCACGGAGTGCTGCAAATCCTCTGCCCAAACTTGATATTGCTTGGCCCGTCTCCATCCACTCCACCGCGGGGAGATTCGATAGCGTGCAAGTAGATTGTAGAAAATCACTAATTGCTCGCACTGCCATGATGATCAAGTCGTATTAATAGAGGTACATACTTATCTGACAGGTACACGGAGTAGCTCTTTCTCCTTATCTGCCCTATTCAGACTCTAGGAAGGTGCCCGATCATCCGCACTTGCCAATGTCTCTCGCGTCGTCTCCTACGACACTCTAATTCTTCTCCTTCTCATATTCATTAGACAGTGCCAATCTACTTCTAACATCGCGCATTATCATCTATATATTCTTGAAACCATGAAGGCCCGATCTTCCCTAGTCTGTGCCGGTGTGGCGTTGATTCTACTGATCACCGTCTTTCTCTACAACCCTCGACATCCCTTCACTGTGCCATTCTATATTCTCTCGGACGCCAGTGGTCTGTCCAGTCCCGTTACCCATGTCGCCATCTTCAAGATAAAGCCGTCCACGAGAGCCGCAGACATCCACAAGGTATGTATTGAAGTCGCCGTGTAACCAGCCCCAACCGCCGGGATCTCCATTAACGCCGTATTCCTTGCGCCTGAATCCTAGCTCGCAAATGGCATGATGGAATTGAAAGAGAAATGCATCCACCCGATATGGGAAAAGCCATATATCCGCAGCATCCACGGTGGCGCCAACCACGCTGTGGAAACAAAGGTAACCCGCCCGATAACAAGGGATACAGGATGCATGATCTAACATCTCCTCCAATACTGCAGTTCGGTATCACACACTCGTTCATCATCGAGTTTGATGCCGTAGAGCATCGCGACTATTATCTTTTAACAGATCCAGCATACCAGAAGTTCCGAGAAAATGTGAGGGATTACCTCGACGATGACATCATATCAATCGATTTCCAGCATGGCAAATATACATAATGAAGTACAGTACATATGGAGGAGCATGGGGAATATGCTCCAAATGGCAAGAAAATCCCCAAAGGTAGTAAAGATATTCGAGATTCCCAACCTCATTACTCTTCCGTGAAGCACACCGTCTCCTTGCTCAGTGCCTTAAGGGCCAACACCAGAAAATAAGGGAAGCAGGATGGAACGCGTCATCTATCCTGCATATCAACACGTAAGTCATTGGTGCCCAGCAGCCTGTACCGCCCTTCCTCTTCAAGGCGTCTCGACGTCAGCCGATCCGGATAGTTTCGCCAAAACATATTGGTGAAATGCGTGCCATAATGGATTCCGTCCACTGGTGGCTGTGCTCTGTTGTATCCCGGGAGTGGGCGCACCACAGCGCGGAAATCGGGCTCGTAGAAGTATGCAAAGGCAAAGCGCTCGCGCGTGTTGAGTCCGACCTTGTGTGGTGTGGCCAATAGCACGGAGTTGGTCATGTACTGCATCATGTCTCCTAAATCGGCATTAGCAACGAGCCTGAGTCGTTTTCACGAGCGGCAAGACACTCACCCGGGAAGACGGTAAATACACCAGGCACGGGCGGCACAAAGACCCAGCCAGATTCATCCTCTAGCAGCCCTGCAGAGCTCTTCTCCCAGTTGGCATACCGTTCGCCCTGGCTTGGTGGACGAATGAACAAACCTAGGCTTATGGTCAGAGTAATCTGCAAACTATGCTCACATGCATCGCTCTTCTTACCTCCAACATCATCTTGGGCGGCGATAATCAGCAGCCCATAGTCTGTGTGTGAGCCGATACCACGGCCTTCCTTTCCTCTGCCATTGGTGCGATCACAAGGCGGAAATCTTTGGACGAGATATCATTAGAAACTGGCCTGTTTCTAAGTAGGTGTTGGGGGAGGCATACCTAAGCATCCGCAGGTGGTGCCAACCATCTCCAGTGTACTTGGTAAGAGATCGCGGCGGAACATGCAACCCAAGCTCGATAAGCTGCAGCATTCTCTCTCCGTTGGCTGCCAAATCATCCATATACCTTTGAATGACATTGGCCATGTCAGAATCAGGCCAAGGGCAAGGCCCATGGCACGGCCAACCATTGATGACTCGCTGGTCGTCCAGTGGGAGATCTTTGGTCACCGTGAAGATCTCAGAGTAGTCAGGTATACCGTCGGTGATCTCTTCACCTGAGGCAATGTACCCGGCATAGCTCTGTGCATCCACACACGCAGCTTTCTGATGATGGGGCCTGCGAAAGAAACGCCGGCTTATTCTCTGGGCTTCCCGATAAACCTGCTGCTGTTGCCCCGACATGGTCACTTGCAAGATGCCATCTCTCCGCCAGGCCTCCACCATTGCCTTGCCCAGAGCATGGTTTGAGGGTGACCCATCTACCTTCTCGGGCAGGACAAATGTTTCGAAGCGGCCAACACTGGCAACAAACCCAGGTGGTATTTTCTGTGCAGCAGCAGCTGTCGTGCATACTGACCTGCCACAGGCGGCCTTGATTAGGCTCAGTACCTGGGGACGACGTGGTGACATGGCCATTTTCTTGTAAAGATTCATGTATTTGAATGGCAAACTGAATTGCTAAGTCCCAATGACTACTTCAGAACAGGCGAGGGGGTGGCCCGAAGATATAGGCGAGCCGAACCAGATGATGGACACCATCATGCCGTCTGTCAACGCTACCCGCAGCAGCCTCAAATTCGACACGCAGCAAACTTGGGACTGCTATCTTACGCTGGAACACGTACGGCAGCCACCCGTCGCTTCCCTTTTCAGCCCCTCCTCGTGCCAGCTATCCCGCCCACTGGGGCATTTGGTTCGCTGAGACGGCGATTGTGGTGCTACCCTGGCTTTCGTATATCAGATCTCGTATGCATCAGCCGGGACGGTGCAACTCAGGAGGGGCTACCGATGTCTGGGAGAGAGAAATGCTTGGCCCGAGAAATGCTGCGGCTTTGCGGGAAGCGACAGCCCAGAGAAAACCCTACCGTCGGCTGCATGTAATAGATCCAAATGGCGTCCTATCAGTTCGCGGCTTAGCACTGTGGGTGACATGTAGGTGGTGTCACCGCGGGGTGCCTCCTGTGTCAGCAATTGACAGTGCCGCAGCCGTGTCGTCTTTCGATCTGGTGCAGTCAACCTGGACTAGGCAGACTGCTCGAGACAGCCTTCGGGTCGATGCATACAGGATCGGCTGCTTTATAAATACCGCGGGCCATTTCCATCAGCTCGAGTTTCATGTCTGCACCGCCGATCTGTCAGACACAACAAACCCCGCTTCTCAGGTCTGCTGTGGAAAATTGGTGACTTGCTTGCGTAGGACAGCTGGACGGGTTCGTGCGCACACCTGCTTCCGCGCTCATCAAATGGCGGGAGGAAGCATCACATGTCTCAGACATTTGCGGATAGCTCAAACGGACAATGGGGGGGTCGAGCGAACCGGCGGTGTAGATGCGATTCATCATATTGGAGACCGCCTGCTTTGCAGCCTACGCAGGACGAACGCCTGTGGCAAACCCAGGTTGGGAGGCCGTAGGTCCAGGGAGCTCAAGAGAAACTAACTAATTCAATGTTGTGGGAGCAGTATGATATATGACAACAGCATGCAAGTGGCCGGAGCTGCAGGTGCAGCTTATGGACGCACGGCTGTCACACACCTGGAAGGGCTAGCTCCGGTATGATCTCACAACACTTAGCGCACTAGAATGGCCAAGCTCGACAGGAGTGAAGCGAGCTGAGGGGAAGTTGGCATCACTTTGATGTAAGGGCACAACCTGGTCGTCGAGGTAGGAGAGGGCGAGTATGTGGAGCGGCTGCGGAGATCACGTTGTGGACGGTTGAGACTTGGCTGCAGGAGCAACGGTAACATTGGATTTGAGTCACTCAAACATTAATATACTGCTTATTTTCGAGCCTGCGATCTGTATTATCAGATCGTTGAGGGCCAATAGTAAATGCCAGAAAGGCGATACATCAAGATTGTCAATGAATATGCTTTGTAATGCCGCATTGCGCTGGTCATTGTAGAAAGTGGTCTGCTCATAACCACCCTTGAATATGATGGCTCATTTTTTCTATCCCCAGCTGAAGAGGACGGCTTAAGATATCGCATCCATGTCAGCACTTGGCATTGTCCGGCGATTGATACACCTCGCACGCCTCAGTGGGCTAAACTCAACTTCAAGATGGCTGCATACCTTATAGGTATGCCCATTGTTAGAACAGCACCAGTTACTTCCCATTCATGAAATAAAATTACACGCTAAAGCCAATAGTTGAATGAACCAACTCACGATATCACCGGTGAATGAAAGTGCGTGCATGCTTCGTTCCAAACATGAATGAATGACATCCTGACCTTGTCCGAGTGGACGAAGCCGTAAATCCCCCCCTCGCCTCACGCATCTTCGTGCTCCAGCCCGGCGTCCTTGGCCTTCCTGTCGGCCAGCTCGCACAGCGCGCGCCACTCGTCCCCGCTGACCCTGCTCACGCTCAGCCGCGACTGCTTGATCAGCTGCATCTGGGCGAGGGGCCCGCCCGCCGCGCCCAGGTCGCGGAGCTCGGGGAGGAAGATGGGCACGGCGAACTTGCGCCGGAACTCGACGTGCACGAGGCTCCACCTGGGCTTGTCGCGGGTGGACTGGGGGTCGTAGTATGGCGTTCCCGGGCGTCGGGCGCTCTCTAGGTTGTAAATAGTTGCGTGAGTTTGCGACATGTCACGAAACGATGGGAGGGGTTTGGTGTGTGTGTGTGTGTGTGGAGGGGCCTTACTGTCTTCTGAGTGCTCTCTCACAATCTCCATTGTGCCCACGATGCCGGGGGTCTTACAGTTGGAGTGGTAGAAGAAGGCTTTGTCGCCTGCATTCATGGCTCGCAGGTTGTTGCGTGCTAGCTGGGGCGTTAGCCGTTGGTCATCCGAGCATTTGGAGCGAGGGATGACTACGAACCTGCATAATTCCTGATTCCTATTTCGTCTGGTCAGCCAAGATGCGAACCAACGCCTCTCTCCACAGGGACAATGGTAGGAGAAGTCGTGTGGGGAACAACTCACCGTCCCATCCTTCTGGCTTCGTGCATGCGCGCAGGTCGTCGATGGAAAAGCGCACATCCACGCCCCCCTCGAAGCGCGACTCGGGCTCTGCCTTCATGAGCCAATACCACTCGCCGTCGTGGCGGACGGTCTCCGGGTTCTGGACCGGGAGGGACGCTGGGTCTGGGTCTGGCGTCACGTCCCTCCCCCCCGAGGCTGAAGGCTTCTTCTCTGCCTCGTCGATGTCAGCCGCCGCCTCGTCCTCAGCCTCAGCCTTGGGCGTCCCCCTGGACTTGGCCTTGGGCTTGGGCTTGGTCTTTGTGGCGACACGGCGCTTGGGTTTTGTGGCTGGTGCGGGATCTTTGGAGGAGGCAGGCTTCTTCTTCTCCTGCTTCCTGGCCGTCGTGGTGGTGGGCACAGCCTTGGCTGATGCTGTGGCTGCCTTGTGCTGTGCCGTCGCTGCTGACGCTGTGGCGGCGGCTGTTGCCTGGCGGGACGAGCGTCTCTTCGCGGTGGGCTCGCCATCCCCAGCAGCGTCGAGTGCGCGTTTGCGAGGTGGCATGATTGCGCACAACGGGAGTCTGTGTGTTCGGGAACTAATTGGTTCGCTCCTTTGCTTGCTCAGGAGAGGATGTGTTTGGGTGGTCAGGGACAGGACTCGAAAGGGCAGGGAGATGACATTCGATGCGCGTCTTCTAGCGCGTGTCTGTGAAATGGGCAAGCCACCACCCAAACGCTTTGAGATCTACCCTGCAGCCGGTGAGAAATTGCCATGATTGATGACGGAAGGCAATGGAAAAATTTGTCGTCACAATTGCAGTTTGTCGCTGGAACTTTTGACTTTCCTATCCAATCTGATTGCCTGTCCATTTCTATTCTTACTCTCAGCTCGATTTACATGGGCCTGCTGCTTACCCGTGCTTGATGAACGGCCCGCCACCGGTCAGGTGGGGTGGGGGACCTTTTTCCACATTGGCCTGTGGGATGCAGCCGACAACAAGAAATTGATTTCAGGAACAGGCTGGACTAGTGGAACAAAGGCTGCAAGTCAAACCGGTAGCGTCGTGCACGACATGCATCATCGCAGAAGAAGTTACCGAAAAACTATGCTTATATGGCGGTCGTGGTGGCGAAGCACGGGTGAGCAAACAAGGTGTGGTCACAGCGATCCAGGAGGGTGATGTGACATGGACCGTCAATCGCAAGGCACTCTGCTTGGTATTCGTCCACTTCCGGAGGCAGGCGACGGCAGGGTATTTCGGTAGGCTCCGGAAGTGGGTAGGATGTAAACTTTCACGATGGCACGCACCATTGAGTTACTGCGGTCGTTGACGCCTGGGTTACCGACCACAAATTATGCCTGTCACCCACCTCTCCTTGGCCCACGCACAAATGTGTAGGAAGACCAGTAGACACGTCCCAAGAGCGGCAAGGCATGGTTTTACCGTTCATCATCGTTACGGGGGCCGTGCCGCAATATCAGGCAGAGGCCGCGGAGGACACAGGCCCAGGCGTTCTGGTAGTTCTTGTGACTTTGTCTGGTATGTAACGTGGTCTCTGCGGCGATGATGCTGCGCGGCAGTTGGATGGAGGACAGGTTGACTGATGAAGGGTAAAAAGGCAATTCCATAGTCGTGCGGGGAGGATGGACGAGGAGGAGGAGTGACCTGAGGAGGTGACGTTGGGCGAGGGGTGATGTGATTGGCTGGCTTCGAGGCTGAGCATGGCTCGGCCTCCCACCTTATAAAGTCCCCTCCCCCCTCCCCTTCATCCTCCCCTCCTGCCTTCTCTCACCCCCATCTCATGCAATCATTGCCTTTTATCAAATAAGCCACACAAACAATCCAAATTCACTCGGATTTGGAAGACACATCACCAGGGACACTGGACTCATTGCCTGGACAACCTCCGGTCCCGGCTACTTACACCACCGTCGTTGTGCACGGCCAGGTCCATATCAGTCAAACAAAGCTCCGTTGACTCGCTCAACTATATCACGCAACATGCCGTCAAGGTACCCGCCAGTCTCCTCAGATATGCTGCACCACCCTGAAACCCTTCTCGGTGAGGAGGATCGCAGCCCAGCCCACCTCGCCAGGACCAGATACTATGACTCGGACGACAGCGCCTTGAACAGGACCGGAGACTACCGCAGCAGCCGGCGCAGCTACAGCACCTGCTGCAGCAAGGGAAGAAGCGTCAGAGGCGGCATTGACCTCGAGCCATGGTCCAGCAGGAGGTCTCACTCTGGTTCGTCCCTGGAATCACACGGCCACAGGCGCTGGAGCAGACGCGGCGTTTCAGCGGCCAGGACTTGCACATGCAAGAAGCCGCTACCAGCACCGGACTACATCGTCTTCTGCCCAGATCCACCCTTCGACCGGGATGCAGAGAGCGAGGAGGACGAGGAAGACGACGACGAAGAGGAGCAAGGGGCTGGGCATGGGGTGGCTTATCCGGACAACAGCACGGCCACCAGCCCAGAGTCCTTTGTGACGCCCGACGAAGATGACTCGATAGAGCCACGGGAAGGAGGGCAGAGGGATCAATCGGGAGAGCTGGGGGACCAATGGGACGAAGACAGTGAAGCAACTCGTCATCAAGCCAAGGGTAAGGCATCCAGAGAGGTGGCGGGGCATGGATGGCCCGAGCAGCAGAGACTGACAACTGTCGCAGTGATGAGTGCCCTGGAGCACATCAGATGGTCTAGGGAGCACCGTGCAGAGCCGGGCTACCGACCGCACAAAGACCGGACTCGTCGGTCACCCAGAGACGAGTAGGGTGGCCGTGTTGGAGGTTGCAGATCTGGGGATCCACATTCTGATGAAACAGGACGGAGGAGATTGCAGGAAAGAGAGGTGAGAAGGGAAATTCTCGTTACCGATTAGCTCGAGTACTTGGCAGTTTCCATCTGAGTTGGGTTGCATGCATGCCTCTCTGGTGGTTGCGATGCATGTAATAGATGCGGTCAGTGACTGTGTGTGTGAGTGAGAGTGGGTGGAGCGAATGCGAGAGGCCCAATTCGTTCTAATTTTGGGCCGGTGGGTCATCTGAATCTCTGCCTGATATCCAAGGCACTAAGCCAAGCACAGCCCAACTCACTCAGAGTGAAAAGTGAAGCGGGAGATTAGAGAGGCATGAGATGGGGTGGGGCCATAACAGAACACGACACAGGGCTCCCTCCAGCTCACCATTCAACTCGTTTATTACTATCGCCATGAAGCTGTTATCCATGCCGTTGCATCGTGTTCTGAGTCTAGCGCCGCCGCGGGCCAGAAGTGAGACTGACCGCCGACAGAGTGAGTGAGTGACAGAGTCTGTTGAGAGAGACAATCAAATCGATCCTAGTCAATTCCCGCCTCATGATGTTGTCGTAACTCATTAGCTGTTCTATATGAGCCCATATGCGCAAATGCCCGATGGACCGCGTGCTTGCTTTTGCCAGCCGTCTATCAAATCGCCCTTTACAGCGAGCCCCCTAAGTCGCCACCCTAGTCAACGGCCCACCCCCCTTAACGGTTCACCATTGAATATCCCAACCTCTTCATTTTCTATACCTATAACTATACAATTTCTCATATAAATTTTATTCTTTTTAATTAAAAATTATATTATTTAATTTGCAAATAACTAGGCTTTCTGAAGATAATATTTAATCAGCTATTCGTAATATAAAAGCAGGCTGTTTATAGCAAACAGCTGTAATACGATAGGGAATCCCTCGGATAACTCTATATATATATATAGAAGGTCGTAAGATATAGTAATAAGAGGCAGAGACCTAGCAGCAGCTCTTAAAGATCCAGAAAGCCCGTTTAATAAAATAGATCCTTATTTAAGATTTAATTAGGTTTCCTCTAACCTATATAAAGATCAGAGATATCGCTTTATTCCTGCTGTTTAAACAGGGTAAACTTAACCCCCTTAGTAAGTACTAGTTAGAGGGATTTTTATACTATAACCCGGAGGTTAGAACCCTTTAAGATAAGAGAATTAACTTCCTAAGAGTTAAAGGAGCTATAGTTAACTATATTAAGGATTTCTTTATACTTAAGCTGATTCCTAATATCCGGAAGATCCCTCCTTATAATTATTAGAATATAAATAAAGCTGGTATTATAGAAGGTATTAGTAATAACAGCCTAGTTCTCAGATCTTCTTATAAAAACTAGGTAGCTAAGATATAGCCTGGAACTTATTATTAGACTATAATAATTAAGTATATCAGTATAGTAGGTAGATACCTTAAGCCTCTTATTATCTTTAAAGGAAAGACTATATAGTAGTAGTAGTTTCTAATTAAATTAGATTATCTTAAGCAGTAGTATTTTATAGCTTCTAAGAAGGGGTAGACTTCTAATAAGATTATATTAGTATAGCTCAAGGAGGTATTTATTCTATTAATAAAGCCTAAGAATAATAGCTAGTATTTACTTATTATTAATAGTTATAAGAGTTATAAAACTATTAAATTTATATAGGAATACTTTAAGAATAAGATCTAGCTTCTATTCTTACCTTTATATTTATTATATATATTACAGCTGCTTAACTTATCTATCTTTTCCACCCTTAAGTAAGTATTTTATTATTTCCTTTCTAAATAATAATTATAAATAGATTTATTATTAGTTAGTAAGATAACCTTCCTAAGGTATTATTACCTAGCTCAGCTAGCTGCCTTAATAGTTAAGAATATCCTCTCGGGCTAGAAAGTATCTGGAATATAGCCTATTAATATAGCGGTACTATTAATAAGCCCGTATATACTTATACCTTAATATACCTTTCAGACCTAGCTATTAATACCCCTAGCTATACCTATAGTTAGATTAAAAAGGAAAGAAGCTGTAATAATAACTCTAATAGGCTTATAACAGCTATATAGCTTAATATAAGACTTTATAGATAAGAAGGAGGTAGATCCGATAATTCAGCTACTATTCTATAAGATCTATAAGGGTCTTAATAAATAGTAAATATAGCTATATATCTTAAATACTGAAAATATATAGCTAAAGGAGTTAAATAAGCTCCTACAGCTAAAGAAAAGATATACTATTTATCCGGATCTAAATAAATACTTTATTAAGATCTCTAATATTATTAATATAAGAGACCGGTATAAGGGTTAATTAGATACCGAGATCTCAGCTGTAGAACTTAAGATTTATATTTTTAAAGAGCTATACTTTATCTGGCAGCTTAAATAGCTTCCTTTTTATTCTAAAAAATTCATTGTATTGAGAAATACATAGTTGACTTGTATGATTTAATCATCGAAGGTAGACCGTTAAGGGGGGTAGGCCGTTGACTAGGGTGGCGACTTAAATCACATGCCTGATTCGCTCCCAACTCCAAGCAAAACGTACCCCAGACCCCGGCCCTCCGCTCGAATCATCCGACCGCCTCACCGCCCCAGTCTGACGGCATTGGCGGTCTCGTCCCGCGAGTGTTTCAAAAAGGGGAGCAGCGCCGTGCCCCCAGTGCCGGTCAGCTGCCCCGTCTCCTTGCCGAGGGACGACGAGGCGCTCGCCAGGTTCTGCCGGCTCCCGCCGTTCCACCTCTGCCTGGACGGCAGGATGATGTACCGCGTGACGATGCGGATGTGCTTGTTGCGGAAGTCTGTCAGCGCGTCGATCGCCGCGCTGTACGCCGCCCTGAGTCTCTCCTGCTGCTCCCCCCTCTCTCCGGTGTTCGCTGGCGCCGCCGTCGCCAGCGCGAGCTCGCGGATGCTGCCCAACCGCTCCACATGCACGAGGAACCGTGCATGAGGGCCCGGCATGTAGTCTCGGACCTGCTGGTGGAACGTCTTCTCCCCTGGCGGGGGCGGGACACCGCCATCCCCCTTGTGGTCGACGCCCAGCACGACGTCGAAGAACTGGATGAGCGAGCTCTGCCCGTTGCTGCCCCCGCGGAGCTGCCGCCACTCACCCTGCCCGTCGCCCTCGTCGAAGAAGACGCCCTTGGGCAGGCCCGAGTCGGCCATGTTCTTGCTGCCGGCCAGGAAGGGGCGGATCCCGTGGTAGAAGACCATGGGGTCGCAGTGCTCGTACATCCTCTCCAGGAGGGTGCCGACCTCTTTGATGCGCCGGGCTAACTCCCCGAGGGCGTCGATGATGATATCGTAGTCTCTCGTCTTGATGGCGTTGAGCGCCTCGAGCATCGTGTCGATGAGCCCGGCCCCGCTGGCCTCCATGGCCACGCTGATGAGGAGGAACCAGTCCTCCGACTTGGAGCCTGTGAAGGAGACGAGCGTCTTGAGCGACTCCAGATCTGTGAAGTCTTGCCCCGAGCATGAAAAGTTCCACAGGTTGGCTGCGGCGTAGCTGAGGACGGGTGGGAGTTCGAGGTGCGAGGACACTTTGAGGAAGGGGATGGAGATTTGGGGGGGAATGATCTGCAAGAAAACTGTTAGCAACTGCCGAAGCTTCAGGATTGACGAGACATCTGATCAGACTGTCTCGTCTGAATGGAATTACTACGCACCTCTGCTGGCTTGTCACCTCCCCAGATGTGGGCATGGGTCATGAAGGCCAGGATGACATAGGCTCGCCGCCATTCTTCTACCGACTGTAATCTGTCTGTGGAGAGAACTGGGAGGTCGGCCACAACCTTGCGGATGGTGTCCTGTTGAATGTGATTCGGTAACTCCCTGGCAATGGCTTCCCAAGGCTCGTAGTATGAGTCTGGCAGTCTTTCCAAGGGGCTGCTCTCTGGAAGGAAGGCATTACGGGTGATAAGAAACTCCTGCAGGTCTGCCTGGGACTTCTGGAAAGGAGTCTCGTACGGTACTGCGTGCGGCGACATGGTTGGAAGCTTGTTTTCTTTGGGCTGAGTTGAAAGGTAGGGCTGGTTGCGTGAGGTCCTCTGATGGTTTGGCCCTCTGTATTAGCCAATGGTGCTTTGTCTTGCTGATAATGAGAGAAACAATGACGCATGATAGTTGCAGAGGCTAGCAATATCTATAAGAATCCATTGAAGAGGAATTGAGGGAGTTGTTTGTCCTCAGAGGACGCGGCTCCGAGTCTCCCATAGCCAAGGATGCTTCTCCCGTGGACCATCGTCATTTCACGGAAGCTTTCATTTTGGCTTCCGCTTCCGCGATCCACTACGGATCACAAGGTGCAGAAAGTTCGCGCACTTTCAAATTTGATGACCCCATGATGCTGGATCCGGGCGCAGGGATAACATTATCTTGAATGATCTACTTCATTATGCGGTCATGAAAGCCCAGCGGTTGGAGTACACACGTGACGGGATTTCCATGCATGCTGTATAGAGCTCCGTGGTGTAGATTTGTCCTGGTGAGACATCCGTCGCATCCCTCCCCTCACACTTGTTGGTGTGCCAGCTCTACGAATCGCCGGTAGCAGAAATCTCAAAAGGGAAGTATCTATCTCATGCAGGGTGCAAGATGAGGTTTAGATCAGCAGTGGGAGGAGTGTCGTGTTGGAGGAAGCGAGGAAGTGTGGAGGGGCGAGCGACGAGATGGTGGAAGCACGGAAGCGCGGAAGAACGGATCCAGTGAACTCTCTTGCATTCATAATCAGTGACGGCCGGACTCTCGGTAGAAGAGGTGGATCTGCGCGATATCGCAGATTGACGAGGAGCCGCTTGTGCCCGCATCGGAGAAAACGACCACCCCCAGCTGTCGGATCCTGGTGCATAAAGTGTGTGAACTGCGACGCTCTTGAGAGTCCCTGAGGATACAAACCATCATTTTCGATTCTAGATCCTCGTTGGAACAGCTCACATCGTACGATACTGTACAATTTGCTCCCGGATCACGCCTCCCACCCTGGTCTGATAGCTCATCATCTTCCGCCTCTGACCCCTGGACTTCGTCATGGAGCTGTCATCCTTCGTTGATCGTCTTCGCAACGGCAAGCCTGCTGGCTTCCCTTCCGATGCTAATAACCTCTCCTTTGCCCAGAACCTCGATAGCCAAGACTCGTTAAGCCACCTGCGGGACGAGTTCATTCTCCCCACCAGGGCGTCTCTGAGGAAGAAGGCTCTGGACGGAACCATTCCCGGTATGTGCTCTCCTCAACAAGCTGTCAGCCTGACCTGTGAAGCTGACTCCCCCCTCATGATATAGGCAATCCCTCTAAAACTCAAAATGGCACAAGCAATGGGTCATCCACAAATGGAGCTTCATCCAGTGATGGCTCCGAGCAAGGCATCTACTTTGTGGGCAACTCGCTGGGTGCCCAGCCCAAAGCTGTCCGCGAGTACATCAACGCCCAGCTCGAGACATGGGCCTCCATCGGCGTCGGTGGCCACTTCACCGACCTGGGGAACTCGCCCTTGACGAATTGGCAGGACATGGCCGCCGACTGTGCCAAGAAGTCGGCCGATATCGTCGGCAGCTCGCCGTACGAGATTGTCATCATGAACACGCTCACGGCCAACCTTCACTTCATGATGGCCAGCTTCTACAAGCCCACCGAGAAGCGCCACAAGATCATCCTTGAGTGGCGGCCCTTCCCCAGTGACTACTACGCCATCGAGAGCCAGATCACCTGGCACGGCCTGAGCCCGGAGAAGAGCATGGTCAAGGTCGAGCCAGACAAGAACTTCCTCATCCCCACCGAGAAGATCCTCGCCACCATCGACGAGCACGGCGACGAGACCGCCCTCCTCCTCCTCCCGGGGATCCAGTACTACTCGGGGCAGTACTTCGACATCCCCCGCATCACGGCCCACGCCCACTCCAAGGGCATTGTGGTCGGCTGGGACCTCGCCCACGCCGCCGGCAACGTCGAGCTGAGGCTGCACGACTGGGACGTCGACTTCGCCTGCTGGTGCACCTACAAGTACATCAACGCCGGCCCGGGCTCCATCGCGGGCGCCTTCGTCCACGAGCGCTTCGGCGGCGTCGAGTGGCCCGAGGGCAACTCCGAGGGAGGGCGCCCCTCGTACCGCCCCCGCCTAACGGGCTGGTACGGCGGCGACAAGAGCGTGCGCTTCAACATGGACAACAGGTTCGTGCCCACGGCCGGCGCGGGCGGGTACCAGGTGTCCAACCCCTCCGCCATCGACCTGGCCTCGCTGTCCGGCGCGCTGTCCGTGTTCGGCAAGACGACGATGCGGGACCTGCGCAGCAAGGCGCTCGTGCTCACGGCGTACGCCGAGTACCTGCTCGACGAGATGAACGCTGAGTCGGGCAAGGAGCTCTTCAAGATACTCACGCCGCGCGACCCGGCGCAGAGGGGCACGCAGCTGAGCGTGCTGCTGGCAGAGGGCTTGCTGGACAGCGTCATTGTCGCGCTCGAGGAGAATGGCGCCGTGTGTGATAAGCGGAAGCCCGACGTGATCAGGGTGGCGCCGGTCCCGCTGTACTCGCGGTTCGAGGATGTCTGGAAGTTCATGCAGGTCCTGAGAGGCGCGCTCGGGCTGAAAAAGGAGCAATGAGATGGAGATTGAATGTGAGGGCTGGATGTAAAATGACTGTGATGTGCTTGGTATGGGACGACGGGGTTGTCTGACCTGTAGCACGTATGACATGAACTGAATGAAATAAAATAAATTCAAGATATGATATGATATTTTATTAAATGATCTCATTATTCGACTGTTTCTGTCTATCCTTGTTGATGATAATGATTCGCCTCCTGCAACTGCTATATAATTGACTATAAACAAATATGCACCATGCCTTACCCAGTATGAAGATTACAACGTCGCAGCCACTTCGAATGAAGTGTGATTGCATGTTAATAATGGCTGTGTGCTAAGGTGTGTTGGGCATGACACCACCGTAGATGGGCGGAGCGAGGAAATCCCCCGGCACGTCTTCCAAAGGAGGGGCCTGGGACCAGTCAGTAAGTGAATGGATGTCATCGCATGATCCCCAGAGAGCAAGAAATACCTGCAGATCCTTGGCCCAGCGGCGAACGGCATCGTAATCCTTGCACATGTGCCTGGTGTTGAAGTCCGGGAAGGCGTTGGGCTTCTCGGGATCAACCCAGACCTGGCCGAGGACGCCGGTGTCGACGTTGCACATCAGCACCTGGCGGATGGTATCTAGGCAGTGTGCTTGAGTAGGTCAGTTATCATGGGAACTGTTGAGTGACGTATGAGGGTGGTTGCAGTCGCATCGTGGTTCATGGATAAGCTTGTGAAAGGTGCTACTTACTGACATGCAGGCGCAAAATGTACTCGTCGTTCTTGAATGCATGGTGGCCCAGCTCCCTGTAGTGATCATAGTTGAAGTACAGCGCTTTCCGGACTAGGTTCTGGGTTGCATGGCAGTCAGTATCGAGCATGTGAAATACGCACCACCAGTGATCTCTTACCAGGCAGTGGAGGTGATGCATGCCCTCGACGTTGACGATGAACCCGCCTCCGTATTGCGGCGATCTCTGAGCATATGATTCGTCTAGGCCGCTGGCGAGCCCATCCTCGTAGGAAATGGCACCTGCTCGATCTGTTCATGGAGTCAAATGAGAGCTGTTTTGATAAAGAGAGAGAGCTGTGAGGAACTGACAGTCAACGCCGAGCGCCTCCCACGCGGCGTCCACTTCTGGGGACCCGACTTGGCGGTAGATATTCTCGTGCATGAATGAACCGTTGAAGTCTACCGGAGCGTATTTCATCGGGATATCGCGTAGAACCGGAGCTGCATTGACCAAAGGTGTTAGCTATCATCGTTCTTCCCTTTAATTGAGGCAACAGAGCCACTGAGGTACGTGTTCATCCAGTGTCTCTTGGTCTAAGAGGAGAGGAGATGGAGATGCCTACACCACATGGACGTGCGTGCCGCGCACTCTGGGCCTGCTGGAGGTAAAGGTCGCTGTTGGGAGAAGGAGAGGAACTGCAGCCCAATCACCGCCGACACGACGATGAAGAGGACGAGGATTGTGGCCACGGCGACCATGCGGAAGACCGGAGACGATAGCCATGGCCCAGAGCGAGTCTGCTGTCTGGAAGACCATGCTGCCCGACTCCGCGACGACTCTGGGCCATCGTCGTACTCGTCTGAATCAACATCCTGACCCTCAACGAGCGGATGGTGTTCTTCCTTAGCCATTATGGGGATGAGGCAACTTCCTGCGAGCTGGAGCTATGTAAGGAATGGAGGAGAATAAGCGAGGAGAAGAGGCGGCAGAGGGCAGATGTGAAACGGGAGATGCGAGTGAGCCCCCGACCTGATCAATGGCAGAAGCGTGGTTTTGGTTTCCACTGCAGCCGGGCTGCTTGCCAGGCATCATGCCTCCTCACCGGGGCCTGGTATCATCACGTTGCATCACAGACCAGCATCTCATCTCTCAGATGCAGAAGAAGGTTCACTAACCCGCAGCGCCAACAAGCCAGCTGGCCCTCGATAGCTTGGGACCAGACCAATCGGGGAGCAATCAACGTGGAAGATCTCACCGGTCATCGCCCACTTCTTCCCCTCCATACAGAAATTGAGTTTGACTGGAATGTCGTCCCGCAGCCCTAGTAGGTCATCACTCGGCCGCCTATCAAAGCTCCCATTCACACACGTCCCCCGCATTGTCGTATCTCTTTTCCCGGCCCAACACACATTCATCGGCCAGCGGCTAGTATCTGCATGCTACACCGTTTCCGGACGTGCGTGCCTATTGAGGGCGAGTTAGCATGGCTTGTATGATTCTAGACATCATCGTGGGCGTGGATGTAAGACAAAAAGACCCTTGGGGATCACGACCCCGGTCACATTCCGCGCAGCAGGAGCCAGGTCGAGTTAAATTCTCGACTATCTGAACCTTGACCAGACCTCGCCTTCGATTCCGTGATTCACTAGACCTCGTTGCAGTAAGGCGACTGCCCTACGGCATTCCCCTCCAGCTCTTGGTCGCCGATGAGGTTATCCTCGATCAAGTTGGCGATCGCGGTGGAGAACATGTTTGAGCATTCGACATCATGTGCCGAGAATTCCAGCATCAGCCTCTGTTCTCTGGGCTGTCAGGCCAGAGCATTAAAGGCCCTACGCTCCCCAGGTGCCTCTCCATGATGATCATACACCACCAACTCTAAGAGACTTGACGGTTGAGACCCAGCTTGCTCGCTACATCAAATCACAAATCCTCATTACCTCGATACGCTTCTAATATGAAGCTCACCATCCTCGCCGCCCTCGGGCTCGTCCCCGTCCTCCTCGCCGCCCCTGTCCCAGAGGCCGAGCCCGAGGCCAACCCAGCCCCAGCCCCAGAGGCCAACCCAGGCGACTATGGCGACTACGGGGACTACAAGAACACCGGGGTGGGCAAGTACGGCGACTACGGTGACTACAAGCAGCCCCCAAAGGGAGGGTACGGCAGCTATGGCGACTACAAGGACGTCAAGCCCGGGCCCCCTACCTATGCCAGCTACGGCGACTACAAGGACACTGGCAAGCCGACCACCTATGGGGACTACGGAAACTATGGAAAGTACGGCAGCTATGGCAAGTACTAGGTTGCTTCGCGGGTACATGCGAAGGAGATGGGAGAAGAGGGATGGGGAGGGTTCCTGGGAAGGTGATGGGAGGATCGATGCAGTGGTTTAGCATATTAATCAATAATTTCATTGTGTCTTCAACCAGTATATTCGTGTCTATGACTAAGGTGAATTGACAAGTCTATCCTAACCTAGTTATGGACAGGAGATGATAAGTGCATAACGACTGAGGTGTGGTTGATGATGTGAGCCAAGGCCCATGAGGAAGCTATGGCTGAATCGGAGGCAGCTACCTAGCTAGCTGGCATCCATCATCTACACGTAGTGCGCTTAGGTCTGGGCCTTAATCCCCAACCATAGTATAAATCTTTCCAAAGAAGAAGCGCCGCGGCCGCCAGCTACGTCATGAATCCCTTGAGAGGATGCGGCTTGGATGCCAACTATTTCCGGCTTCCGGGCCCTCTTGTCGGGCTGACCGTTGGTGTAGGGCTGGAGGAGATAACTTCACGCCAACGGTGCTATTGATCGGCTAGGATGGAGCGAAGTTTCAGCTGGAAGCACCTTGTGAATGATTTCGCCGGAAACGGAATCTTGGCAGAGCGTGATGTAATCATAGTCCATGAGTCTAGTCCCTTCATTGTTGCGTTGGATTTGTAGTATTTGCTGCAAGAGCGAAGCAAATGGCGATGCTAAGAAAGCAAGAACACGTCTAAGCTGATGTCGTAATGGCATTGAGTATTGGGGAAATGATAGTGTGAGGCGGCATGTCTAGGTTCTATGTGTTGACGGAATGTACAATATCATCAGAATGCTTTTAGGTATGTTGAGATATTCATAAACTAGAAGTGTTGAATCATCGCAGATGGGAGGACTAGAGATGATGCGCGAGATCGATCCCACCCCCAGCATCAAGTAATGGGAACAGATTTAGTGCAGATCCTTGGTCATTATCCTGGAGATATGACATCCAGAACGTTCCGTCTGGTGTCGGCATCAGCGAGTCCAGGCCCATGAAGGCAGAGTCGAGGTTTCCAAAGCGGGGGGAGGGGGAAGGAACTGCCTGCATGGATGTCTGCTGCGAGTAGGGCCGATCAACCGACTCGCGAGGCCTGGGGATCGGACTCGCCACCTGAGAGGATGAGTACATAGCAGCAGCTCGCATGGGAGAGCGGCCAGTCGGGCTAGGGTTGTCATGTGGCATTAGTCCGAAAAGCTGGCTTGAGCTCTCTGTGCGGCGAAGTCTCTCCTGCAGCTCGCGCTTCTCGAGGTGCTCTAGTGCGGTCATGAGAAGTGATTGGGCAATAAGCGAGTACTGGGTGGCATGGGTGTCGAACTGGGAGAAGTGGTCGAGGGCTCTGATGGACATTCGTGTGTACTTCTCGAGGATTCGCCCGAAGCCACCCAGTAGGCCCACACCTAGAACGAGTGATGAGGCGAAGAGCCATGAGCTATTGTATGTGGCGTCAGTCAAGTTCCATCTATCGGTCCGGGGTGGCGGTGTTAGTCTGGACGTCTTCTTACACCAAAAGGGGCACGGGACCATTGAGGACTTGATGATCGATCAATTCGAGGACGGGGTCCACCATAAGACTGGCGGCGTCGATGCATGCGTCTGCGAGCTTTGACTTGCCAGAGATTAGAGTGCTTGACGACATTGTGCCGTGTGATGACGGGTTGTCCGACAGCCGCCTCACAAGCTCATACATGAGAAACGGGCGGGACACTAGCATCACAGCGTAGTAGTATGAAGAAAGCACCTGGCATGCGCCAACAACGTCAGCCTGGCTATTCGGTTCGTTCATGTTTGTCATCACGTTCTTGAGCTGTTGAAGCCATTTGGAGGACCAGTCACGGAGTTGGAGAGATATCCCTTCGGTTAGCTGTAGCGATATCTTCTTCCGCGAGTAAATTTCGAGGACGATGCATTCAAGGATGAGAAGAATCTGGACAGAGGCATTCAGCAGGTCAAAAACCTCATTGCCGTGTTGGTCCAAGGATTTGTAAGGCACTGTGCAGTCGACATCAGATGTGGACGGAGGCCGGCCCATGGATGCGCTCAAGAACAAGTCTACGACCCGCAGGCTCTTCCACAACCTGTCTCTTTGGCGATGAATCTCTGGTCCAAAGCGAGCGTTTACCTCCGTGCGGTGGACGCCGATAGAGTGTGCCGCCCTCACGGCAACACCAAACACCAGAAAGGCGCTGTTTATCTGGCATGAGCACAGCATATACACGGTGATGAGGATGAAGGCCTGGATGGTCCCGACTCCGAGTTTACCGTTCAAGCTCTTCCAAGCCTCATCACGAGCATATTCAAAGTATACTTGGGCGGATTGTTGGTCGTGTTTCAGGCGACCAATGGCAAGGACGAGGTAGTTTATGATCGACGTCAGGTTGTGTGGCTTCTGCTCGATATTGGCCCACAGGAGCAGGTCTTCGACTAACCTGGCCTCGTCGAACAAGTCAACCAGGCCCCTGGTCGCCGTGATATAGTTCGACACGGCGGCGGCAATATGGATCGGCCGGACATCTGGGGCAAGATTCCGAGCGGACAAGAGACCAGCCGTGGCCGCCGCTGGGGCGTTTTCCAAGACGGAGTACCGGCTCGTCTCAGGGGCAAAGGCATTTGGCCCGACGCGGTTCGTCACTAGCTGCCGAACCGACTGGAAGAAGGACAAGGGCGCACAGTCACCGATGAAGATGAGCTTTCCCTCGGCGTCACACAGGAGACGGGCTTCCCTGGGAACCTCGGTGTCACCGTCTGCGTCGTCAACGGGACCGTCCATGACCGCCTGGGTAGTTGACGGCCGCGTTGAGGCCGCACGGGAAGGAGGAGGGAGAGAGGGAGGAGGCTCTGCCGTATTGGAAACACCGCCATGGCTGCTCCTCCGTAAGACAGCAGAACCCTCCCGCACCGGCACGGATGGGAGAGGGGACTGCGGCTGTGGGTTGCGATGCGCAGAAGCTGCTGGCTGTGCGGTAACACGCGTGGCATCATCCGCTGCATGGACTCCATCACCATCCGCACCGGCTTGAAGCGGTTGCCCTCGCTTGCGTTGCGGTTTCTTCTGGGGAGAGTAGTGGCACAGCTCGGGCCGGCGGCGTCGCACGCAAAAACTGCAGGGTTGTTGGCCGTCGCATTTTGCCTTCCTCTTTTTGCAGCCGTCACACGCGTTGCCGATGCGAGATTTGATAAACGTGGGTTGCGGACTGTCCATGCGAAAGGCAGCGGATGGATGGGCGGATGGATGAGAGTGTTTTGGTTGGACAATTCGAGTCTCACCAATCAATCAGGGGAGTAGCGACCAGGTTTGCTTGTTGGAGACTGCGGATCAACTGTGTTCCGCTTCCGTGCTTCCGTGCTTCCGTGTGGCTTCCGTTTCTGCACAGCCCAATCAACGAGCCTCCGATCAAGCTTCAGGTGAGAGAAACTGGTACGTGGGACCAGCTGCGCCTTTATCTTCAAGTGGAAAAGAAAGAAATAATATGGGACGAAATACGAACCCCTTGTTTTTGTTTACGTATCTCGATGGCTTGCGGCGGGCCGGGTTGAGCCCTTGGCGGATCTCACCCCCACGGCGGGCAAAGAGGAAACAAACAACGGAAGCCTTCGACTGACGTGTTAATTCTGCTGAAAGCAACCCTACGCACAATTTGACTGTATCTTGGCGTCATTGATAAATCTGTTTGGGACGAGCTGCTCTCCATATGACTGCTTTCTTGGCTACGCACCTTGATTGATGGCCTGCTCATATCACATGAGCAAACATGAACGCATGTGTGGACGCATTGAAGAGGTGATACCAGGAAAAACGAGCCACTCCTATTGCCAAGTGGCATACCGGACCGGCCATCTTACTCACCCGTATCACTTAGCTGCTCTCCACCTTTGCTCATTCCTGCTAACCTCTTCCCCTTCAGCAAGCCCATATTTGCAAAAAAATACCCAATGACTAGCCTGCCGATTTTAATTGTCCAGCTGGACATTGCTGATGCTATGTATGCTTGCTTATGGGCAGAGTATTGTTCTTGGGCTGGCATTCATATCCGTGAAGTTGAGTGATCATGCGGATATGAGGGACAGTCTGCATGTATAAAGTCCCATGTAAGAAAGAAAGGAAGCAACCTGAGATTTAGCGGCTGATCGGATATTGCACACTCCTTGAGAAGGGTTGCTATCCGAACTCCAAACGCCATGCATGGCAGTGCCATCGAGCTGCTTATCTTTTAATTCCCGTCACTGACATCATCGATGTGAACCATTATGTAACATCATGATCACATCCCTGGGGAAAATGATCTATCCGTAATCAAACTACTTCGGCCTATACTACGTCCGAGTGGTGCATGGGATCCCGGAACACATGGAAACCAATTGAGTGACAACGGATCTTGGGGGGGAAGGAGATATACTATGTACCACTTCGGAGACTACATATCACTGCATAAAAGGTGTGACTACTGGTCTACATGAATTAACCAGACTGCTACGCTTACAAACTAATAACCTCTTGTAGAACTTTTGTCTCATTTGTAATAGATTATAATGAAGGCCAGGAGGGTTCGTTCTCTAAGGAAGATACTCTTTACTCCCCCTCGCATTTCATGCGCTTCTAGGTGATGCCTAAGGTATGATTAACTTGGCTGGGGCTCTTACTGAGAAAACACGATCTGGCAGCCAACTTGAGCTCACGAGTTGATTAGGGGACAGTTAGTTATCGGGTAGGTAGTTCTTTATGAAAGACTTATTATCCATTGCTCATTAATATACGCTCTGTAATCTTGGGTGTTGCAATTAGTGATTAAGTATCCTGTTGTACTCCTACGATTGACAAACTATACCACATTTCCCTTTCTAACTGGCGGTAGCCTGATTCCTATCGGTAGCGGTTTCGTACTTGGGGAGCTCTGCTCCTGCTACGACATTGCCGGCAGGCAAGCCATACACTGGCGCCGGGATCCCTGGTCCTGGAGCATCGGTAGGAAACACCACGGGTACGTAAATTACTCGCTGCCTCCTGTGAGATTTCCGTACACAGCAATCTATGCAAGCCCAAATTAAAAAGATGATTCGTATCGAGCTAAGTTGTGGCATATTGTTAGTGATTTCATAGAACAGGCTAGCAAAAGAGGGAGGAAGGAGGAAACACTTACAAACTGAGGCATTCAATAATCAGCATTTCTGACACTGCATCCAGCCATGGTCGTGGCTTTGACGACTCGCCGAAATCGGAGAGAAACAGCATAAGAAAGCCAACTAAAAAGAGTATCATGACAACAAAGTCGATGAAAAAAGTAAGGCCTGGGTGTGCTCTTGGAATTCGTCTGGACCCGTTCACTGTGCCTATCATCTCCGCGAGATCGATTGCCAAAGCAATAAAAGCCTGAAAAACAAAGAGTCAGCTTTTCTAGTCTTTAGTTGATACAGAAACAAGGATGGGTGGGTGGCCATTACCCCAATCGTCGGCACAATACCAGAGCCAGCTCTCGGAGGGTATTTGGCCGCGTACATGATGCACATGACGATACCACCGAGGTCAAGCATTACGCCCAGCGACCTTTTTATGCAGTGCACGATGCCGTAAACTTGGGGAACACGAGGCCTTCGCCGTGATTCGGGCCATGAGGGATCTCTGGGCTTGCCAGCGGCTGGGGCAACCGCTTGAGGCATTGTGTTTGCTAATTCTGGTTGTGGTCTTTGATTCATTATGTCGGACAGCTATTAAAACTTGCAAAGGAAGCGGCAACGAAGAACGGCGGGATAAGATGGATGACTGAATGCACTTAAATGAAGTGTTAAGTCAAGTTCTCGTATTGATCCTTCGTGGTTGATGACTCTCGTTTTCATCGTGGCGCAGCGACTTGTCATTGCGTCTCGCGTTTGGGCCAATCCATTTCGAGGAAATCGCTACTCTTGTTCTGGAAGCTGTTCCTTGCACTTGAGTTAGTGTGATATCTAGTGCATGCAGCCCTGTAATTATTGGCAAGGCGTTTTTTCAGTCTTCTAACTCCGTGGTTCTTCATCTATCATACATTGATAATTGTTGGTTGAACTATGATCATTCCGGATGAATCAATTAGGACTGTGCATTGCCTTGCCAATCTTGATCTTACACTATCTGTTATATCTTACTTTCTAAAAACTAGCAGTATTTTACCTTGGCTCGTAGATTTAACCACCGTGGGATTGTGCAGGGGGGTGGGTGGCACGGCATACTCGAGTCTTGGCTTTGACTACACGTCCACCTCGATCATGGTTTTCAAGCAAAGCTGCTTATGATACCTACCCTACTGCCTTTACGACCATATCTCCCTGTTTAGGTACCCGGCTAGTTAGATCGATGGTTTCTGTCCTTCCACGTTACACGGTTATTCGAACAAGGCAATCCTACAAGTATATGGACAGGCCTGGAGTGTCTCTTCGATGAATTTTTGGCAAGACAAGTCGAGCTTGCATCTCTCTCCTTTGATTAACTCTGTCTATTCCAAAGACCTGTACACACAGAGAGTTCATTGGAGAACCTGGAAGCATGCAGTTTTGTTGCTGGCCGAGGCAGGGAAGAACGGTCAACCCATATGAGCCCGAGAGCAGCCATTCATCTATCACCACCCCCCAGTGAAAGTCACATTGAGGACGCAACTTAGTGTGATTAACAGTTGTACACCCATTTTCCAAACCTCTACTTGCATCCGTCTAGTGAAGGAGAAATGAGGGGCCGAAGGTCAGCTTGAAATTATATGTAAAACTAACTGACATCTATTTGATGTGATGGAACTCCTTATCAGCCGCAGTCGGGATCCCTAGCTCTAGAATCTCCAAAGTAGTTCTCTTAAACTCATCAGCAAACTGCAAGCGCTCCCACCATCTTCGAGGAATAGCATCCTTCCCGTCCCTCGCCCCAAGCAACCCGCCAGCAACAGCACCATTCGTATCCGTGTCCTTGCCGATGCGAACAACATCCACCAAGACCTGCTCCAGAGTCCTGTAATCCAGCACGGCGGCAATGGCGATGGTCAGAGTCTCCAGAACATACCCCGAACAGGCCCCGGGGAAGAAGTCCTTGTGCGGCCCGTACTTGGCCGCCCTCGCAATGTCGAGCTTCCTCCCAAGGCGGATGGCCCTCGCCACGTCTCCGCCCGTCTCACCTCCCTCGAGCTGGACTGCCGCCGCCTCAGCAGCGTTGACGGCGTAGGTAGGGCCGGCCCCGCCGATGAGGGCGGCGGCACATGCGTTGTAAGCGGCACAGGCAATGGTGCAACGCTTGTCGGCGTGCGTGATGGCGCTGATGGCCTGGCTCTCGTGAAGGAGACGAGTGAGGTCCGGCTGGAAGATGGCCGTGGGAATGCAGCGCATGAGAGAGCCGTTGCCGGCAGAGTTCTGTCCAGTCGCCACTGGAGCCTCGGGGTTCGCACGGAAGCTGGTGATTCCAATCGCCGTCATGTTGCCGATATCCTTGGGCCGGGTCCCTGGTGGGTTGCGGCCTGGCCAGTTTCCCTCGTACCAGTCGACGAAATAGTCTCCAGCACGCCGTCTGACCTGGTCAGTGGTGAAGTGCTTTCCCTTGCGAGCCAAGTCTCGGTATGCCAGGAGGACACAGCGGGTCATGTCGGTGTCGTCGGTTGCATGGCCAGGGGACCAGTTGAAATGACCTCCACCGATGATATCCCAGAGGCCCTTGGGATAGGACTTGGCGATCTGGCTATGACTCTGGAACTCGAGAGTTGCGCCCAGGGAATCGCCGGCATGAAGGCCCAGCAACGCTCCAATGGAGCGGGACTGGCGACGCGTGTACTGCTTCTGGCTTTTCTCAGGCATTGTGGCTCACTTCTGACTGAGGGGCAGTTGTGAAAGGGCAATGGATGGGAGAGAGAATTGCAATGGAATGAATGAGATCTAATGGCTCAAAGCACTGCCATGATTCTCGTTGTGGATGCATGATTGATAGAGGCGGGGCTGCTGAGCATCTCGAACGGGGAAAGAAGTTGCGAGCTGTTTTTGTACGGCGGCTATGCTAGTCGGGCCCTAACTGGACTTGGCGGTGAGGAATAGGAGGTTTTATGAGATGCAATTTTGGTCTCTTAAATCTAGGTATGGGGGCAAAGAAAGCATCAATGGAACATTAACACCGAATGGATGACTGAAATTGATCTTTGAGGTTCAAGGTTGCGGGCGAGGAGAGTGGCCTGGGCCGAGGCCATTCAGTGGGTGACATCCCTGGCGATCAGCGCCTACAGCCCTACAGCTTCCCCCGCAGCGGATCCCTGGCCCCGACTTGCTGCCCAGGGCTTATCCTGCCCCAAGTCATAAACGTAGGGAGCAGTACTGAGATGAAAGAGAGGACGCCAATGTCGTAAGAAATGGCTGGCGATGGCAGGGCTGATGAAAGAATGTCCGCGAACGAACCATCATAGGATCCCAATCATAAAGAAGCTGTGGCTTAAGGTGGTTCCAAGAAAAGATACCAATCCTCGGCACGCTGGGAGTGAGTTCGGGATGTTCGATGGTGCTGCGGCAACTGGAGACTTCTTAAAGTCATGGGCTGGCGCTCAATTAATGAACATACCGGCACTGGGGATAGATTGAGCTTACAATATAGGGTGGTTAAAGTTGATGCTATTACCCGGCCGTCTCCTAGGCAGGCTTTGAAAAAAGAGGAGTTCGATGCCGAGCCTTTAAGTCTGGGGTTTTGCGGGCCTCATCTTCTCCATCTATCGTGGCCAAAGAGACGAGGATAACGGGGAGAACCTACCGAATGACTGGCAGCTCTGCACATGCTCCTGACCCAAGCAGATATTCTAGAGGGGGTATGATGGGGTCGATGCATTTAAGCGCCGCCGTCTCATTGACGGATCTTGGTTCTTCCTTCGTCTCACCCCGGAAATTAACGATCGAATTTACCCCTTTGGAAAGCAGGTCCAACACATAACCTACAAACCGCTGTTCTTCTCCTCACTGGCTATTGCTTGGGGTATGGGGAGATGCAGTACTAACTTGATCCACCTTACCGGTAGGTTTCCCCAGGCCAGGAGACTGGGTTTCATATTTCGGAGGGCCAACGGTATACCTAGGCTTAATAGATGAATGGAATAATATGATTCCATGAGTCTCGCCCCTGTGGAATATCCAATGTTACCACAGACCCTACAAAAGACTATAGCCGAGTTAGCCATGTATATAGAAAGAAGGGATGGCAGCATGATCGCTTGAGCAAAGGGCTGGACCTTTCCACTTGATAGTTACCTTCTGTATTTGCTTTGACGATGATATTGAAATCATTCATTGGGCTCATCGCCTTTGCCGAACCGTTATTAGTGGCCGCTACTGGCTCTAATTCATCCGTTCCCACGGCCAAGACTCTGAATGGAACATATACCGGCGCCAGTCTGACAGGCTGGGATCAAGACACATTTCTCGGCATTCCTTTCGCTCAGCCGCCGGTTGGCCCTTTAAGATTCAAACTGCCGCAAAGTTATAATGAATCCTTCGATGAGAACCGTAATGCTACGCAATATGGATACAGCTGCATGCAATATGGCCAAAAGTTTCAGCTTTCCGAGGACTGTCTTACGATCAATGTGGTTAGACCATCCAGGACACCAAAGGGTCCCTTACCAGTTCTGTATGTACCGAATTTCCTTTCAACTGCCACTTGCTAATCCAAGCCATAGAGTTTGGATATACGGAGGCGGGCTGTATACTGGGAGCACAGCTGATCCCCAGTACAACCTGTCCGGTATTGTCAAGGTCAGCCAGGACATGGGCCAGCCTATTGTAGCGGTTAGCTTCAACTACCGTGTTGGCATTTGGGGCTTCCTTCAGAGTTTCGACCTTCTGACCGAGGGCTCGAGCAACGCTGGTCTGCATGACCAAAGGCTTGCGCTTCGATGGATACAAGAGAACATTGCGGCATTTGGCGGTGACCCTGAGCAAGTCGTCGTATGGGGTGAGAGTGCTGGCGCCCAGAGCATCGCATATCAAATGTTTAGTTACGATGGTCGGGACGACAAGCTATTCCGTGGTGCTATCCTTGAGAGTGGAGGAGTGACGGGTGCACAGGTATGGATTCATCGCGTGCTCTAGACCAACTGACCACTATGGCTGACCTGGAACTAATAGATTCATGATCTGAGCTACTATAATACTCCATACGAAAATTTCACCCGGAGTGCAGGATGCTGGACAGCCTCGGATAAGTTAGCCTGCTTGAGAGCCTTGGACCAAGACACAATCTACAAAGCTCAGCAGTCCTTGACGTGGAACCCAATCATCGACGGCTACTTTCTCACCGGCTACCCAAGCCAACTGATGAGAGAGGACAAGTTCAACCCAGTTCCCATGATCATTGGCGCCAACACAGACGAAAGCTTTATCATGAACAAGCCTAACACAGATGAAGAGCTCTTTCGCGAAGCATTTCGGTGGAGAAATTATGCTCTCAGTGCACCAACAATGCGAAAGCTGATGGAACTGTACCCCAACGACCCATGTTACGCGCCGCCCTACCACATCACCAATTGCACAGTTTTGGCAAGCAGAGGCTTACAAGGACGCCGAGCAGCCGCAATCGGTTCGGACATCACCATGATCAGCGGGCGCCGAAAGATGGCAGAGCTGTTTACATCTGCTGGAAAGGACGTGTTCAGCTACCGCTTCGACCAGCTGGCGTATGGATACAACGAGTGGGATGGAGTGAAGCACTTTGCAAACGTCGCATTCAGCTTCCAGAATATATCGGGCAATATTGGTCCCAGCCCCCAGTACGATACCCATCTTGACCTGGCTCGGGTGATTGGCCAGGCATACGTCAGGTTTGTATACGACCTCAACCCGAACCCGTCGGATAAATATCACAACCAGGAGAATCTGTTGCCCGAATGGCCTGTATATGACAATGATGAGCCGAAGAACATGGTGTTGAACGCAACTGAAAATAGGGTCGAAGATGATACATGGAGAAAGGAGGGGATTGCTTATATAAACAGCTACGAAGTCGCAAGAGAGCTATATGCTTAAGCCGTAAGAGAAAAATACAAAGTGTATTCAATGTTGGCTGTCTGATCTAGACCTCTGTTCTTTCACCATGCCCTAGACATCGACATGCGAGATATCAAATGAGATCAATTCTGGATATTGTGGCAAACGATCAACTACAGTTTCGAAGAAACAAAAGTACCCGAGTTAACGCATACTTTCCCAAGAGGCAGGCTATTGTTGAGAAAAAGATCAGCCTGTATCTCCTTTTCGTCTTATTTTCGTCTTCCTCTCCAGAACTGACATTCTATTGCGAAGATGGGCCAGACATATATGGCACGATATCCGCTCCATCGCGGTGAGACTGCGCAAATATCTCTAGTGACAGAATTCCCTACACTTAAATCTCTGTGACCATTAAATAGAGAAGTTGATATTATCTTGGTCAGCCATTAGACTGGAGCTAGGGCAAAGATTGACGAGGAAGATACTCACATAGCTAGTGCTCTTCACCCAACGGTAGACTCCAGCCACTTGCTGAAAGCCCCATCTCTCTGTCGAATCCAGCTTCCCAATCACGTTTTAAGACTATTGATCGGCCAGCTTTACGTCATAAGCACCTAGGTTATCCGGGCTGGAACTCGTCACTAGTCAAATCCTGATGACATCGTTCAGCATTAGCTATGCGTACGGGCCGCGCGTGTCTCAGTTGTCACCGGCAGGACCCCAGTCAAGCAGCCACTAGCCGGGCGATCTCAATCGAAATAACTCTCTAGAGAAATTACGAAGTTATTCAAGTAATAAACACTCAACCATATCCGATCGGTGGTATCTCCCATCTCTCTTCGAACTGAGCTGGCCGTGACTCCATTCTGATGTATTCTCCGACAAAAGTAGACTTCGAGCCTCGCCCGGGTCGTAGCACCATTTGGGTGCATGCCGAGGCGTTTGGTTTTGGCCCCAGCAGCTTGCTCCTTACGCTGGCTCCTATGCTACGGACTCTAGCTTCCTCTATCGGACCACAAACAACGACCGAGTATGTTGGCCAAGGACACACCTTGGATCTCAATACATCGCCACCATGGGATAACGTCCATGACTGCGATATCTCCACGGACCAGGGCAAGCAGGCTCTGGGTGACCTCTTTCGCCTTCAGCAGCCGCTCCTCATTGTCATTATATGTGACGCTGCTTTCGTAGAGCTGCTGTCCGGGTTTGGGGCTAGGAGACTTATTGTCATCGACCCTCTCATGTGGTTCTGGCCATCTGTTCCTCGGGCTTGGGCAAATGCGAGCCTGCTGATTGCAGTGGACTACATTGGCGTCCGAGCTCGAGTCGACAAGGCAAAGATGCACAACGCCGTTGTGGTTCCTCCGCTTGTGCCGTCTATCGGTCGACCGGTCTCAAAAGGCCCGAGGAAAGGCACCTTGGTCAATCTGGGCGGCCTGCAGAATCCATTCATTTCCGTCGAAGAGAACATCGCCTTCGCGAGCCTGGTGCTCTCAGTCGTCGAACAGGCCATCAAAGCCCGAAACTGCCCTGATGATCTCCCCCTGCATTTCCTGACCAGCCAAGGAGTGTGTGCCGGGATGCAATCAGATGTGGCCACCTCAACATCCCCGGAGAAAGCGCGTGTTCTCTTATCGCAATGCAAAACGGCTTTCCTCACATCGGGACTATCGAACATTTATGATGCTGCAGATTGCGGAGGCCGTGTCGTCTTTCTGCCGGCCACCAATGGGTCGCAGGGAGAGCAGCCGGAGCTCATGGAACGAGATCTTGCCTGCACCTTTACGCGTATTGACTGGCATGAACTGAATATAACGATGCCAAAGGTGGAGTATTCCAATACGAGCGATGCCGAATGCTTTCCTTTGATTCAAATTCATCAAAAGGCGCTTGTGGAGGATCGCATAGCACAGGGACGGTTTGTGGAGAGGGTTCTCGAATGTTATGAGGCGGAGGAGGATAACGCGAAGGAATTACAAATTCTCTTCTCTGCCTTCGGGCGTGATGACGGAACTTTGGTTATGAATGCCATCGTCGACACGATCGTACGTGAACCGGATAGTAGAAGCTGCCTTCAGAAGCCTCCCAAGCCATCCATTTGAGTTGCGCGTTAAGTGGTCTCTATTAGCGCATATAATTGAGATAGACATACTTTAGATACCCTTTTATTCGGGCCTGGAATTTTAGAAATAAAACAGCTCTGGTTATATACGCCTTTAGATCTGACCTGTTCTCGTCTCTTATTCTGCCCGGTGGAGATTGCTGTGGATTGTTGGTCTTCTCTCCGGAGTTGAACATTTGTCATGGAGTTTTCTTAATACGTGCCATTTTCAGGAGACTCATGTTTATCATTTCCAGCGCGCCGTCCAAGCACCAGTGTACTGTTGTGACAACAAACGCATAGCATCAGTATTCTCGCATGCTGGAGGGGAAGACGTCGGACGAGAACGCTTACAAAAGTAAGCAGAGTTATGGAAGGTCATTGGCGACCAATGTCAGCGAAGAAACGGCTTCAGATAGGCAGATATCCAGAATGCAAAACAACTCCTGTTAGTGTGAACTCGGAATGATCCTGGTTGGAGCTGTCAGCCGCCAAGAAGCAACTGCTGCGCCACAGGAACAAGACTGGATGATGCTGATCCGTGTCCGCAACTTCACCCCTTTGGGAAGATTTTTGCGAATTATTATGGGCCTATTTGAATCTCCACAGCACTGAATTGCGCTTAAAGCTAGCGATTGCCTGGCGCCATTGTGAAAGTACTTCTCATCTCCCGAGTCTCTGCTCACGATCACAAACGTTGTAAGCTTCTTCGATATTCATCTTATCTCTTTTTCAAAATGACGGGGGTCCCCAAGTCGAAAAGCTGTCAGAATTGCAGAATAAAGAAAATCAAGGTGTGATCCGACCACCGTCAAGTGAAGTGACCCTAACTGATCACGGAAACCTTTGTTTATCTAGTGTGATAAGAATTGGCCAACATGTAACCAGTGTGCGAGGTCGAGGAAGCTGTGCCCAGGGCCGACGTCTCGTACCAAGTTCGTCCATTATACCCAGAATGGTCCAGATGGGGATATACCGGAGTCTCCTGCCATTGGCGGCATAGATACTCAGAATCAGGCCGGCGATGGACAACAGAAAACAGTGATGACGAAGTACGGCCGGTCCAAGAAAAATGGCGAAGAAGATTCTTCCTTTGCCGTTTTCCGTCTTCACGTTCCCCGAGCCAAGCTCACCACAAGTGCCGAACGCACTGGCGCGAGACTTGTGAATCTTTGGGAGCGGAATAAGACAGGGGGAATGGCCTTGCAGAATAGCTTCATACCACACTTACCTGCACGGTTGTCCCGGAGTGCCTGCCTTCGCGACTGCACCGCACTCTTCTGCTCCGTTTGGAATGAGTATCGCCGTGGCAAACCAGTGGAGACATTGCTGGACACTCCGCTGTATGGCAAGGCTCTCCGTAGCCTGCAACATGCATTTCAAGGACCCGATGTGTATACAGTCGAGACGTTGGGAGCTATGGTTCTCCTCGAACGCTCCTACACCATGTTCGGCAACTTGACGCCGGGGAGTGTCAAGGGCCATCACCGAGCAATCGAAACAGTGCTCAAAAAGAAACCCCCCCTGAATCTGGAGGATGACCTGGAGGTTACACTTGCGTTTGAGAACTCCAATCTTCTTGTGAGCCATCCCATCTACATTAGCTATTTGGCAACTAACATTTAGTACAGCATACTGCATCCCTGAATGGGAGTAGTAACTACGTATCCGACAAGAGATGGAGAGAATTGCTCACCAAAGTAACACTTGATTCAATGGCTGAAGAAGAGATGCAGCCCTTTGCGGACGATCCTCTGTTCACCATAGACCTATTGAATACGCTGATAGAGTCCGCTCATTGGATCTCCCAGCTCGGCGCCAACCCCCAGGAGAGCCGGGATCTTAGAGACATGGCCTCGAAAAAGCTACGAGCACATTCAGCTAGAATGGAGTCAATGAGCTTAGACTGCACTACGAAAGCATTCAATATGGGGTCTCTACGAGAAGTGCCAGATGAGGATTCTATAACTGGCTTTAGGTTCGAGAGCACCTCCGTCAAGTTTGCACAGGTCTATGCTAGCTGGCTCAGCTTCCAAATCGTCCTCTCTAGGATGGTATACGAGCTTGAAGTCATCGATGGAAACGATGGAGAAGACGAATATGCGGCTTACAAGGCAGGGTGCACTCAACTGTGGAATTTTGTTCCATATCTTTCAAGAGTGGACACCATTGCAGCGCTTCATATGATCGGGGTCATTTTGCCCTCGCTAGAAGCCGCGAATGATATCGAGCAGGAGTATATTGTAGACGAGTGCTACAAAGCAGATGAATATTCCAAGCGACTGCCGAAGGATCGAGAGACACTCATAGCAAAGTCAATTTTGTTGGCAAAGTCCAGAACAGGCCGGCTCTAACCGGACAACTGATCGAGCCGGCGAGGGCGTCGTATAAACAGAAAGATGTCTCATATCCATTGTAGCACAATAATCTATAATTTGTATTCATACATTTCAAAAGGCGGACACCAAGCCTCTGAGGCGAGAAAGCAGCCACGGGCCCTGAGACCAACCGGCCCAGATAATTCCACCCACTGCCATCCAGCTCAGGATACCTTTTGCAATGAACACCCTCTTGACAACTTGGAATGTTTTTCTTTCATTGACTCTCGGGAATGGCTTGTCGGGAACATCTTGCTTCAGGAATTTACAAAGCGGCGCCCATCCTTCTTCAGCCTGAAACTCCAGCAATGTCCAATTATTTGCTTTCGCATCATCCCTGACGCTCCCATAATACGTGTTGTAAGCTGAAGCTTGAAATATGGTGGGTTCATCGTAGAGTTCCTTGTAATATTCCACCACGCGCATGTTCAGCCGGTACCAGTGACGGTCAACACTCCAAAGGAAGCCAACGTAGTAGAACCACGGCGAGAAGAAGTAGCCGAAGCTTTCGCGGCAGCTCTGCGCCCAGACCTCGGGGTTTGGCCGCCCATTCAACACGAGCTTGGCATCGGGGAACATCTCCATGAAGTCCTTGTAGAAGAGAATGGCCGGCACGTCGCAGACCGCGCTGTAGCCGTCAACGAGCGTATGGAGCATCTTATGGCGGGTTTCCGTGTTCTTCTCATAGCTAGCGTCGATGATGAGCTGCAGCCGATCGGGATGGGGTATGATTTGTGCCATATGGAGACACGGGCCGTATCCGATCTCCTCGAATGCAGCCTGGAGGGATGAGGTGGCTGCACGAGGTAGGCCGAGCCCGATGGCACGTAGAGGTGCCTTGTCAGTGGGCGCCACCCGGGAGTCGGTGATGAATCGGGGCATTTGGACGGTGGATTTTGTCTCTCTTCCTTCAATGAAGTTAACAAGAGATTGAGAGAAAGACAATAAGCTTGCCGTTGGCTCACTCCTATTTATTAGAGTCCAAACTCTGCCAGTGGGGCAGCGTAAGCTTCAGGGATCGCATTCCAGTGATGAAATTTGCTGACAGCAAAGCAATAATTATAGCCATATGTGCCGAGTATATCTTGTTGGTTGGAACCAACAGAGTTGAGGGCGGCCCATCTCGCAAGATGTGGTACAGAAGTGGCAACTGACACCTCACACCCAAAGTACCATCCAGCTCTCCAGCATGCCCACCTGTTTGCGAGCAAATCCTACCCCAAGAGGAGAGCCAAGAGCCGGGGTATATGCCGAGCAGGGGGATACCCAGAAGAGACAAGTTTGGCTGACATCCCGTCATCTCTTGCTCGTCCCTCGGCAGTTTGCTGGCGCCCATGTCTCCAAAGGAGTGGGAGAAATAACCTTAGTTGAGCCATTCGTATCCATGCAGACAGGATCAATTGGCGCGCCTCAGATATCAGCTTCATTCCGGTATGGCCACCGCTGACTAGCCCCAACCCAAGAATCCGGAGGCCCATCAATCGCGTCAGTCGTGTTGCGATCCCCACGTTTTGCTCCATAATATAAGTGTCTCTCCGCAGCTTTGGTTGGAGCGCCTACTACCCTCGGGGTTGCAATGAACCACTACACCGAATGTTGCGCGTTTATCCTGGCCTACACCATGGGCCAATTGGAGAAACTTGGGTATAAAATGCTGCGGCAAGCCCATTGAGTTCGGCGGAAGAAGGCCAAACAATCAGAAAAGACAAAGAAGGAAACGGGGAGAGCAACGATGTGGCTTAAAGGACTTGTTGTCACAGTTTCTGCGCTCTTGGGTTGCTCGCAAGCCCTCGAGACGTATGAGAGGAATCTGATTTTCCAGCCACCCTCAAATTACACCGACCCACGCACTCTCTATCCCCGCACGGTTCAGCTTGAGGATGGCCGTCTTCTGGCCACTTGGGAGAACTACTCTCCTGAACCGCCACTGGTGTGGTACCCCGTGGTAGAGTCCTGGGACGGCGGTCTCACATGGGAGGAGGTCGGTCAGGTACATGATCAGGTCAACAACTGGGGCATGAGATACCAGCCATTCTTGTACGAATTGAGGCAGGACCTTGGGGACTTCAAGGCGGGAACCGTTCTGTGTGCTGGCAACAGCATCCCGACAGACCTCAGCGAGACCAAGATCGATGTGTACGCGTCTACCGACAAAGGGCGTACCTGGAACTTTGTATCGAGCGTCGTTCGCGGTGGACGCGCAATCCCAAACAATGAAGAGACACCAGTGTGGGAGCCTGAGATCCTGTAAGTGTTTGCGGCGGGCCATTGCGAAGAAACACGGTGAACTGACTAGAGTGCTAGTGTCTATGAAGATACCCTCATCCTATACTTTGCCGATCAGAGAAGCGAGCTCCACGGCCAAGAGCTGAGCCACAAGGAAACTAAGGATCTTATCAACTGGTCCGATACCGTGACAGATGTGAGCTTTGACACCTACACCATGCGTCCAGGCATGCCCGTTGTCGCCAAGCTCCCCAACGGCAAATACATCTATGTCTACGAATGGGGCGGTGCTCCCATCTTCGAGAATTACCGCTTCCCCATCTACTATCGCTTCGCCGAGGACCCTCGCAAGTTTGCCGAGGCCGAGGACTTCTACATCAACGCCACCAACACCGACATCTTCCCCAACAACAGCCCTTATGTGGTCTGGACACCGGTTGGCGGCGAGAACGGCAGTATCATCGTGAGCAGCAATCTCAAGTACGTTTACATTAACCGCAAGCTGGGTGATCCGGATGCTTGGGTCGCGTACGATGTTCCCGAGAATGGTGCTTATACCAGAAATCTGAGAATTTTGGAGGAAGATCCTGATTACTTGTTGATCATGGGTGCTGGTGTTCTGCCCCCGAGCACCACCAACAATGTGACGATCAGTCTTGTCCAGGTGTCTGAGCTGCTGAAGAATCCAGTTGGAGGATGTAAGAAACGGTCCAGGTGAACTGCAGTGAGCTGGCCAGCATTTTGTTAACTAAGTTTCACAACACAAATTAAATAGATTGATTGATGACCGTCATCTTGGCCGAGACTTCACTGAATGATTAGCGATTGATAAACCTATTCTGCTAATAAGGGGTTGCCCAACTACCCGGCACAAGGAAATCAACACGGTCTTCCGAGATCCAAGCAAGAGTGCTAATCATTAACTTCGTGGGCGGAATCAAATCCAGAAGTCCACTGGGAGTGAGAAGATCCCGCAGCCAAGAATAAGCACGCAGTCTTAGGAGCACTGTTGTGAACAGCGACTGATTCCAGTCTTGAATAGAAGCATCTTAATTCCTGTAGTTTGCGAATTGAGTTGAGTTTGACAGAAGATTGTATATTATAAGTCAGAGTCAGGTGTAGCACATTAACATCATGATTCATGCCAGCTCCCTCATTCGGTTGCAAGGAAATATTCAATCAGGATACACTATGAATCATGCAAGCGTGCGCACTTTTGTGATACGGCAAGCAAATGAGCAAAAAGAAATTAGGCCTTTCTTTTTGCTATTGTATCTTCTTAAGAAAGTCTACTTATAGCCGCTCTCTCACGAATTAATCGCTTTGTTTCGTCATCAGGACATACCTACCACCGCATGCGTAAAATATCGCCAGGTTAGAAACCTAATTCGACACTGCCAATGCCACCAGCATCGAATCCCCCCAACTCTACCACAACTGCTCAATGAATGATTACAGTGTGGTGAGTGGGCAACAGCACCTAAGCTCATCCTCTACCCTTCTCGATCCGAGAGAAGGCCCAGCCGCTATGCTATCTTAAATCGTCTCTGATACGTTGGCTTTCTTGAGTTGCGTACCCGGTGGCAAGCAACTAGCCAGTAATTTCCATGCGAGACGAGAAAATGCCCGACGCGACGAGGAGCTGGAGAGATGTACTAGAATACAGGGCACAGTAAGGCGATCGGGCGCGAAGGTTTCAATACCGGGCACGGAGTTTACAGAACGTTGTTGTCGACAGATCAATAGTCGTTTATTAACCCTGCCGGCTGAGATTCGCAATCAGATCATGGTAGAAGCCTTTGGCCGGCGCACTCTACACATGAGCCTGGAATTCCAGCATCCTTTCGCCCTTACTACCCATAAGACTTCGCAAGGGCGTCACACCCATGCCAGAATTCAGTACTTGAGGCCAGCCCTGAACTCTCACCTTCGGACAGACCTGCCCAAGAAGTGGACTTGGTTTGGATGCGTTTGTCACCAATTCGCGGATTCCAATGAGGGCGGGTTGCCTGGTCGTCTAAGGTGTCTAGGAGTGACTGCAGAATCTGACCCCGTAACGGATTACTGCCTGGAGGGCTTGGGATACTGCAATACATGGCCAGTCGCATCACCAACGAAATGTCGGATCGGGATTATGGGTTGGTTGCTGGCATGCCGCCAATCGTAAACTACCGGCTCGTTTGAGTCTGTATTTTAACACCAACCCCTTCGTATGAACTAACAAGCACGTTCTGTCCAGATATCAAGAAGGAATGCACATCCTTTACGGAACAAATACCATTCGCATCGCATCATCAGTCTTGCACCAAAATCTTCAAAGAATATTTTCCGAGGCAACACTCTCGCTTTTAACATCTTTAGACCTAGTATGGGACCCGGTGCAGTTGTCTCTAGCCTCTGGCTTCGTTGGAGAAGACGAAGCCAACGTGTCATGTGAAACAAGACCGCCAGTTTTTCCCTCGATGATAAGGCCACAAATATCCTTTCGAGGAGGCAATGATATTCAAAGAGAAAAGGCCTTGGGAGTTGATTGGAAATACACAAATGAAGAACAGCTTTCACAAACTCTGAACAACCAGGTATTGCCTATGGTTGATAGCCTTGTTCAACGGCTGGTACCGCCGACAACAGATGTGACGTTTCAATGCCCAACTTGGGCCTGGTATAAACTTATGGACTCACTCTTAGTCGAGACCCAAGGCCTGCAAGCTACCAAACCTCAGCGAGGAGATCTTGGTGGACTAAAATGTTGGCGACAGACTACTGCCGAGTTATCGGCTTCTTCAATTTTCCCTGATGTGGTTCAGCATTGCAGTGGGGCAAAGGCCGCCGAGGATTATTCAATTTCTGGAATATGGGTTCATATTAGTTCGAAAGATGTTCAGCTAGGAAATAACGGTAAGTGATCTTCCAGTTCACCCCTATGGCTCTCTACAATAGGTACTAACGAATCGATATTTACAGCTACCTATGATCATGCGCGCTGTACATTGTATGGCCTTAGAGAACTCGAGTTTTGTAGTTCCTAATTGATGATCTGGTGGCTGTTATTATGTCATCGATGATCTTAGAAGATAAGAGTAGCCTCCTGAAAAGCGGAAGTGGCTGAGAGCGGAATAAAGCACAGAACGCGTGTAGAATATATGACCACCTCGATATTATTGCAAATCAAGATATGTCCCATGGCTGAATCATGGTTACAACTTCTTATAGTTTAATACAGCACCAAACCACCAAAATCAAACTCGACTCTCTTTAGGCCTAATTCTAAACCTTAGAAGGATGGATGGCTTATAGACTAGTCTCCTCCCTTAGCTGGCGATGCATGGCCATTGGCAGCGACTATTAGCAGCATCGGTAAGTTCAAAGAAATGATGCGTGCGAGCGAGGAGCTAAAAATGTCTCCCCCGTATTCAAAGACATGCAACAAGATAATACTGAATTCTCATATTCAACATTCATTGTGATGGGGTGATCCGACCTAGGATTTCGGAGAGCATTCTTTTACGGCTAGATATACGGTCGCTGTGATGTAGCAAATTTGAAGTTATACTAATACACGATTAGAAGCATCACACGACTTGAAATGAGATATTCTTCATTGCATTTATGCTGCTTCCGACCTCAATAGAAAATCCAAAAGCTAGCAGCTGTATTCCTGTTTCTGCCACCTACCCGGTAGGACATCAATCCTGGCTAATTCTAACTGTAGTCAGGCTTCACACCATGCTGCTTCCCTCTGTGTCTCATGGTATAATTGGCTTAGGTTGTTTTTTTTGTAATGAGTTAGAGAAGACGCTATCTTCACTTTGACTGAACCCAAACCTCTGGTGCTCAATTACACCTAATGGCAATAGTGCTTTATTGAGCTACACAGCAAGCCCTCCAAAAGAGTTTAATAGATAGATGAAGGCACTCACAGGAAATATGCGGTTTCTATTTCGACAATCTTGAGTCTAAGACAGATACACGGATTGCTCGATATTTTACTATCCTGATCCCAGAACAGCTTCCTCAATTCAGTTCTGTGGTAAGTTTGTTGATTAAAGATCAATGACAGACCAATCAATGTGTCCCGATTTTGGCGGCATGAGATAGCGGTTTAGTGGCTTTCCCGCAAGACCTGCCCGGAAATGGTGAGGCGGAGCATCTAAAGGCACCGCTACAACCACTGGAAGCTTGGAAAGTGCGCTAAAATGTGCCTATGACAGGCCTGGACCCCACAAGCGTCAAGGGCTAGTACCTTTTCGCAGGGAATGGGCCAGTGAAGTTAGCGCTGCCGCCCGTTTCTCGCTTGGCCAGATCCTCCCCGCGCAACCGCATCGCCTCTGCCCCATTGAACTTCGCTCCAGTTTTGTGATGATCGAGAGATCGAGTATCGCCAACGGCCACCAGTCCCCAGGGTCCATGTCGAAGCTGCATACAGGCGCATTTGTTTCCATCCGTTATCCCTTGCACACACCCACCAAGGCAGCCCACCGTCCAGGATGCCCAGGTCGCAGCATTCCCGACGAGCCTCGAGACCGTCGCAGCCGGAAACCTCCCCGGGAGACGTTGCCAGCAGTACTGGCCGTGCCGTGGGCTCCTCTAGCCTGGGTAGAGTGACCAAGAGATCGACTAATGCATGCTCCAGATGCCGCAGGCAGAAGATCAGATGCTCCGGGCTGATCCCCTGCGACGCCTGTACCAAGCGCAAGCTACCTTGTGAGATCAATGACAGTGAGCAGAAGATTCTCGTCACTCGCGGTTATATCGAAGAACTTCAGGCCAGGATTGCCGCACTGGAGGGGAACAAGCCTGCTGCTGCGTCGGATATCCTTGACTTTGGATCTGATGTCGAGGCAGAGACGCAATCACGTACGTATCAGCCTCGGTTCATCACACCCCCATACCGGTTGAAATCATTCTTTCATCCTCTTCATGACCCTGACTGCCCTTTAGGTCCCCCTAGTAGGAAACAGCGACGTCGCTCTAGTCCCTCATCGGCTCACCGCGCGGCTAGCGAAGGCATTGAATCCTCGTCCCAACAAGACTCCCTCGGCGGCAACCCTCTGAGAAATCCATTATCATCTGGTCAATCCACCTTTTCCATATCTGCCGATGGGAAAGCATGTATGTATATCGATTTTATGTCCTCAATTCAATCAGACGTAGAATGTATAACGTTGACCGCTCTCTCGATGTAGTTTACCTGGGCACCTCGTCCAATTGGTCGTTTGCACGTCGTATACTTTCCATGATCCACGAGTTCATCCTGAAGTCACCTTTACCTACTGCTGATTTATTATTTGATGGTCAAGCGTATGATTTGGGGTGGGAGGGTTCAGCAAGAATGACACCATATGATTCTCCAGCTATGCCTGCGCTGGATTACGCCATTTACTTGATCAACGCGGTCAACTTCCACTGTGCCCAGGTGCTCCACCTATTCGACGAGAAATCATTCATGTCGTCCCTTTACGAATTCTACCGAAACCAGCAAGCCGAGCACGTGAAGAGAAGCCTGTGGTATGTTCACTTTCTTCTCATACTAGCCTTTGGGAAGGCCTTCGTCACGAAAAGAAACCTCGCAAAACGGCCTCCAGGTGCGGAATATTTTGTAAAGGCATACGAACTCCTTCCAGATGTAATCACTCTCTGGAAAGATCCGATCGTATCATGCGAGATTCTTTGTTGTGTTGCACTATATCTCCAATCTCTTGATAATCGCCTCGCGGCACACAATATTGTGAGTCTTTAATTTCCAAGTCCTAGAATGCGGCATTTTGTTAGGCAGAAAACTAACCACAGGGTGTATATAGATTGGCCAAGCAATGAGAATAGCCTTGGGTCAGGGAATGCACACCAATATGCCTGGCGGCCTTCTTGGCGAAGACGTTGTGGAGCGATCTCGCCGAGTCTGGTGGACTATATATGTCCTAGACCGTGAGATGACATCCCTTTTGGGCCTACCTCAATCGATCAACGACCGAGATATCTACCCAGAGCTTCCAAAGTTTGAAGAATCGCCTCACAGACGTGCCGCACTTGAAATGGAAATAAGGCTCTCTCGAGTAATAGCCACCATCAATAAAGGTTTGTTGTTGATTCTGGGCCAATAATCCTCCTGCTGACTTTCAATGTCCCTAGAAATATACCAGCCTGATGGAAAGCTCAATAGCAGGTTTCTCACAAGTACGAAACACGTTCTTGAAGATGTAGCTGCCGTGTCCGGGCAGCTTCAGCAGTCATTCCCGCTTCAACTCGATAATAGCGTTGCAGGCGTCTCCAGGACGGCTGCTAATCTTCATTTACTCTATTATCAGGTTCGTAAGCTAGATAGTCACGAGAGACTTGTATGACGACTGACAATGCTCCTCCATAGTGCATTGTGCTCGCTACTCGGCCGTTGATCTTTTGCTTTTTGCAGTTCCGATTGGAATCTGCGGAGCTCTGCGCCAGGAAGTTGAGTTCTTCTCAGACCGTGCGCAACTTGATTCAAATGTGTATCGACTCATCTCTTCAAATGGTCATAATTCTTGAGAGCTTGCAGTCTCAAGGCCTTCTAGGTGGGTTTCTCTTTGACTTTGCCTCCCCCCACGTTTCAACTCGCAAATATCATTGAATTCAGAGGTATTGATGTGTCTCAACAGAGTCTTTTCTCCCATTTGATATCCAGTCTTTGTTCATCTCCACCGTGAATCTTTCGGTGGCACCTGCAATAGACTCTCATCTCGTCGAGAACTATCGGTTTTGGCTGCATAAAGCATTTTTCATCCTCGACGAAATGACTGATAGCGGCAGCCATATTGCTAGCAAGCACAAAGCAGAACTGACACGTATCATTGAGCTACTAGAGACTCTGCCTGGGGATCACAATTTACAGCAAGCCACGATGGATTTCACAAGTGAAGCGATGGCTTCGGGAAATATTTCTGCTGCCTTCGCGCAACCTGAAGACGCCTTACATGGCTGCATTAATGTAATGCAGGCTCTGCCAACACCTATCTCGGGAACTGGGATGATAGATGACGAGGGGATGGGACATTTGTTGGCTACGTCGCAGATCATGGACATGGCTAACTCGGTTGATTGCGGCGATACAGATTGGATGTCTGAGGCTATCATGACGCATGGAATTTGGCAAGGATGAAACTTGTGTGCCCAAAGGTAATCGACTGCACTATAATGAAGATTAGCAATGGAAATTCTGCATTTCGAGGAATATAGCTCACTGCGTTACCTGAAGAGGAAAAATTCTGATTGTCTTTACCAGTATCATGAAGTCCCAGGGATGAAGTACAGATATCATGTTGCAGACAATTATGCCGGTTGTTCATTGTACTATTTATTTAGACTTTACACCAAGGGTATTTCCTCCAAGAGGATAAGAGCTGGAGGAAAACTTTGCGTTTATATATCTGTTACTTTGATTACAGGGGAAATCTGGTTAGTGTATTAGTATTATTTATCATAAATACTACCTCGAACGAGTGGGGGAAAACTGTTGAAGCACTTCCTTCTCAGGAGAGTGTTTAGGTTCGTACATTTTGTTGAATCCCTGTGTTTACGTGGTATAAAGATGAATAATTCGATGACTGGATGCTATGTCCTAAAGCTCTTCAGCGTCACGAGAGCGAATAGCTAGGATTCGGCATCCTAAATTTGCTCGTTTAAATCAGACCAATGAGGTAAATCAAAGGCACGGCTGAAAATAGACACGAAGGAAGAACACTTGGTAAGCAAAATGATGTAAAGCCCTTCGTCCACCTTTCTATCGTCTGAGCGGCTAGTCGACTAAATCGTAAACAGAAGTGGCTGCAGGTTTTGTTTCAGCTTCCAATCTCACCGCCTGACCATGATGAGTTGATGTGTCACATGGCCATCTTAGGTTCCAGTCACTCTACCACTTGACTGTCATCGTTTATAACACATATCTTAAGACGCAATTATTGCATGTACCAATTTATAGCATGAGTCACTTTATTTCGGATGATGATGTTGTGTTGTCCAAACTCTTCCTACTTGAACATGGACCAGTCGAGGGAAAATACACAATCTGCATAGACGCCAGAGCCACCGCCACTCGCGTCACCAGCTGTGTTTTGCTGCATATGCCAAGCCTACCCCTCCTCAGCCGCTTCATCTCTGCTGACCTGTTATAAATAATGTCAATGATTGCGGATTGCCTTCCTTCGCATGGGATGTCTTTTGTCTTGCACCAAATGTGACTCTTTGGAGGGCTTCGCTCCTAGAGTCCAAAATGGTCTCCGATCACCAGACATATGAGTTGGTCGAAACTCTTGATCACCCCGAAATCTCAGAAGATGTTGCTACCAACTATAAAGGCAACTTGTCGCACTTGAATCCGCCACTAAACGGCCCTGACAAGCCTTCGATACATGAGCCGAAAAAGCTGCGACGTACCCAATCCTTTTCATTACTTGGACAACTAGTGCTGACGATTTTCCCTCTGCTTTTTATATGTACGTCGATTAATGTACAGCAGAAGCTCGAGTATTTCTAATGCTTTGATAGCACTTACGGCGGCCGCAATCTCCTTGGACAATAAGTCTACCTCTAAGACGGGCTTGATGACCCAACAAGCTACTGCTCTCTCGCCAACCGTTTTCCCTATTGTATTTGCTGCGATTGTGGGCAGATTCTTTCGTTCGTTGGGGCTATACTGGGTAGAACGCGGCGTGAAATTAGGAGTAAGAGCCAGGACCCCGTCATGCCAGTGTGTGCCGAATTAACCCAGATAGACACTCGAGCGCCTCATCGGCTCACAGACCCTTTTCTCTGCAATCGAAAGGCAGGTGCTACTGAGAGGTCAATATGTTTTAGGCATCTCAATCATAACTATCTGGGCACTTTCGCCTCTTGGAGGACAGTCGGCTCTTCGGCTGCTCACAGTATCTCCTGAAGTGTCTTCGACTAACACTACAATTCGATACTTGCCGATTGCTCTATCTATGGATACGATCATGTCCCCAGCCTTCGGATCGAGGAGCGCCGAAAGAAGCTGGCCACAATGGGGCTCAGTATTTATGACTGCTGCCACAACTTCTTACCAATATCAGAATTCCTCTCAGGACTTGTTCGGCAACGTCAGAATACCCAGTCTGGACTCTCTACCTTCCATCGCGATTGATTCAATGACTTCGGTGAACTATAGTGAGAGTATTCCTTACTCGTCCCTACTGGGAATTCCCGTCGGGGTCTTCTAGCCAATGGGACTATCTCTTTCAATATCATCAGCCGGTATTTTGCCATCAAATGCAAATCCTCTAAACACATAGCTTCGATCTCTGAAGATGATAATCTGTTTCTTAATACTTCTTCTGGTCAAGGCCCTGGGTACTGGGCGTACACGAACGGGGGCTCTTTTGTGGTTCAGCCGACACCCCAAAGAAAGGACCGAATTCCTAATCTCATGGACACCTACAATGAGACTGTCGTGCCCTTCAATATAACATCAATGAATGGGGGCTCTCCGATATATAACCTAAGCTTTATCGATTGCTCAATGGAACCTCAAGATGTTGAATCCTCAGTCCGGTGTGTCGATCGACTTTGTAAGGTTACAGCAATGAAGAGGCTTCCTTTTCGCTTTGACTCTTGGCGATACGTAACTATAGAAGCTATCTACCAAGCCTTTCTGTATTTTCCAGTTTCTATCACGGCGGCTGCACCTTCTGGAAGCCTAAAGACAAGCTCAATCCTAGAGCTGTGGATGCAATCTCCATATACAACTTTGGATGCACTGAGATTTGGCGACCTTTCCAGGGTTTCTCTTCCAGTTCTGAGCCGTAACATCGAGACTCTGTTCAATACCTACTGGCAAACTACCTATGGATATAAATACCTGCATGGTAATCTCCCTGCAGATGGTACGGATAGTTCCTACGATAACATTACAGCAAGCCGATGGCAATCTTTCGATTTCAACACGAGCCAAGCACTATCCACTAGGATAATTGGAGAGGAGTATCATTGCAATATGATATTTGCAACCATTCTGATTGTCATATCGGGTCTGTTGGTGCTAGCTAGCCTAGCGACAATTGCCTTGATCAATGCCACTCGTGCTCCAGATATCCTGGGGTACGTGTCTTCATTTACGAGAGACAACCCGTATGCTACTTTTAAGCAGGCTTCACACATAGACGGGATAGAGAGAGCTAGAGAACTGAGAGAGATAAAGATTACTGTTGGAGATGTGAACCCGAGAGAGGACATTGGCCACATTGCTTTCGCAGCAACCGTCGAGGTGCATCGATTAAAGGAGGATAGGCTTTATGATTAATGCTTAATAAGGGTGCACCATTATGCAATACTCCTAGAAAGGGGGTACTCTTGTTGAATGTATTCTGGATATGTCGCTTGCCTAGGAACTGCTGGGGAAGTTGGCTGAGGTCTCCAATGTGTTTCAAAGGCGCTGGATTTAGGGGAGGGGAGCAGCGCAAAAGATATGCTTGTGACCCTCTGGAAACTCGCGTGTACGAGTTCCTGTGTGGAGAAAATATACCTTTCATACAATGATGCAAAGCTAAGATCAAGTAAGAGCGTGGAAAGAGTATCCTCACAATTGTTGCAATGTGAATTCTGGGATTCAACCTTTCATCAATTTGAATCACTTTTTGATTGATAGTTGGACCGTGGATCTCCTTTGCTCTACAGGCAACCAGCAGTCAACAGGATCAACATGGCTGCCACGACTCTCACCATCCAGGGCTTCTTCCTCCTCCTCCTCCGCCGCCTCCTCCTCCTCCTCCGCCTCCACTACCTCCACCACCTCCGCTTTGAGTAGAGAAACCGAGAGTCCCTTCGACATCGCTAGATCCACCTCGAATAACAAGGTTGGGAGCCATTGTTAGGCCAGATTCGTCTGCTACGGGCTGTCAGAGTGGAAGCTAAGTGAAGGCATTGGCATTATAGATGAAGAAAAACCGTAAACTTACTGTTCCTTTTCTGCGTTTGCAATACGTCGTCGGAGAGAGATATAGAGTGAGTGCAATTTGGCATGCAAAGTAATAAAATTAGAGTTCGTGGGCATTGGAAGCTGGAAACCCTAATTTGAACCTACATATAGATTTTCCCGCTTTCTGTACAACGATCGGTGCCGGTCCATATCGGGCGCTATCCCCTTGCATAACCGATCACACACGATCTAGACCATTTTCTGTCACCCGCTGTGTTAGAAAACAATCAATCCCATGACCGTGCTTGTGGTTGTTGGCTGTGCTCAGCTGTGAACAGACCAGGAGTCAACCAACCAACAAAATCTGCATGTTTTACTGCATAGTGAGAGTCCAATTGGCTGTTTATAGTAGCCATTAGTGGACTCAACAAAAATTTCGGGTGTACGTTGTGTTTCATCTCTCCAGAAATGTCTTCCAAGGCCCAGAATGTGTTGAGGAACACTAGTGCTTGTGCTCTTTGAGATGTGACATGTAGTAATGTCGGTGAGCGGCATCCTCCATTTCTCCTTTGGCTTAAGTCGACCGGGAAAATTTGAACCCTAACGAGAATTTGAGAAGAGCCCATACTCTACACCGACTGTAGCCTTATGGAGAAGGTAAAATTTGCAAGATGAAGATGCGCTCGGGGCTGGGATCAGGGTTTTGGTTGCGGTAGCATCTCCCCGTGTATGTCTTAGGTGCATGGGTCGGGGGCCACGGCATGTATTATAATTAGTCAAAACCCAACTAATTCGTAGAGTCGGTGTGGCTATTGATATGGGAGAGAAAAGAAACTTGGTCTGTCACCACAGGGTTCACCCCCTGACAGCAAGACTCCTCCAAGAACAGGGTCCACAATCTTGTCTGTTCATCGATGGCAGTACAGTACAAACTTGTCAAAATAATCTTCACTCCAAAGATTTCTGTCGACGGTATCCATGAAGCCCTGCAAGATCACTGAAATCTCACCAGCTAGACTATCTGCTTCGTGGGAATCTTTGCCTTTTAGGATGGTGAGAAGGGAGTATTTAGAGCGAGCCGCAGCTCCCTGGCATGACTCGCACTTCTCCAGGACCTTAGCCGCTGTGCGGAAGAACAGTCTACTCAAGAAAAGGCGAGAAAGGGCGGTCAGCATTCATGATGGCTGTCAGGAGAATTAAATACGAGTTCGGAAGAGACTCACTCTGCGCGTTCGAAATCTTCGCGAGACTTCATTACTTCTCCGATCTTGTGCTGGGTGAAACCTAGGTAGCGATGCATCGGGGACTTTTCTTGACGAATTCGTAAAGAGTTTTCTAACGCGGCCATGGCCTCATCACCACGGTTCATCAAGAGAAGAGTGCATGCTGTATTGAAATATACGCTGAGTGGTGGGATCCGGTTAACCATCTTCGAATCCAAAATTGGATTCTTTGTATATATGAGAGAGGTTTGGGACTCACATGGCCATCTCTAGACTGCGTTCACCATGTCTCTCTGTGACCCACTCAGACGACTTCCTACACCATGATAGCGATCCATCCAAGTTTCCCTTGGCTCGTAACGCAATTGACAGATTGGCAGCCCACGTACAGCGGAGATGCTGATTATCGAACGTATCAAGTAACATATTGTAAGTTTCAACACTAGGATCCGGCAAGCCATCGGCGAGATATGTGAGGGAGATGTCGCCATCAACAAGCGCCATGGATTGGATGTCAAAAAACTTTGGCGCTTCAGCCTCTATAAGCTTCATCCTGTGTTGTTCTGCTTTTTGAAACCAAGCACGCCCGTAGCCTGGGAGATTCTCTTCGTACTCGAGACTGCCATACGTGCTGTATAACTCAGCAGTTAAACGTGACATGTATTGAGGGAAATATCCGGGGTGGTTACGACGCTCAACCGCCTGCTCCAAGATGTCGAATCCCTCCATTAGTATCTCTTTGGCGGCTTGAAAGTAGCCGGTCTCTCGCAAGTACCTGTAAAACAATTGACAGACGTCAATCATGGGCTTTAGGCAGCTAAGGTAGAAAGACAATATAGAAAAAGAGGGAGATGACATACCATGCACATCTTCGGACAATTTCACATAATAGAATGGGGGGTCGGAGCGTGTTCGAAAACCGCTTATACATCTTCAACAGCATAGAGATCTGTGAGTGAAACATGGCACACTTGTCCCAGGTTTCCAACATTTCTTTGCAATCGGTGTGGGGGAAGCAAGCGTTGAGTGAGAAAACAATCCAATCGAAATGAAGCTCCAAATCCTCTTGTCTTAATGACTGAAGAACTGCCTCCTTGATCATCCTATGGCAGCTGAGGCGTTCAGAGCCTGAGCTTTTGCTAATTAATCCTTTCCCCGATAATGTAGAAACAGCGTTATCAAAACTAATATGGGATTAGTCTTTCCCTGCGGTGTACTTCAATATATATAGAGAACTCACGTTAAGCGGTTAGGGAACCTATCAGACAGACAATCTGAAAGTCTAGGGAAGGTTCTGGCCGGACCATTATGCTCAAATCTATGGCGGTTAGAGAAAGTGATTTTTTCTTGGCAGATCACCTACTTAGCATTCATATCATGGCATTCGAACAATTCGGTCGGGATTCCATCTGGGTCAAGAAGGGCAACGGTTTCCATAAGCATTCGTGCCAGGGGGTCAATTGAGTTGAGCGTCATAGTCCAAGTGTTCCGGATAGATCTCTCATATGTTGAATCCTTTCCCTTATTACCTTGAAAGAGCAATTTAGTGTCAAAGTCACGATAATGCTGTATAAAGCTTCTGTATGACGAGGATGTAGTCCTGGCGTAAGCGCTGATTGAGTTGAGCGCAAGAGGCAGGTGTCCAGTTCTGTCCGCAATTTCTCTGACCACATCTAGTTCTTCTTTATCTAATGTGTTAGAGTTCGTGGTGTTCATTTTCAACATAAACGCCAAACTTTCTTCAACAGTGAATAAGGGGATGGGGATGACACGGCCTCCACAGGCATGAGCAATTTCCGGGCTTCTCGTCGTTAGAATTAGAGATCCATGCGGCCCCTCGAGCCAGAATTTCTCGAAAAGCCGTACGTCCTCCACGTTGTCGTAAATAGCTAGCCACCGAAAGGGACTCCCTGGTAAATTAGATGCTCGTTATTATTGGCGTATTCCTCACAGCCGGGGAAAAGGGGTTATGCATGAACTCCCTTACCTTTGGAGGAGGGATTGTTCAAAAATCTACGGAAATTTTTGATAGCCGCAAGTTTCTGCTCGGCAACAACGGGCGATTCATTCTCTACCATGCGTG